GCACACTTCAAAACATAAATACACACCTTCATCCCAGGAGGTCCTCTAGCACCAGGTAAGCCAGTATCTCCATTTGTTCCATTTGCTCCCATAAGTCCCTGTGGATATAATGAAAATGGTATTATTAGTTTAATAACAGAACTACCTCTTCTCCAATCATTCCTTGGTCACCTTTCAGTCCAGTCTCGCCTTTCATTCCTTTGGGACCAGGTGGGCCCTGTTATGGATCATTATATAATTATCATGCAATATGAACACACCCTCATTCCTGGTGAGCCTCTAGAGCCAGCGTATCCTTTAACTCCGTTTGCTCCCTTTATTCCCTGCAAGCAAAAAATCAGTCAACAATGCATGCAGGAATTTATTTTATAGTTTTATAGTGAACTGTATGCATTACATTCATTCCTTTCATTCCAGGTGGACCAATTTTACCAGTTCGTCCAGTACGTCCAAAATTGCCCTTACTACCTTTTGATCCTTTAAATCCTTTAATACCTTTGCTGCCTTTTATACCAGGTAAACCCTTAATTTCTGATAAAGAATAAAGGTAAATAAACAGAATACTTGTTTTCCTGGAGGTCCTCTGAGTCCAGGCAGTCCAGTATCACCAATAGTACCATTGCAACCCTTGGAAATACAAAAAGATAAAAAATATGAACTTATATGCTGATTTAAAATTATAAATACATGTTTATACACACGTGTGATATCAGTGTAGTCAGACAAAAAGCAGTGAGATAGAATGGTATATAAAACTCAAATAACAAATTTATGCTTTATTGCTATCCAAAAAATCATATCACTCAATAATACTGAATTATGGTATAACAATTAATGCACAAGGGACATAAATAAATAAACAATGTGAACACAAGTAACTACCGTATAGCGCTTTAATTTGGCGGAGTTGTATTTTGGCAATTGGCGATTTGCAAGCAGAATCGCCAACATTAAAGCCGCCAATCATTAATGCGCATGCTCAGTAATGCACATGTACACAAAAAATTGCCAAATTAAAGCTCCGCCAATATAAAGCACTATAAGGTATTACTTTTATTCCTTTTTCTCCTATAGGACCAATGTCTCCTTTTATGCCTTTTTCACCTTTAGCTCCAAGTAAGCCCTATGAGCCAAAGTATCATTAATAGATTATGTGTCACTAACTGGTTTTCCAGTTCTTCCTTGAAGTCCTTGTTCACCTTTCTTACCTTTAATACCAATATCTCCCTTTTCACCTTTTCTTCCCTGTGACAGTTAAAATTAAAAACTTTTAGACCAAATAATAATTTCACAGGTTTTCCAATTCTTCCAGATAATCCTTGATTTCCTTTTGGACCTTTTTCTCCTTCATCCCCCTTAATTCCTCTAGTTCCCTTAAAATTTTAATAATAATTGTGCTATTTTATTGTCACTTACATTATTTCCTTTGCAGCCTTTATCTCCTGTCAATCCTTTTATGCCCTTTTTCCCTTTTTCTCCCTTTTCTCCCTATTATATTGTTGACTATCAAGTAGACTATATTTTTCAAAAAAATAATAATTACTTTTGTTCCATTATTTCCCTTAGGACCAATTTCTCCTTTTGTGCCGTTGTCACCCTTTGATATGTGTATTGTACGTTATTGTATAATTTGTCTTTCATTTACTTTTGGTCCTCTCGTACCATTTCCAGGAGGACCCATAGGTCCAGGATCACCAGTTGGCCCAATTAAACCCTGTAAATAAAATTAAAAGAATTAAAAATAAAAATAACTAACTTGGTCTCCCTTTTCTCCTTTCTGTCCCTCATTTCCTTTGGGTCCGATGGGTCCCTAAGGTATCAGTTACATTATGAATCCATGTAACATATTGCTCTAATTATATGTACCGGGTTTCCTTTTGGTCCAGGATTGCCCTTTTCACCTTTTTCTCCAGGATCTCCTTTGTGTCCTTTATCTCCCTAAAGGCAGAGGCTAAGTAAAACAAAAATATGTGACAAATCTCACTTTTATTCCTTTTTCTCCATTGCAACCTTTAGGTCCACGGTCTCCTTTATTTCCCTTATCTCCAACATTGCCCTACAAAATTAATGCATCAATAAAAGTGACAAGGTATTACTTTTTGCCCTTCTTTGCCAGGATTACCAATAGGACCTGGATCTCCTTTTACACCTTTTTCTCCCTTTGGTCCAGGATCTCCTTTTATTCCTTTATCTCCTTTAAATCCTTTTGTCCCATTATTTCCCTTATCTCCCTTTGGACCCATGTCTCCTTTATCTCCTTTTGGTCCAGTGGAACCATTGTTTCCTTTCTCTCCTAAAGCTCCCTATTAAATTTCATTTAAAATAAAAGCATATGCATCAAACTTACAGGCAGTCCCTTTCTACCAGGTGGTCCTGGCGGTCCCTCATCACCACATGATCCATTCATTCCCTTCATTCCTTTCATTCCTTCCATTCCTTTCATACCAGGTGGGCCAGGAGGACCTTCAGGTCCCTAATAAAAAATAAAGATTATACTGGTACATTAACATCTGTACCCTCTTTCCAGGTCTTCCAATAGGCCCACTTGTACCATTTAATCCAGGTGGTCCAATATTTCCTTTTTCACCCTATAAATCATTATTTATAAATCGTACTATAATGTTATTATTTTACAATTGGTCCGGGTTTTCCTCTTCTTCCTCTCAGGCCTTGATTGCCCTTCTTTCCTTCCTCTCCTTTTGATCCATCTAAACCTTTCATTCCTTTAAGGCCTGGGTTTCCCTTTGGTCCACGATTTCCCTTCTCTCCAGGATCACCACTTTCACCCTGAGGACCCTGCATAATTAACAAATTGTGATAAAAGGTCTATTTGTATCAAATCATGAAAACTATGTAGAACAAATTTTGAACAGATATTTATGCATACAGTCTTCTCACAGACTACTTCAAAACAACTTACAGGTATACCTTTTCTACCAGTATGACCAATAGGCCCTTCCATACCAGTTTCACCTTTCATGCCTTTTTCACCCTGCAAAAAGAGTATTGCAAAACTATATTGATAATAGATTTCGTACAATAGTTCCATTTGATCCTTTCTGTCCCTTCATTCCTTTAGGTCCAGGAGGCCCCTACAATTCAATTTGGCTTGATGATATAGGCACACAAAAGGAATGTAAATATATGTAAACATACCATTTTTCCAGGTAATCCTCTTGGACCAGAAGTTCCATTCATACCTGGAGGTCCAGTTTTTCCCATCTCACCCTTGTAGCAATTAACAAAAGTCATTATACAATCCATTACTTACAGGTGGACCTGGTTTACCCTTTAATCCTTTATATCCTTCATCACCTTTCTCTCCTTTTTGACCTTTTGTTCCCTACAAAAACATTATACATTGAAGCAAATGAATCAATATTGATCATGCATACATTAATACCAGGTTCTCCTATAGTACCATTAATACCATCAATACCAGGGTCTCCTATCTCGCCCTTCTCTCCCTTTAGTCCAGGATTTCCTTTCATTCCTTGATCTCCTTTTTCTCCTTTTGTTCCATTGTTTCCCTTCTCTCCTGGTGGACCAATGTCTCCTTTATCTCCTTTTGGTCCAACGGAACCATTGTTTCCTTTCTCTCCAAATAATCCCTGAAAATTTTTCAAAAAGTATTTTTTGGAAATATACTTACAGGCAGTCCCTTTCTACCAGGTGGTCCTGGAGGTCCCTCATCACCACGTGGTCCTTTCATTCCCTTCATTCCTTTCATACCTTTCATTCCTTTTATACCAGAAGGGCCAAGGGGACCAGGAGGACCCTAAAATTAACAATATGTAAACTACTCTAAAATTAAATATTTACCATCTTTCCAGGTCTTCCAATAGCGCCATCAGTACCATTTAATCCAGGTGGTCCTATGTTACCTTTCATACCCTATAATAAGTAAAGATTACTAATAGGCTTGTCATTTGTTAACTTACAATAGGTCCTGGTTTTCCAGTTCTTCCTTTAAGACCTTGATCGCCCTTTTCTCCTTTGTCTCCTTTTATCCCTTTAAATCCTTTCATTCCAGGGGGACCTGGTTTTCCTTGACGACCTGTTTCACCTTTATCACCTTCAGGGCCCATTTTACCTTCTGGACCCTAATTGAATAAGATACACATATTGAAGAATGGGAGTGATTTCAGAGCCACTTTTTGGGAAAAAGTATGGAATAAAGTCCAATGTATAAATATTCTAAAAATCGATGTATTTTATACGGCCGTAATGAAAAAACTATTAGCCAAAATCAGCTCAAACTTTTACATAATACAGTATACGCCATATATTTTGTGGGGATTAAATTTTGCAAATTTTTGCACTTTGAAAAATTTTGCAAATTTAATATCTGCAAAATAGCGTGCTGATTGTATAGTAGGTGTGATAATTACATTAAAATCATTAAATTTTTATTTGCAAAAAAAAAATACAAAAACCAGGCAAATTGTGAAATCTTATACACACAAAATATATGGCAGATATGGTATATTAAATCCTGAGCAAATTTTTGGTTGATTAAGCCCATGGCAGTTAAAAAAATTACCAGATAGAATTAGCTAGATAGCATATAAAGACATTACTACATGTACTGTATGTATTAGAAAATTTAATAAATTTTTTTGCAGCTAGTTTATGGCCCATGGTGTTTTTTTAAAAATTGACATTTTTACCTAAGCAATTTCATAATTCACAATTACTACATTACAGCATCATTATTATACATGTATACTCAATAATTTACTCACACGTAAGCCTTCCTCCCCCTTAGGACCACGAGGGCCTCTCATTCCCTTTTCACCTTTACTTCCTTTCATACCCTAAATATAAAATGTATGTAACTTTTGAAAGTAACTGGGTTTATCCATACAGTAGTTCCATTGCATCCCTTTTCTCCTTTTATTCCTTTTGGTCCAGCAGGACCCTATAATTACTTTTTAGTCAAAATGTTATGAAGAAATTGGTACCATTTTTCCAGGCTCCCCTACTAAGCCAGTTTCTCCATCAATTCCTGGAAGTCCTATTTCTCCTTTATTACCCTAATCAGAATCAGCAACAGTACTGCAATTACAATTTATCATTACTTACAGGTGGACCTGGTTTACCCCTTAATCCTTGATATCCTTTATCACCTCTTTCTCCTCTTTCACCTTTTGGTCCCTATAGAGCATTATACATCACAGCAAATGAATCATCAATATTGATCATGCTTACATTCATACCAGGTTCTCCTTTAGTACCATTAATACCATCAATACCAGGGTCTCCTTCCTCGCCTATCTCTCCCTTTGGTCCAGGATCTCCTTTCATTCCTTGATCTCCTTTATCTCCTTTTGTTCCATTATTTCCCTTTTCTCCCGGTGGACCAATGTCTCCTTTCTCTCCTTTTAATCCAGTGGAACCACTGTTTCCTTTCTCTCCTTTCATTCCAGGAAACCCTGCCGTTCCATTAGGGCCAGTGGATCCATTCTCTCCTTTTATTCCCTTTAAACCTTGATTACCCTTCATTCCTCTCACTCCTTTGTCTCCTTTCATTCCTTTAGGACCAGTAGCTCCTTTAATGCCCTAATTATCATGAAGCATACATACCCATGGAAGTTCCTTGCATTATACACGCAAGGAATGACTAGTAACATGCAAGGATAGCAAATCCATGCAATTTTCATGCATAGTGTATGCATGAAAAGTGCATGGTATACACTTGCAGTGATATTACATGCATGCATGCAGTATATACCGGTAAGTGCATACATGGACATGCATGCATGGGCATCGTATAGTAGTGTACCATTTTTCCAGGTCTACCAATAGGACCAGGATCTCCTTTTAATCCAGGTAGTCCAGGATCTCCCTTCTCACCCTGCAAAAAATGACTGAATGATGAAGATATAATTATTTGTACTAACAGCTACTCCAGGCTTTCCTCTTAAACCTCGTTCACCAGGAGGACCCTATTACATTAAAATATAAAGCTTAATCTAATAGTTTGTAGGCTTACAGGAGGTCCAGGGATGAAGTCCTAAGCAAAATGTAAAAGTACAATAATAAAGAAGTAAAAATCTATAGCTTACAGAACATGCTCTTAAGGCAGTTGTGGCATTGACATAAATGTATAAACTTTGATTCTCCAGATTAAAAGCCATGTCACCTTGTTGGTGACCACCATCCTGCTGCAATCCACTTTCATTCTGATATACCTACAAGTACTGTGACCATTACAGCTCTTTAAATGTGAACATTTACCGTAGCAATAAGGCCAAATGAGTCTCCGTTAGGTCCAGTATCTCCTTTATTTCCTTGGACTCCACGTTTTCCTCTTTCTCCCATAAAACCTTTAGGCCCAATGGGTCCTTCATCCCCTCTAATTCCTTTCATTCCAGGAGGACCTTTTCTTCCTAGAGTTATACTGAAAATACATGTAGCAGCGGTACTGATTTGGTTACCTCTAGTACCAAGTGGTCCAGGTGGACCAGGTGGACGAATCAGTTTACCAGGGGCACCTTTCATGCCTTGATCACCTTGTTCTCCTTTGATACCTTCTTCACCAACACCTCCTGAAAATAAATTTTTAATAAAAAACTATAGACATTATATATCACCATTTCCTCCATCATCTCCAAAATCTCCTTCAGTTCCATTTGGTCCTATCACTCCAATAGTTCCATTAGATCCTTTTAAACCAGACAAACCAGTTTCACCTGGAATACCTTGTTCACCAGGTGGGCCTATAACAGCTGCAACGCAATAAACAACATGTTCATAATGTGATGTGATTACTCACTTGCATTAATGCCTTTACACCCATGGTCACCTTTAGAACCAACCATACCAACTTCTCCCTATCACTTTTCAAATTCATAAAAATAAATTAATAAACTTACAACTGGTCCTGGTTTGCCAGTACGACCTTTGTCTCCTGGAGCTCCATTATCTCCAGACTCACCATCAGTACCATTGTCACCAGGATCACCAGTTATTCCATTCATTCCTTTATCACCTATTCCTCCAGGAATACCATCAGTTCCATTAATACCAAATGAGCCTTTCTCTCCAAGTGGTCCCTTCATGCCATCAATACCACCTAGTTATTAATACAGCCTCATTAATATACTAACATAATTATGCAACAATAACTAAATTGGCTTATTTTTTTATAGTTCAGCAATCATTTTTTGTATGCATCTTACTACATTGATTGTAAGTATGAAAAGAAAAGGTTGATTGAATTGTGTTGGCAAATAAATAAAATGCATTCTATATGTGTAGATCTGTCTTTTCAAGGAAAGATGGTGTCAGATAAATTACCAGTATCAACCAATGCGAGGCTTTGGTTATATTGGATGTCAGAATATTGGCAGAAAATCATTATATGTATGTACATCTCTACATCATCTTTCATACTTTTTCCAGTTAATCCATCATTCCCATTTTCTCCATTTTCTCCTTGGTCCCCAGTGCCACCAACAGATCCAGTAAGGCCATTTTTACCAGATGGCCCAGTTGATCCATTAGTTCCAGGCAATCCATCATTACCAGGATCACCTATTGAGCCAGTACTACCAATAGTGCCTGTCATTCCTTTTTCTCCAGTCAATCCACTATCTCCTTTCATACCTGGTGAACCAATAAATCCTTTTTCACCCTTTAGTTAAGCATAATAATGATACAAAGGTGAACATTAAATTACCTTATCTCCAGGGTTACCAAAAAGAGGAGGAGGGCTAGGACGACCATTTTTCCCACTAGGGCCAAGTTTCCCAGGCTGTCCACTCTTTCCTGTAAAACCCATTGCTCCTAAACTTCCTTTAGACCCAATATCGCCAGTTTCACCTATAACAAAAATGTAATACTTATGTGAGCATAATTCCACATAAAGAACACCTTTAAGTCCTTTCTGTCCAGTCAATCCTTGTAACAATCCTCTTTTTCCTAAAGGTCCAATCAATCCATCACTACCTTTTTCACCAAATTCTCCCCGTGATCCAGGTCTACCAGTGTCACCTTTTGACCCCTATAAAATATAAGAATAGAAAAGTGGTTCTTCATACTAAAATTTCTTCCATGCAGGTATAAAAATGCCAAATTACTTTTTCTCCTTTCCAGCCAATCATTCCCTTGAATCCTTTATTACCAGGCAATCCTTGGATTCCTGGTTGTCCATTCTTTCCCGTAGGCCCAGTCAAACCATTTAATCCTCTGTCACCTTGGTTACCGGTGTCACCTTTAATGCCCTACACTCAATTAAAAGTACAGCTGTCATTTAGAAACTTCATTTAATGTACATTCATTCCTTTAGACCCTATCCCACCTGTAGAGCCCTATAAATATTAAAATTAAAGAATCAAAGTGAAAATAAATAAAAACCTTCTTCCCCTTTGAGCCTGTGTTCCCTTCCATTCCTTTACTACCATTTCGACCAGGTATACCATTAAATCCCTGTGGAATAGTAATTTTAAACAACATTATATTTACTCACAGTTTCACCAATATTTCCAGTGTCACCATCATCTCCTGTTATACCCTTTACACCTTGCAGACCCTATCACACACATAATAAAATTCACAATAAAAGAGGGAATGCTCAGGGGCATATCTAAGAATTTGGAGAAAGGGGTGCTGAGGGCATGTGAATCGTGCCATGATTTTGGCCAGTGATACTTCTGATTGCTCCTTAAAGCACTGGAAACTGCTGAAATCATCTTCAGGGATCTGTTCAGAGGCTTGGTAATAATGCAAAAGTCCAGGACTTCAGTAATTTTTTCTAAGCCCAGCCATGAGGAGAGTGCTCGAGCCCCCTTAGCCCCCCTCTGCAAAAGCCACTGATACTCACCATTTTCCCATGTCTTCCCATCATTCCTGTGCTTCCATTGTCACCTTTTGATCCATTAAGTCCTTTGGCACCCTACAACACAGATGCAAATATGTTGACAAATTACAGCACTGTTCTCACAGTGACACCCTTCATTCCTCTTGCACCGTTTTCCCCAGTACTTCCAACTTGACCAGGGCCACCAGGAAGACCCTTTATATAAATACAATACTTTACGATAATTATACTATTTACTTTTTTTCCTGTATGTCCTACATTCCCTGTATCTCCTCTATGCCCTGGTTGTCCAGAAAATCCCTAAATAAAGCATTAAGTTATTAAGTTACGTATAATACATTATCAACACTACCTTTGCTCCTTTAACTCCCTTTTGGCCAGGTTTACCAGCACGACCTGACTCTCCTTTCATTCCTTCATCTCCTCTTGTGCCATTGTCTCCTTGACTACCTACAGTGCCTTTTTCACCTTGTTCTCCCTATTAGCAGCAATAAAAATGAGGCAAGAATTTTGACATGAATGTGATAATATTCAATTAAAAGTAAGAAAAGCTATAATAAAAATTTGTATCTAAATGGCATCATAATAAGATACTCACAGGGCTTCCACGAGCTCCAACTATTCCTTGAAAACCTCTAGGTCCTTGATTCCCAATATCACCCTTTGACAGTCATATCACACAATATAATCTTTAGCTTTGTGTATATACCTTTTCACCAGGAATGCCCTTCTCTCCTCTCATGCCTTTGTCACCACGTGTACCGTTTCTTCCTTTGTCTCCCTAAACAAATCACTATCAATTAATGATTCTAATGAAAAAATAGTCTCACAGTTTTACCAATAAAACCAACCGATCCTTTAGATCCATCAGCACCAGGAGGACCTGAATTTCCCTTAGTACCATTAATACCCTAATTGTCATCATTACAAAGCTCTGAACAATAATGGGCATGACTTACATCAGGACCAATGTTTCCAACATCTCCCAAATCACCTCGATCACCTATTCTGCCCTTAAACCCCTTAAATCCCTGATCTCCCTGCATAAAGGAATATAGAATTATTAGTCACCATAAATTATCTTACAATTTGGCCTTTTAATCCTTTTAAGCCTTTGGTACCAATCCAACCATTCTCTCCAATATCACCAGTCATACCCTAACAAAGTATTGATAGTGGTCAATGCTCATTAAAACAATCAATTGTTTACTATGATGAGTTACATGCATACACATACCTTAATGCCTTTAGTTCCATTAGAACCTTGCATTCCAGAGGCACCTCTTTCACCCTGATAAAGTACAAACTATAAATGAATGTATAATGTTGATACCTTTAATCCAATGGTATCATTACCAGAAGGACCAATTTCACCTTTAATGCCTTTAGAGCCCTGTAAAAAGTTCATATTTACAAAAAAACAAATGAATAATTATAATACTTTACAGCCAGGGTCTCCAAAAGTTCCATTACTTCCATTTCTCCCCTTTTCTCCCTACAATTGAGAATAAACAAACAACTAGCTAATTAGAAACTAGCCATGCATCCTTCTGGTCCCTTTGATCCATCTGGTCCCTTTGGCCCCATGTCGCCTTTGCTACCATTTAAACCAGTCATTCCCTAAAAAATTATCATTTGTAGTTGTTAATGAGAAGGTGACTTACCTTCTCACCAAGAGAGCCATTCACTCCCTTTTCACCAATATCACCAGTGTCACCAATAGACCCTTTCATACCCTTATATTATAGCCAATCATTAAAAATTATTTTCACTACAGTATCATTTTACTTTTTGTCCAGGAACACCTCTTCTTCCACGAGTACCATGGCTTCCCTCTTCTCCTTGTGGACCAATGGGGCCTCTTTCTCCTTTCATTCCTTCATCTCCTTTTATTCCTTTACTTCCAACTCCACCTTTAAACCCTTTTTTCCCCTGGTTTCCTTTTTCACCTTTATCACCAATTTCACCTTGTAGTCCTTTTACTCCATGGAGGCCCTAAAGTATAACAAAAAAAATTCAAAATATATAAACACGTCAAAAAATTACAGGTGATCCCATTTTGCCTAATGGTCCTTTTGGGCCTCTACTACCAGTGTCTCCTTTCATACCAATGGTACCCTTTAATCACAAAAAATAATCATTCATAAAACACTAATACCTACATTAGTTCCATTTTCTCCTTTATTTCCAACAGCTCCCTTCATTCCTTTTAATCCCTGTGAGAAATAATCTTTAACAACACATTTAAAGGACATGATTATTACTGGAGGTCCGTATCTTCCAGTAATGCCATTTTGTCCCTAAATACAAATGAATGAACAAGATTAATAATTACACAATGTAAATTTTACTTTTATTCCTTTATCTCCCTGATATCCTTTCCCTCCTCTGTCTCCAGGTAATCCAATTATTCCAATGTCTCCTCTAGTTCCATTCTCTCCTTTCATTCCCTTGGTACCATTCATTCCTTTTTCACCAGGATCACCAATAGGGCCTACACTTCCAGGGGGACCCACTTCTCCTTTAACTCCTTTAATTCCCTTGCTACCCTGTGAAAAGCTATTGTAATAAAACATACAAAATGAAATAACTAACATTGTTTCCTCTATCACCATCTAATCCACGCTGTCCCTTATTGCCAGGTTCACCATTCATTCCCATTGATCCCTACCAAACTCAGAATAATTATCCCATCAAATGTTCCATTACATTCTGGCCCTTTTCTCCTTTATCACCTAATGCACCAATATTACCTACACGACCCTACAAGTATTAGATACTACAAGCTTTAATATAATTGTACAACTAACAGGTAATCCTCTTCTTCCTCTGACCCCTGAAGTTCCATTAACTCCAGGTAAACCAATTCCTCCCTCCGGTCCCTAAAAATCCCAAATGCTAATGATTATGTACAAATTAAGAACAACTAACCTTTTCTCCTAACATGCCTTGCTGTCCCGGTGAACCCATCGTTCCATTTTCACCAGAGATTCCTTCTGTACCCTACAACAACAAGTAACTCATCACATAATAATAAAATATCACTACATTCATTCCTGGAAGGCCATCAGTTCCATTATTCCCACTATCACCAATGGTTCCTTTGTCTCCTTTTAGTCCAATGGGACCTCTTTCTCCTTTTATTCCCATGTCTCCTGAGGGTCCTTTAGTTCCATTAACTCCTTTCTCTCCTTTTTCTCCTTTTTCTCCTTTATTGCCTTTAAAGCCAGTACTACCATTGAGTCCTTTAATTCCTTTAATTCCTTTAAGACCCTAAAATACGTAAAATATTGAGTGTTGCTCTTTATAGTTTCATGTTTTAAAATTCAGATTGCCCTTATAGTTAGATACATTTCCAAATAAATTATAGCATATGAACTCAATGATTTTTAATGCTCATAAGCACAGATTCGTTTAATGGAAATTTACTGTTTTTTAGTTCACAAAAGTTGTATGAACACCCACATTACTGGATAATTATTACCTGTGATCCTGTTTCGCCTTTTAGTCCAATTGGCCCTCTACTTCCAGGCTCTCCTTTCATTCCTTTCATACCCTAAAATATAACTTCAGTTAAAATCTAATATAAATCATAACCTATACTTCAGTCCCATTTTCTCCTTTGAATCCAATAGCACCCTTCATTCCAACAAGCCCCTATAAAAAATGTAATCATTATACATTAAATTTCTCATTACTGGTTTTCCACGCCTCCCAATAGTACCATCATTTCCCTATGACAGACAAAAGGTAAAATTATTTCTATAACATAAAATTATTAATTAACATTTATTCCTTTGTCTCCCTGATGTCCTTTCCCTCCTCTGTCTCCAGGTAATCCAATCATTCCATTGTCTCCTCTAGTTCCATTCTCTCCTTTCATTCCTTTTGTACCATTCATTCCTCTTTCACCAGGATCACCAATAAGGCCTTGAATTCCAGGGGGACCCATCTCCCCTTTATCTCCTTTATCCCCAAGACTACCCTGCAACAATACATGATTATCATCACTACACAGCAATGAACAAGAATACATGAATTATTGGTACTCTCGACAATGGATAAATTGTTTCAAAATGCTGAAATAAATAATTCTTAACATACCATTTCACCTTTATCACCACCATCACCAGAAGTTCCAGGAGAGCCCTATGCAAATAAAATGATACATGCTTTAAACTAGAATCTAACTGGACGTCCTTGTCTTCCTCTAATGTCATTGTTTCCTGAAGGTCCTTGAACACCACTGTCACCAACATCTCCCTATAATCATAAATTACATGCATGTACATATTATCAAGTTATTTTTCAAAATTACTTTAAATCCTTGTGGACCTCTTTGTCCAGCAGGACCCCTTATCCCCTAAATTTTTTTTTATTTTTCATGACTACAATTATCAACTACATGCACCTGTTTATCAGCTCCTACTTTGACCTTTATTCGCTAAAATATCAAAGAATAATAGCTCACTATACAATTTCTCAATAACTTACTGGGCAATCAATAACAGCAGTGCTAGCTTTAGATGAAAAAATCAAATGAGAAACCTATAATGATATGGAAGTACATCACAAAAAGCATGACTGCTCTATACTTTTGGCATATTTGAATATGATGCTGATTCAAAAATAGAAATGTCTTTAGTACTATTTATCCCATGAATTAAATCAGGCTGATCAGCAGAAGTTAACTCATAGCAGTCAACAAAGGCAGTGACAGTACAGCCATAAGCTATTCTCAGTCCAATTGTACGGTAGGTAGAATTTGATGCTGGCAATACAAACTTTATTGCTTCTCTGTCTAATATCTGTACACTGAGAAACTTCTGCTCTGTTACTTCTCTCATAATATCAAGTTTAACAATGACACTGCTGGATTCAGTTGACCACACAAAGACATTACCAGTATAGTTACTATCAATATGAGCAAAATAAGCACTGTTAGGCAGCCTCTTGCTGAGATTAATCCAGTCACTATTATTTGCTGATATAGTAATTGGATGAGATAATTGATAAGCTTCCAGCCCATTTGACTCCCTCACAAACATTACATCATCACCAACTCTCCCATTTAAGTTAGCAAGTTCAACAATATCAAAGAAATCTGTATAATAGATTGCAAGTCATTAATTTGTATTAGCACATTCTACAATACTTACCACTACTGCAGATACATGATTGACATAACACTGACAGAATCAGTGCTGCCTTCAATACTAAAAACACAATTTTCTCCATCATTAGGAGGTTTGTACTGTTTGACTATTACTTGTTTTATTACTTCACAAGCTAGCTTTGTTGAGTAACAATAGAGCCTCATGCCCAGTTGACACAGTTCAAAACCACAAGTAAATCTAAGGGAAAATACCCATGTTAAAACAATGCCAAATAAAAATTAGGAGACAAGCATCATATTTTACTGGATGGGCTAGTAGATCCACATGTATGCAGATCTAACTGCACAGTCACAATGGTTGCAATACTGCTATAAATTTTTGAGGGTACAAAATTTTGTGCTTTGGTGAAAACTCTATTTTTTATTTTGAAGATATTAATTTTTTGTATTTATGCATGCACCAGGCTGGCATGCACATGCATTGAGTATACACATACTACACATGCACAGTGAGTACCATATAGTGCTTTATTTTGGCAGCACTTTATTTTGGCAATTTGCTATAAAATTGTAATCGGCGGTTCTTAATTTGGTGATTTTTATGCACACGTGCATTACTGAGCATGTGCATTAATGATTGGTTTTAATATTGGTGATTCAGCTTGCAGACTGCCAATCGCCAAAATAAAACTCCACCAAATTATTTTCAAAGCATTAATTGTCATGGGTAAGAATCCCTCGTGACTCAAAATCAAGTACATCATGGAATTTTATACCCATATGGTACTTTCATATAAAAAAGTAGAAAAATTTATGACAGTTACTAAGTAGATAGTTTAAAATATTTCCAGTCAAACTAACTTGTATTCTTGTTTCCTTCACTCATAGTAATTAAGCTAAAATTCATTGAAGAAAAATGATTGATTTAATTGTGCCTGTACCTGTCAATATGAATGAAAATAATTACAATACAGTTGTAAGTCCGACAATTATCAACATCAAAATCCCATCAAAAAATAACACAGGGTATGCAGAGAACTTAATATAAGGGAGGTAATTGTATGCTATAATCTAATAGCCACATCACTTACTGTTTCAAAACTTAAGTAAAATGATGTAAACTGAGTTGATCTACTCCAGCAGAGCATAATTTCTAATACTTTATCCAGGGTTTCCCATAAATCATGCTAAGTGAGCTAAACAGCATGCTTTATGAGCTGACAACACTACAATACATTAGGAGCAAATTAAAAAATTCATAAAAATCCAAATTTGATCGGAATCAGCTCAAAATTGATACACAACATGGAGATATGTATTATGCATCAGAAAAAAATTATAAAAATGGAGAATTCTCTCCTAGCCATTTTTAATGAAATACGGCCAAAGTCCCTGTACTATAGTACAAGGGTGCTTGGCCCAATTTTTAGCAGCTTTAAAAACTCATTAAAACCAGATTTAATCAGATTTAGCTTAAATTTTCTCCACAATTTAAGAACATGCATGTGATAAAAATGGAGAATTCTTCTTGTGATTTTGTTAAAATGCCCTGTAACATACAGGGTGTCTGGCCCAATTTTTGAGAAACTTAACAATTCACTGACAAAAAGCTGCATGAGTACTATGCCAAAATTCTGTGGAAAACCTTGATTATACCACAAGTGATACCTACTTGTAACTGATAAGGATGGCTTAACACGACTAAATTCATGACTTACATTATTTGATGAAATTTTCTTCCTATGCTCCCATTGTATGAGTTTAATTCTATCAAAAAACTGATAACACTTAATGGTTTCATAGTGTAGAAAAATATATGTGATACTAAAGTGACAAAATTATATGTTTGTCATAACAAGTGTATGACAGTATGAGTAATGCACACAGTCACACCTAAATAGACAGAACTAATAATACACTAAATGTTGCCTTTTAGTTGCTTTGGTATGCATAATTGGAGCAGGTTGTAATACAAAAGATACACTATCTCCATAAAAGAATATAGTTATAATATTATGGCCTCTCTAATAAGATTCATATTTTACCATTTCCCACTCACATGATACCATATCACTAATGCAGTTTTGTATAAATTATACACATAATTTATACAGTTATAATGAATAATGCATCATAATAATTATTAAACTGCCTCCATGCCCACTCACAAAAAAGGGAACTATAAATCTAATTGCAATGGCCTATGCATACCATTCATTTCATGATCAATTGACAAAAATATTGATAGTAAAATTAATAAATAATAATTCGGAAATATGCCACAGCACCATGTACTCAGTGCTCACAAATACATGTATAATGCACCAAATATTTATTATGACAATCTTTTTAGATGATGAAATACATTGACAAGGAAGCAACAAAAAGTAATTAAAAAATTTGTTGACTCAAAAAATCAAAAAATAATCAGAATTTTCTCTCCTGTAATGATAAAAATATCAACAAACTCTGGAAATTTTGATGCAAATAATGCTAGGTGATTAAATTTGTTTAAAAACTTCAATTCACAAATTTTAAATTAGTGATTGTGTATTCCTAATGGGGTAAAATACTGCAACCAATCTGAGCAGCACACATACATGTAATTTTGCTAATCAGTTTGAAACTATGATCTACTAAACAAAATTTTATTCATTAGACATAGCCACACTGGTATTATGCATATGTATACAAATGCAGGAAATGGGAGTGGCTTTATTTGCATGTGCAAATAATTATACATGTAGTTTGTCATCAAACTGTATACTTGCTAAGAGACAAATAATACTATGTAAACAATACCAGAAAAATAAGCAAAAAATTAAATCTTTCTTCATTACTTATGCTATAGTCTTAATTACACCACAAAGCAGAAATGAGGTTCCTATAATTATGAATCAAATGGGAGCACATCTATTAAAATAATTATTTTCTCAAATTTGTTGCATTAAAAAAAAAATTTCAAAATTCTCCTACTAGTCTAGATTTACTTAGTCTTGCCATGGCAAGACTAAGATATACTAGTCTACTAGATTTATAATTTATGTATAGATAATTACATATACTAGTATGCATGATAATCAGGCTCAAGTTCAGCCACATGGAATTTATGAATATGAGAATAAAAGCATGAATGATAAAAAAATTAAAATTAAATTAAATCAAATTAAATTAAAAATATAATAATAATAATGATGATAATAATAATAATAATATTGCTTGTTTGTGGCGGTCAAATGTCCTAAATGGCTTTGCGACTCATCTATCCTTCCTCCAATAGATTGGCTGATATTTTTCTCTTTTTGGTTTTTAAATTGTATTTTGCAGGGTATCTACTTTTCTTTATAATTATTTTGTCCTGCATGCTGTTGATTGTTTATAGTAATAATAATCTTTCTTTTGTTTTTTTGTTTTTCTCATTTTTTTATATTTTACTTTGTAGGGCTCTCCCTTTCCGGTTTTTCTTTATATTTTTGTGTTGCATGCTGTTGGTTACTCATGTTACTACAGNCTGTTTGATGATAATAATAATGAATGATGACGATAATACATGTAATAATAATAGCTCAATTTATTTACCCACTTTAAAGCTAGTCATAAACAGCCTCACTAAATAAATATTAAATAGTCCCACTGGAATAGTTCTGATCTAACTCTTTCCTTTCCATCCTCACAAGTCCAGTCTTAATTTGCTATGGGCGTGACTTCATCACGTGTATAAGCATGGAGGGTAATTATGAAAACATCTAAGCTTTTTTGTTTAGATCTAATCTACCTGGTCGTATGAATTTAAATAGGATTTCAAATCATTCTAAGCTCCATCAACAAATTATGTTAGAGAGCAAGCTATGAAGTCTTATTGAAAAGTAATTGTTTTATTTGTTGTTCATCCTTTTTCTTTGATTAGTGCGCCACTTCTATTCTATGCAATGATAAGTAAGGTAAGTGTTTATACTTGAGCTTGATGGGATAACGTATCTTATTTTTGATCAATTTTTGTAAATTTAACTCCTCAAATTTTTTTGCTATATATGATATTAATGATTATTGCTATTATTATTTTGGCAAATAATAAATTCTAAGTTCTGCCATAAGTCATTGAATAATACATTCATACCACTATTTTTACATAAAATTAATCGTGATAATAAATAAATAATTATTGAGTGTCATAATGTTGTCAAATCTCTATACTTCCTTGGGAGAAATAATAAGGCAGGATCAGGTTTATGTGCTGCTATCAAGTACATGCTGAGGCTCAGTGCTCAGTGGCCTGCAACAGTATTTGATTTATAGTCTAGATAACTTTTAATAATAATACTACAATAATAAATCTGGCGTCTATATTTAGGCCATGTGCACGAGTAGATTCTGTATCGCGCAGTATGGCTAGCCGTAGCAGCAGCAGCAGTAGCAGGGATGTTAAGAAAGGAAAGAAATTAGTTCCTCAGAAAGTTGAGACTAAAAAGGTACAACCTAAAAAATTGGAACCGAAGAGTGGCGGCGGCTTTTGGGACAGGCTGTCTTTTTGGAAAGATGACCCTTCTCCGCCAGAACCTATCAATCAGCAAGTTGAAAGCGATTTTGAATTAGCGAAAAAACTTCAACAAGAAGAAGATTCTAAACTTTATATTCAAGAAGATATAAACAAGGATAACGAGCAGATATTGCAGGAAGAAAGCACCAACGAACCAGAAAAGGATACTGAAGTGGCTGATCTAGAGTTCGAAAGAAAAATGAAGGAAATAGAAGAGCAAGCACAAGCAGAGTTGGAAAGAAAAATGAAGGAAATGGAAGAGCAAACACAAGCAGAGTTGGAAAGAGAAATGCAAATTCAAATGGAAAATGAGAAAAAGATAAAAGAAGAGATAGATAAGCAGGATGAAGAACTAGCTCGACTGCTTAAGGAAAAGGAGGCTATGGCCATGAAAGAAGAAACAGAACTAAAAATGAAGGCTCAAGAGGAAATTTTGGCATTAGATAAGACCTTTGATGCAGAGCTACAGCATCAAAAGATCCTTCAGAAAAAGGCTTTGATGAATGAAGAGAAAAGGTCTGCTGAGGTTTTAAGTGAGAAAAAAGATAAAATGAATGCTGACCTAACAAAGAAGAAGTCTTCCACAGACAAAGAAATGCAGAAAATGGAGATTCGGCAAAAGAAAGAGCTACAACAGAAAGAAAGAGATGTTTTAGCTGTTACTGAACAATGGAAGGCTGAGCTTGAAGTAAAGTTAGAAGATCAAGCAGTCATTGATTTGTTAGAGGAGGATGAACGTAAAATTAAACTTTCCTCTGAAATTGAAGCAATGAAGGAAGCTGCCAAAAAAGAAATGGAACTCTTCAAAAAAGAAGAAGCAATAAAGACCAGGAAAATAATTGAGGAAATCAAAAGGGAAGCTCATGAAGATATCAATAAAATGAAATGAACTAAGTTTATTGTTACTATGATTTATGTAAACATTATCTTGATGACATGATACCACTTTGCCAGAAATAGTTTTTTTAGTAATACTGTCACAGACACTTTTGACTTAACAAGCCAAAGTTAACAGCATCATGAGCGCACTATAATAACTTAATAAATTTCATGACAATGAAACATGCTCTTGTTTGTATGCATTAGAATGTAATTACAGCTTCTGTTTACTTTGTTGTATGCAGTACCTCTGTATGTGCCACTATTGGTAAAATTTTTTGATGTACATCAATTACAGGTCATGTACTCAAATTAAAATAATTAAACATTAGCAGTGCGTGTCAATTAATTTTTTGATAGCAACAGCCCATTTACAGTTTCATAACTTATGCATGTTCTACTTATACATCCTTCTAACTCTCTCAATATGTCATAACTTATGAACAAAGCCCTAATGGGTGATTAATTACATTAGGTGGTGAACTCCTTATAATATTTTTACACTCTTCTAGTTTCAATGTTTCTTAGTGGTATAAATATTGAAATTATTGTCACCCATGTTATTTTGCATGCCCATCAAGTTTTGTTATGATTTTTAAAAATTTCTTTTTGTCTTACTTTCCTCTTCTTCACCCTGTAAAGATTGAATTTGAATTTCAGACAATATAGATCTGGGCGTATCTGATAAATAAAATTTCATGACAAGTGATTCACATGCATTATTGAAGTTTGTTAGCAAGCTGAGTTAATAGTCCCCACCTAATGTTGAAACCAATAGTTATCAAAACATGGCAAGTATAGTTTGCTACCAGCACATCTTATCATAACTCTACCTGCCCATTTGTCTCTGCAGATGTTCAAAACATGTTGCAGTAGAATGTTTCTGGGAATGTAACTCCCATTGTGACCAGAAGGTTTATGTAGTGTAATGGTAGAATGTTTCTGGGAATGTAACGCCCATCGTAACCAGTAGGTTTATGCAATATGTCACTAGCTTTTACAGCCGGCACTATAGCAGCTGTTCACAAACATGCTATGATAGAACCTTGTTTTTGATTCTAAGAACTATGTTACTACCAGCAGATGTGCAATACGTTATCACTAAAGATTAGATCGGCCCATTTTACCAGAAATTTTCATAACTCAGTGAACTATACCAACCTATCACTACTATCAGGTGTTTCATTATCGTAGAATGTTTCTGGGAACATAACGCCTATCATAACCAGCAGGTTTATGTAACATGTGACTAGCTTTTACAGCCACTATAGCAGATGTTCAAAATATGCTATGATAGAACCTTGTTTTTGATTCTAAGAATTACGCTACTATCAGTAGGTGGGCTTGGATTGGCCCAGTTTACCAGAAAATTTTATAATGCAATGAACTATAACAACCTATCACTACCATCAGGTGTCTAACGTATGTTATCGTGCTTCATGAATTATACAATTTTAATTCTTAGAACTATACAACAACCCATTTACTAACAGCAGATGTGTAAAACACGTTATTGTTAAATGGCCTTAAGGCTCAAGCCATGCATAAGATATTGAAAACATAGCTGTTATGATAAAGCCTTTAGCCTTATTCTAAGAAAGTGCAATTGTGCATTCCTATTGTTGGATCTATCAACAGGTGCAATGTGCATATGGTATACCATATATTAAGGTTGTTACACTCTAAGGTAGACTATAGCGTAAACTTTCCTGAATGCTTAATAAAGACAACATGATACAAATTGTGAATTAACATTATTTCATATAAGCATGTGAGCATGGTTGTTGTGTTATGTCTTATGTTTGCTGTTACTTAGTTATTATTATCAGTATTAAGAGTAGTTCTTAATCTTACCTTACTTTATGTACCTCAATATATATGTGTATGTGCATACACTGATATTAATTCATGTTATACAAGAGCATGTTACCACTTGTATAATATTAAACTCATTCATGGGCTACTTGGTGAATATATGTTCACACCTTATAAGGAAAGTATATGCACAAAAATGAAAACAGTCAATCACCTGCATTAAGTTATTGTCACTGGCTTCCAGCTTTGATAATTTACTGATTTGATTATGCATACTTGAAGCAGTGTATTAATAAATATTTAAGTTGGGCGCAATGAATTATTCAGCTTTTAAGCTTTATACATAACTTTTTAAAATGATTTCCTAAACCTATAATTATTAGAATATTATAGACTATAAAGTTGTAAGATTATTATTGTTTTCGAGCTTCTATTGCTTCATCACTTTATTCTTTGGAATCTCCTTGTTCACCATCTTTCTTCTCTATTCCATCCTCATTTTCATTGGTATCTTGTGGAGTTTCTTGATCATCTTCAGGTTTTGAATCAATCGCTTTTTGTGATGGTGCACTAGCTTGAACTTTAGCAATTGCATCATGTGCTACTCCGGAGCTATAAACAGATGAATTCATCAGTACTTTATCAGCAAGCTGCAATGCTTTATCGGGATGCTTCTCTAAAAGCTGGAGTAGAAATTGCTGCCTTTGAGCTTCTGCACTTTGGACAGCTGCAATTCTATCTGCCTCAATTTTTTTGATGGCATCGGTTTTCATCTCAGTTGTCTGGATAATTGTCTCAGATTGCTTCTCTGTGACATATTTTGTGGTTTCCTTTTCAGCCTCGATTTTCTTTTCATTTATTTCTTTTGCTGTATCAGCTTCTTTTTGTTTGATTTCCTTTTCTGTCTCGGTTTGCATCTTTACAATAGCTTCCTGGGAAGTCAGCTCCATTTTGGTTCGCTCTTTCTGCTCTGCCAATTCTTGATCCTTAAGATATTTCTCTGCTGCAAGCTTCTTTTCGGTCACTTCTTTAGAATGTGCTAATTTTTTTTCTTCCACTAATTGATCAGTTTTGATCTTCATTAAATCAGCTTGCTCTTTTGCTCTAATTTCTTCCATTTTCAATTGCTTTTCTTGCTCCCTTCTTTTTTCTTCTAACTCTTTTTGAAATGCCAGTTCCCTTTCTTTTCTTTCCTTTTCTGCTTGCATTTCTTTCATCCTCATTTCCTTTTGTGCAGCAAGTTCCATTTCTTTTTTCTTTTGATCAGCATCATTCATCATTCTTTTAATTCGCTGATCAGCTTCATGTTGCATTCGTTGCCGTTCTGTCTCGTTCTTAGCCAGAGTGATTTTCAATTCCATTTCTTCTTTCTGCTGCTTTAGCCTTGCATCTAACTCTTTAGCTTTCATTTCTTTTTCATAGCTTATTCTCTGCTTTTCCCTCTCTAGATTAGCCTTCTTTTCCCTTTCATCTCTATCTCGACATCCACTGCATTTTTCTATTGTTTGTGTACTAGGGCCAAAAACTTTTGCAAAGAAGCCATCCTTTCCTACAGAAAAAGTGTCGCCACAATTCTTGCATTGAACGTATGGCATATCCTTGCCAATAGAATAATACTTGCTATAGGAAGTAGCTGTACGTAGCAGAAAAATGACATAATGAGCTGGTCTTTTATAGACTGGTATACTAATTTTAATTAAAATTTTATAACCAGCTCTGATTTTAAAAGGATTTGTATGAGGTATGCTAATTTGTTTTATCATTCGAGTGTGGAATGGCAATAAAATCTCAAAAAGAATTTGAAATCGAGTTAGCTGAACAAGAAGAACAAATAAAAAAAGAGCTAGAAGCAGGGTTATGGCAGTTACAGTCTGATCTTGCCACTAAAAATGAAAGTACTGACAAAGAATTAGCAAAAAAAGCTGAAGAACAAGAAAGTTTAATTTCCAAAGAAAGAGAGAAGATGGAGCAGAAGCTGGCAGCAGAAGAAACATGTGCAAGTGAAGAAGCAATCAGAAAAGAAGCAAATACAAAAGAGTTGTCTGAGACTTTGCAAAAATTGGAGTCTGAGCATACAGCCAGTTTGCAAAAGATAAAGTCAGATTTGAAGGCTAATGTAGCTATACTTCAAAAGGAAACCAGTGATAAAACTATAGAAGTCAAGGAAGCAATTGAAAGGGAATCTCAAATGCTTGGGAAAGAAAAAGCAGAACAATTGAGTGTGTTATCTGATATTCAAAAGAAGGAGACAAAGGAAATTGATGATTTGATGAAAGAATTGAAGGACGATGTTAACTACATGAGTAAAAAAGTAATAGAAAAAACTGAGCAAGAGATACAAGATATGAAAAATAATGCAAAAATATTTGAAAAAGAAATAAATGAATTGGTCCAGGATCAAGAAAAGTAGGAATTGCATCTAAACTTTTAAGTTTTGTAGCTCTGTTAAGCCATTTTGATTGTTGATTATTATCAGTTGCTTAATAATAATTGTTATTTGTTCAATCTGAACTGTGCACGACACTTGTGTTTGCTAAGATATAAATCTAGCATGATAAGAGGTGATATTTTGCACATCTGTGGTATAGGGAAATAACCCATTCCTTATCATAACATGAAACATAATGTCCACCTGGCATTTCTCAGAATCTGTTAAGTATGCATAACAATTTGGTGTTGCATGAAGGTGGGATCACTGGGATGTACTATTATTGGTTTTTATAGCAATTGGGACTTCCTGCTAGTGTAGATTTCCTTTGATAGACTTAACATCATTCAGCTTTGTTCTAAACGGGAATTAAGCTCGTTCTTTATTAGTGATCATCATGGCATCAAACAAAGAATTTGAGAAGGAACTTTACTGGCAGAGACTACTATTGCAAACTAAGCTTGAGGCTGAACAGACTGAGTTTCAAAGGAAGATTACAGCTGAAAGTGAAGCCAGTTTTAATGATTTAGTTCAGAAATATGAACATACGGAATATGAAATGAAGCAAAAGCTTGCTAAGGAAGAAAAGGAAATGAAACTAGAGAGAGAAAAAGAACTGGAGCGAATTAAAGCTGAAAGAAAGGAAAGGATGAGGATAATTGAAGCTGAAAAACAGGAAGAAGAAGAAAAAATGGAAGACGAGAAAAGAAAGTTTGAGATTGAAATTGCACAAAGAAAATCTAGACAAATGGAAGAATTTCATACGTTGAGCATGTGGAAAAAAAGAGAGGTGGAAGAAAAATTTCAAGCTACTCAACAAAAAATAAATGAGGAAAAAATAACAAGGCAAGAAGAACTAGAAAGTAATAAGGCTTTACAAGAAGAAGAAATAAAGGCTAGTGCTGAATGGAAAAAGTTTGTAGCTGACAGGACAAGCAGTATTATTACTAGTACAACCGAGATGAAAGCAGATGCGATAGGACGAATAGAACAGAAACGAATAGATACATTAGTTACGTCAGACATCCAGAGGACACAACTCTATGTTAAGATGCGCATGATGAATGACAGCTTTGATGAAAAAGACATTTCTTCTCTAGATTCCATAATGCTAGAACCTTCTTTATATCAAAGTCAAGGTGCAGGTGCTATTGCTAGTATTGAAGGGCAAGCATCAAAGTTATCATTAACTGCTCCAACTACAAAAGAAGGGACTTGCAAAGATGTTACTACTAGTGAGTTAAGTCACAAACATACCACTTCACGAAGTATTGCTGATGAGCTCAAGCATAGGAAGCATGAAGTAGATGAGAAGTGTAAAAGTATTTCCCAGGCAACTGCAGCAAGAATTGAAAGCATTGAAAAACCAGAACATGAGCGGCTGAAGTGTGTTGGAACTGCTGATAGAAAAGCTATAAAGTTGATGGATAAGATAGTATCTAGATCACATGGAACATTTGACCCAGGATTCATAGCAAGTGTCAATAAAGAACTTTCTCCTCACAGTTGTGCTTTTAAGACACAAGCTACTGAAGACATAGCCAATATAGAATTGAAGCCAGACTAAATCTAGCTATCTAAGCTAGCTTTGATAATAATGATAATTAATACAAGTTATCTCTATGATATACCGTATAGCGGGTTTTTTCGAGGATAATAAATTTCGCGAATGGCCTGTCTTCAGACATTCACGAAATTAAATTTCGCGAATGAACCATTGAGGTCTTGATAGTTAATTAATTCTAATAATATTATTCAATTAAATTAATAAATTATTAACAATAGCAGCATGCAACCTTGCTTTTTCCCATAGTTTACTCTAGTCAGTTTTTTCATTTTCTAGAGCTATTGCCAAAATAATGCAGTTTGTTGAGTTAATAATTTAGTTAATATGTCATGTGCAATTGCCCAATGCAATAGATAATAATAATTATGTTATTTGAAGCTTTCATTCAATGTGAGCTATAGAGACATCATGTGAGCTGGTGGGAGATACTTAAAATTGAATAATGTAAGAGATGTTAATGACATCATCATCATCATAAATGACGTGACAATACAAAACAGTGAAGACAATCATGGATACAGAAGTATTTTACAAAAAATGAAAAATTAATTTATTAAAATAGGAGCACCATTTATACCTAGCTAGGACAGTATACCAATATTTACTAATAAATACCAAAATTTTAATTTAATCTTGTATACCTACAATAGGAAGTGCTGACCCCTCGAGAAGGTCTCAAACCTTTCTAAAGAGTTCTATCACACTCTTGTTGTGATTGATATTTATCAGCTGTATAGCCAGTCCTGAATAGCAAAAGAATTCACAAAGCAGCTAGGGCTCATATGGATGGGGTGAGCTCAAAATGTTTACATAGATTTTCTATGAGCAGTAATTAATTCATTTTTCAGCTGACTTCAAAATTATTTCCACAAATATTGTTTCTCATTACTGTATATAGCTAATTTTTTTAGTCAAAATTTCATCAAAATTTTAATTTGTTGTTAAGGTTAATTTTTTTCAATACAATTGTCATTTCTGTGCTACTCGCTGAGAGCAAAAATTTTGTTGGTCAAAAATTCCTTAAAACAAAAAGCCTGACAAATTTGATAAAATTTTTGACTGGAGCTCTACAATGTATATACTGTATAGCTGGAAAAGTTTGCGGGAATTATATTTTGCGATTTTGTACCCATATAGCTAATTTTAATGTTTGTGGAATTTAATTTTGCTGGTGTAGGCGTGTACTGTTGATACACCCATTACTTGTAATGCTTTGCGGAATTAAATTGTGCATTTTTATGATGAACAGCAAACAGCAAAATTAAATTCCAGCAAATATTTCCAGCTATACGGTAGTACAACACATACTGATAATGTAAGGATTGATAAATAATGTGCATGTAATATCTTGTAAATATTTTAATTCACTTTTTATTGTTTTGTTAAAAGAACTTTAGCAGAAGTTAGTTGAATGTGACATGAAAATAAGGACAGGAATTTTATTGCAGGTATTTTTTTAAATTAAAAAAGTATATACACCACTCCCCTCTTTCATTGATAGACTTCTGGCATATGACACATATTTGAAGGACTATCTCTCTTTTGTACTCAATCATAATCCTTTTAACTTTTAATGATCCCAGAAGCCCATTGAAGGTCAGTTTTAAATAGCTATAGTGTACATTTTTATTTGTGTTGTTTAATTTTATTATGATTAAATTTTAAAGCATGGAGTGAATGGACGCATTTTCATCAACTTTTAAAATTGTAAAAATAAAATTTTAATTGGAATTAACTCAAACTTTCTAAATACATAAGTTTATGTATGTATCAGAAAAATTATAAAATTGAGAATTTTTTCATAGCTACTTTTGACAATATTTGGCCAAAGACTGTGTACTATTTTTACACATGTAGTATTACGGCAGTGTTACTAAATAGGATTCACTCACTTATGGTTTTTGATCTAAATTTGGAGCAACTTAAAAATTTGTAAAAATTAAAATTTGATCAAAATTAGCTCAAATTTTGTAAACAACATACTGACATGTATATATATGTCTCAGAAAAATTTATAAAAATGGAAAATTCTCTCTTTTCAATTTTTGCAAAATTTGGCCTGAGATCATGACTTTGACCAGATTTCTTAAGCAACTTTAAAAATTCAAAAATCTAATTGTGATCAGAAATTTGGAATCAACTCAAACTTCTACACAACATAAATACATGTTTATATATCAGAAAAAAATTAAAATGGAGAATTTTCTCCTTTTAAATTTTGGTGAAATTTGGCCTGTGACCATGTACTGATTTTTTAGCAACTTTAAAAATTTATAGAAATCCAATTTTTATTGTAATCAGTTTAAACTTTCTACGCAACATAAATAGATGTATATGTATTAGAAAAAATATTAAAATGGAGAGTTCTTTCCTTTTAAATGTTGGAAAAATTTGGCCTGGGCCATGTCAGGATTTTGACCAGATTTTTGAGCAACTTTAAGAATCCATAAAAATTTCATTTTTTTGGAATCAGCTAAAAGAAGTATAATAAATTAAATAAAGATTACTTTCATAGCCATTTTTTGACACAATACCATCCAAGTTTTTAAGTCCATCCACACATGTACCAATTCGACATATGAACATAAGAACATTAATTTTTGTTGTTAGAGTTTGAGCAGCTATGAGTAGTTTTTTAGTGTGTAAATTAAAAAAAACATCAGTTCTCTAATTTTGGCAGGCCAAATGTCAACATGAATGTACATGTGTGTATTGGATTTTTCAAGATGTGAGCATCACAACATACTCATTCCTTTATGATAATATCTTGTAGTTTACTACAAATGAAATTAATAAACTCATTTTGAAATGAATGATAGCCAGATTCACTCCCCATTAGACATGCCTTAGTATAGCCAGAATGATGAAAAATGCAGTGAACTTGGGTTAATTGATATCAAAGATTAGATATCTGTTTCACATAAAGTTATATAGATCTATTACTTTGACCTTAATTCCCTTAAGAAATAAAAATTTTCACTGTTTATGCTATAATTTTTTATATTTATATCATGATAAACACTTTTCATTTCATTATTTATTGTTATTATTATGTAGAATGTAATTTTAACTGTAATTTAACCAGATGAGAGTTTTTAAAGGCAATTTTCTTTAATTGGTAGAGCTGTTACATTTCAAAAACCTTTTAGTTGAGTTGGAAAATTAAAGCAACTGTTTGGTGGAAAATGCACTTAAGGACAATTGAATTTATTTAGTGTATACATGTTATTTTTGAGTGTATCTATTTATGTATGAAGTTTTGCAAAATTGTTTGTTTTTTCTTCTGTTTATAGATTTGGTCTGCTATGTTAATCTGTAAAACACTTCAAGCATAGAGGAATTTACATTACCAATGGAGAGGTGTTAAGATGTCAGTAGCTATACCTTGCAAACTCTTCCTGCAGTGTTTCAATCATTTAAATATTATTTGCATTATTACAAACATAATTATGATCAACTTGATTTTATTGATGCTTTCTGTTACTATAATTTTCAAACCTATATTTGTAGTACTGATACTACCATATATCCAGATTAGTGCATGGCTAGCTAGTTTACACTTTAGACCACACCCAGATCCATATATGTTATAAAGTAGTAAAAGCACTACAATTCGCTACAATTAGCTCTGACTCGACTTTAGTCGACTTCTGACTAACAAGAATAAATCGTGTAATTTCCTTCCAAGATCTCATCTAGTTGTCAGAAGGTAAGTGTAATGGCTACTTCTAGAGTCTTGCATCATGTACATGTAATGAGGAATGGGAAATTTCAAACAAAATTGACAGCAAAGTCAGCTAAAATCACTTGTTATTAATGCAATAGATATAGGAACAAAGACACATAGAAATAGCTAAATTAATTAACATAATTTTTGCAGAGTGTTAAGACTTTCTAAATCAGTCAAAAATAACGTGCGAATTTTCAAATGATAGGCCACAAAAGTACCAACTGGCTACTAGACTAGATCTAGTTTTATGGTATAATGCTCATGATTTTCTAAAATAAAACAAAAGTTATTAATTTAATTAGGCCACTAGACTTTATTAAGATTTTTAAAATCTGCATATCATTTATTTTTAAGATTTAAAGTTAAAAATTTTGTCCATGTAACTGAAAAGATTATGGAGACACCATTATGGTTTCACCCATAACAAAATTTCCCTATATGGTAAATCACAGCACACTGCTACTCTACTACATCTAGATACTACTATATCTACTCTCTGATGTAATTTAGATGTACTCTAGTCTACAGGTCATATCCTGTATTAGTGCTTCAAAGCACTAATATATGACCTGTAAACTAGAGTACATCCGATTGCAAAGATAACAGAGAGTAATCTTGTGCGGCCCGACTCTCCACCTCTGGCTGCGCGAGACTAAACAGAGAGTATAGTAGAATCTAGTTTAATGTAGTAGAGTAGCAGTGTGCTGTGATTTCAGCACCATATAGGGAAATTTGTTATTTCTAAAAACTGTCATATCACAAATCAAATTTGTGTAAAAGATGCACTTTAAGTTCTTATTGTGCTTGTGTACTCTGGCACATCATTATTGTATTGAATGACCTTAATGGCATATAATTTTGTCACTGTAGGTTTCATTAAAATGCATCATCATCCTTTAATGGCTATGATTCTTGTTCTCTGTCTCGTTGCTCTTATTTCAGCTTCACCAATTAATGTTGTTTCACCACATCAGTTGGACGCATTGTTGTGCCACAAGCAAAATTTCACTGAATCAACAGAGATAATCCTTTTTACAAATGTTACTCACAACATATCTGCTGTCGGGTTTTGCATTGTTAATATTTCAAAGTCTCTTACTATAAGAAGCTCAGGAGTAAGTGCTATAGTACAATGCACAAGTATGCTGAATGGTTTTGTTTTTACTGGTAGCAACAATTCTGTTTTATTTCTTAATGCCATCAAATTTCTTAAATGTGGCACTAAATTAAGCCAATTAGATGAATCTTTGAAGTGTAAAATCAATGCATCAAATTTTCCATTCTATTTTACTCAACATCATGCTGCTGCATTGCTTTTCATAGGTGTTAATGACATTCAAATGAAAGACATTGATGTAGAATCTTCCTATGGTTTTTCCATTATATTATTTAATCTTCCTAATGGAACAATAGACTCGGTCACAATAACAGCATCTAGTACAACAGCAGTAGGTAAAGGAATAAGTGTTGGTAGTGGCCTTTTGATTCTTTACTGCAATGAAACTAGACTTGGATCTAGTAAAAGTAGCAGTATTGTTCTATCCTCTTTGCAACTACAGTTTCTGTTTGAGGATATATTTGAGTTTGAATGCATTCAGAATTTATATAATTCATCCGTTACACATCTAAATAAAATCCCCATTGTCAATGCTGCTGGGTTAACAATTTTCTACATGCGAAACGATTTTCCAGTTACTGTGCAAGTTATTGGCAGTAATTTTTCCCATTGTTATGGCTCATTAGCTGGTGGCTTGTTAATCGTGCATCAAAATTTTTTCACAAATTCTCAGACTGTCATTGAGCAATGTACTTTTGATCATAATTCTAATATTCATGGCTGCCATGGTGGGGCTATTGTTGCAGTAGTTTATTACGATCAGAACAAATCCCATTTTCAAAATTACTCACTCAATCAATCCGTTCCTCTAACAATTTCCAATTCATTTTTTCATGATAATGGAAGAGATGGCACCAAATATTCTGGGGCTATTAGTGTACTGGCTATAAATCCTGAGAAAATTCCAATTCAGTTTTATTTCAAAGAAGTCAAGTTAATGTTTAATTTTGTCAGTAGTGATGGATCATGCTTTGTTGGTCTGGTTGACTCCCAATCAATTGTGCCTGACAACAATATTGAATTCATTTTTGATTCAATTTTTGTCTCTAACAATTCTTCTCCTGTTCACGGGCAAAGCACTAAATTGTACTATCCTACTAGCATGTTTCTAATTTTAAATGCTAAAAGTATTATTAATGGGACAGATGAATTTCCAGGAACTTTTTCATACAATTATGGTTCTGTTTTTAAAGTTTCTCAATCAACTATTGTGCTTGAAGGTTATTTAAACTTCACAAGTAATACTGGGTTTTATGGTGGAGCATTTTTTCTCCTTGATTCCAGTGTTATTTTATTTTCACAAGGCCTAAGGGCCAAATTTACAGGCAATCATGCTAAAGCTTTTGGAGGAGCAATATATTCAATTGCAGCAAGCAACAGTTACTATGCTAAGTCACTTTGTTCATTCCAGGTTAATGATGATCAATATAATGATACACAAATATCATTTTATAACAACACAGCCATGATATTTGGGGATTCAGTCTACTCTACAAACCTCTACAATTGCTACATGCAGAATAAGTTATTAGAACCATACCAACTCACATCCATATACAAAACAATTTTTAATACAAGTTTGCCTAAAAAGTTTTTGTTTACCAATGCCATGACCATTGAAACTTGCAATAAATCTTCCTACATTGGGTATCCTGGAGAAACATTTCACATAATGCTGACAGCAAAAAATATATTGAATGAAACTACACATGCAGAAGTATTTGTTTCGGCAGCATTAGCAACTTATAATGGAATTCAAAACATTGATTGGTGGTTCTCCGAGAAAGAGTTAATACAAGTATTTGGCAATGAAAATGGCTGCTCAGATGCTAGCGTCACAATACACACAAATGATCGAAGCACTGTTGACATTATTGGGGAGCATCGTGCGTTTTTACTATTTTTAATTGAAAACTCTAATATTTTAACAAAAGTTGACATACATTTGCGTTCTTGTCCTCCGGGTTTTGTACATGATGTGATTAACACTGGGTCCTGTGTATGTTCAAACATTGTTAAGAACATTGCAGATACTGCACCTATCTGTGACATAAATTCAAAGAGCATATTACGGCCTTCTAAATCTGCTTGGATGGGAGTAATACTGAATGAAAATGGAACTGAGACATTTGCTGTAAGTCTTTTCTGCTATCAGTACTACTGTAATAGTAATTCAAGTTTTGACATGGTCACAGTTAATACTGATGGAACGTTTCGATTGTCATCATCATCGAAACCTGGTGTCACTAGTTCACTTTGCATTAGTTATCGTACAGGAAAACTCTGTAGTAGTTGTGCCAATGGCTACAGTGTGGTTTTTGGATCACCAGAGTGTAAAAAATGCAGTAGCCTATGGCTTTTGACTTTGCTTGCATATGCTATAGCAGGTCCTCTCCTCATTTTTATTATGTATTCCCTAAATCTAACGCTAAATGTTGGCACCATAAATGGCATCATCTTTTATGCACAAGCTTCTAATTTTGGAATTTTAGATGCCTTAAACAATCAAGGTCATGGTTTGAATAGATTATTAACTATTTTTCTGTCACTCCTAAATTTAGGGCTTGGTTTCCCAGTTTGTTTTTATGATGGAATGAGCGAGATGTGGAAAGTAATATTGAATCTGTTGTTTCCTCTTTATCTTTTTGTCATTGTTGTACTTATCATCATTCTGTGCCGATTTTCTAGTAAAGTATCAAATAAATTTTCTAGTTCATCCATTCAAGTATTAACAACTATAGTCTATCTCTCATTTGCAAGGCTACTTAGTTCAGTTGTTAGTGCTTTTAAACCAGCAGTTATTCATACAGCCGAATCAGCTCATCTTGTTTGGTATTGGGATGCATCTGTGCCTTATAACAGCACAGGACATATCATCATTATGGTTGTGACTTCATTGATTACGTGTCCACTGCTGATGACATATCTGTTTCTTCTACTTTTCCCTAGACCTCTGAGATGCAATGCAAAGCTCAATGAATGGACAAGGCCAGTAATAGAATCCATTAAGGCTCCATATAAGGAGGGAAGGCATTATTGGTTTGTAGCAAGGATTCTAGTTATAACATTTATGTACATCTTGTATAGTACCGAGACTTATGTTTCATTTTTTAATGTCACAGTTATGGTAATTCTGATCTTTATAGTGTTATCTCAAGCTGTTTTTAATCCATACAAAAGCAAATTAATCAACCTGTTAGATTGCTGGCTCTTAGTTAACCTTACCTTTTCATTTGGTGCTCTTTATAGCAAAAATGCAAGTAGCCCCCAAAATATAAATATTTTCCTTGAATCGGTTGTCATTCTTTTCTTCTTTACTTTCCTGTGTTTGGTCCTATATCATTTCCTGATGGTATCGAAAAAATTTCGCAAAGCAAAAGATGAAATCGGTCAGTGGCTGTTTCAAAGGTGTAATAATCAAAGAATCTCCAGAAATATTAATGATTTTAGTAACAAAGATCCTTATTACAGTCCTTGTGATGAATATCGTGAACCTCTTCTCAAGCCAACAGCAACATTTTTGAACTTATAATTGTATTTTAGTGCTATACTTGTTATTGTCACAATAAAGGTATACCTTTTTGAGCTGTAAAACATTGTTTATTATTTATGCCAAAACCAAATTATTTTTTAGGACTTAAATTTTGAATTCTATTTACCTAGACTAGTCTAGATCTAGATCTAGTTGTAGTTGTTTCAAAGGGGATCAAAAAATTAGTGAGGGGCAACCCCCTCCCATGATATAATTTTTATAGTAATCTGAGTGTAGTGATGTTAGGACCAGGCAAATCATGCTAGCATAATTTGGAACACAATAGGGCAAGTTATTATGCTGGCATAATGGGAGCATAATGGGTCAAAAATTTACCCAATACCCCTGACCACAAAAATTGCAATTCAATATGGCAAGTGGTAGTGGTAGTGCAAAAATAGTATTCAAATTCAAAGTCGTAGGAAGCATTTTCAGTTTCTGGCATTATTATAATATTATTTTTATTACAATACATGTAACTTGATAATTCATACTTGAGTAAAGCATAAAATATGGGTATAAAATGAGCATAATTGAATTGATTTCAAAGCATGATGGAATTTGGGGCAGTGCCTAAAAGCTTATGTAATAGGAAGAAATTGAAGCATAATTTTGCTAGCCCTAGTGACTGTATAGCTTTAATAATATGATTTTAACTTTTCTGTTTGTTATTTTTTTGAATGCTGCACTCTCTTGTGGTCAAGTTGTACCTGAATGCCCTGACAAAGGAGGTAAGCAGCTACTAAAGCAGTACAATTCATAATTAATCCAATTTTCACAGAAACAGTCTGTCTTGGCCATAGCACTAGTAGAGTATCTAAAAGCATTGGAAACACAGTATCTGATATACTATTAGATGCACATGAACAATTTTGTGGCTGTCGATACATAAAAGATAATCTTGTCATTTCAATTGGTAACAGCCTCTCTGATGCTGATCAGCATTTAGTGGAGGCTAATTTCTCATTCTTGTACTATGTGAGGGAAATTAGTGGTTACCTTGAACTTAGTGGTATACCATACATTAAAAAGCTGTCCCTACCTAGCCTCAGGCTCATAAGGGGTGATACCTTACGATTGTCTCGTTATGGCCTAGCAGTGTCTGGAAGAATTGAAATGCTCTTTATGCCAAACTTAACTGAAATCAGTAAAGGTGATGTGGTATTGCTTGGTAACTCTGATGGACCATACCTGTGTAACGTTCTATCAGTTAATTGGACTGATATTGCTCCATTTGGTCCTTCTGGTCATAGATTCGAGACAACAGGATGTTCAGATTCTAGTACGGCACTTTTACTGTTGATTTTGTTTTTACTTTTTAATGTAATAGATATCATAGATTGTGATGCATTAAACTGTAACTCTGGCTATTGCTGGTGCAATGATACCAGTTGCTGTCAACCATGTATGTAGTCTACTCTCATTAATTACTACTTGTCACCATTACATTTTATAGTAACTTACATTAATTGTAACTGTAACAACAGTCAACGTTGCTATAGAAGTGATCATACAACACATTGTTGCAATTCAGAGTGTGCTGCTGGGTGTATTGGAGGAGAAAACGCTGATCAGTGTAGGGTATGTGATTACAGCTGCATGGCACCATAAACATAGTAGGGTCATGTGATAGTTGTAATTGTGACAATGTGGGTCAAAATTTGCAGTTTTGATAGTAAACTCTATAAGAAAATGTGAATTAGATTATCAATAGTAATGTTTATTTTAAAGAGTTTGTACAATGTATCCGTTCATTATTTAACTGATCTTATTAAAAACAGCATTCATGTTATGTTGTTGAATTTATGATGCCTATCATCTTATGACTAAATAAACTTTGGAAAAAAGCATCACAGTAATTATGATCAGATATCAGTTATTGCAATTCCTGTTGTTATTTATTGACTTTGATAGGCTTGTAAAAATGTTTTGGATGATGGTGTATGCCTTGAAGAATGTCTCATTCAAGAACCCCCCAATGTTAATAATAAGTCTAATTCTGACCTGAAGTTTGAAGCTAAACCGCTATGTCTCAGCAGCTGCCCAGGTAGAGAGTAGAATAAAATACCAGTATTTAAATTACACGATGCATTGTTACCAGATGTGCTCTTTGAGTTTGGTACAATTTGTGTTGAAAGTTGTCCAGCAAATTATACATCTGTACCCACAAGTCGTGGAACAATGAAATGCATTCCTTGTGACAAAGTTTGTTTTCAAGGTATGTTTATTATTTATATGCTTACTTTTTATACTTTTGATTATAGAATGTGTGGGCGGTATTTTTGATTATAGTAATCCTGGAGCATATGCTGGGTGCATGATAATTACCACATCATTGAGAATTGGGAGCATACCTGTTGGTACAAAGTCAGTGATTAAATTATAAAATTGCTTAGTGACATTTTTATCTCAGTAATTCAATTTTGAATGTTCTTAAAGACATTATTGAGATACGTGGCTCCTTAGATATTAGCAGTTTTAGTGACAAAACTTTTCCTTACCTATCAAACCTGAAAGCTGTGGGAACTAACTCCGTTCAAGTATTATCAACTCAATCTTGCCAGGGGTTGAGTGAATACTTTAACCATTCTATTATAGTATCTGACACAAGTCTAGTCAGTATTGATCTTTCATCATTGGAGACAGTGAGTGGTGGTATACGACTGCACAATAATCCCTCACTTCATGATATTGGGAACTTGTGTTACTACTTAATCAACGATAATGCATCATTGTCGTCAAGTTGTGTTTTGGATAATCATAGATTAATCATGAACGAATGTGGTTAGTTCCATGCTATTATTACTTTAAAATATATATTGCATATCTATTTTATTTAAGACACAATATGCATGTTATAAAGGCTACATTCATCATGCTCATGCATAAAGATTTATATGTAGTGGCTTTGAATTTGTTTTACTTAATTGAACTTTTCCTATTAGCCATTACTTCTGTAGCTAATGACAACTGCTCTAGCTGCATTGATTTGACTCGTACACCAGAAGCCAATGGAAGCTCAGTTGTTGCAACCACCATTCACCTCATACATGATTCAGAAATTTTTGAGGATGATTGCGTGACTTTAAAAAGAATCGCATGGCTTGAGACTCATGATGGCACTAATCAATTGACCTATAGACCATATCACCATGGAGGAATATGGAATGTAAATGAAACTAGCTTCAATAATATAAGTCCTATCCTTGCTCATGGAAATGGAATATGGAGAGTCTTTGGTATTAACTGGAAAAATGTTACATGGACTGATCTTAGAAAACCTCTCTATTCAGCTCTAGCGGCAAGGCTACTCATTCATCAGATTACTAACGGTGCATCATTATGTCAAATATCTACTCAAGCTAACATGTGGTCAAGTACATACACCAGTAGCAGAAAAACTGTGGATTACTACTTAAAATTAAATTCAGAGCTCAACGTCACCCAACAAAGTGGGTTTTCTACTACTTATTAGCTTATAATTAATGCATTACATGTTAATAGATAAAATACAATTGATGGTATTTTTCTTTTATTAGTCAATATTACTCAAATTGGTCTTGGAACTAGTGATTTGGTCAATCTTTCATCAAATGAGTGGGCCTACTTTTCACTTAATGTATCTGAAAATATCTCTCTAATTATAGTATCTCTTTTAGTGGATGTTGGAAAAGCATCACTCTATGTTTCTAATATTGGTCTGCCTTCTGATTCATTCCACTGTGCTCAAATAAAAGAGACATCTGAAAATGGATATGTGTATTTATCGTTAAATCAATTTAGTTCTTATGGATCTCAGGATATCTTATTCATTGGTGTAGTGGGACATAAAAATTATAATATGACAACTGCTTCCCTGAGTCTTAACGATGCTCAAAACTCATATAATTGTAAGATATGAATATATTTACTTGTAGTATGTATACAGTAAATACGCATGTTTAGTGCTCATTAAAAAATACACAGTAAAATTAGGTTATTCAGTACTAATTGTTTAATTTTTTTACAGTTGTTCAAAACTTGGGAAGTGATTCAGAATGGTTTGCCATTGGAATTTTTGGAAATAAAGAGGATGTAGAACCCCTTCCTTTTTCAATCTTTGTCACCTCTGATTCGAATGAAACCTTTAATATTTCAGTTGAGTCTTATAGTGGCCAGATAATGACTGCTAAAGTGAAACCTTTTGAAACAACAAAATTTTCGTTATCACATTTGTATACTGTGACAAACGTCAATGATACACTCAATGGTCTCATCATTAAAGCAGAAGGTGGTCATAGAATAAGGGTTTCAGTCAGATATTTCTCTAGTGATTCATACTTAGCTCTTCCTTTGATTAAGTATGATGGAGTTACAGAATACACATACATTGCTGTTACACCAACATTGGTTTCTCCTGGCACAAAAAGTAAAATTCTCATAGTGTGTGGCTTTAATGACACATCAGTCACTATAATACCTTCTGGAACTGCTTTAGTTTATTCGCCACATGAAGGCCTCAGAGAAATTGAATATTTAACTAACATAACCATTTTAGCAATGAAGTTCCAAACAATACTAGTTGAAAGCGATGAGCTGTTAATTGGGACAAAAGTAGTTACAAGCAAACCAGTGACATTTCTCTCTGGACATCAATGTGTTTCAAAATCTGGTTCCATGAATGAGTCATGTGAATTCACAATAGAGCAGATACCACCAACAGTCAATTGGGGGCAGAACTTTATTTTTTCTTCTCTTCCTTCTTCTAATGATTCTCGTCTCTCTATAACTGCTGCAGAGCCTGACACTAAAGCTACCATATCATGTGATGGATTTAGTGCTGATTGGGAACCAATTACAATCTCCAACCCATCCGGTTATATTGAAATAGTTGTAAATGCTGATGACAATTTCTGCAGCATTGTCGCAGATAAGCCCTCCATGGTTATGGTGGTGAGTTCATCTACTCACACTGAGAGGAGTATGATGTCACTAGTGCATCCAATAGAACAATACTCTGATGCTAATTACACATTTGCTGCACATAGTACTTTGATGGGAGAAGATCATCTTAATCTTATTCTTGATGGGAATGTACATGATGTCCTTCTTAATGATGAGCCAGTGATTATTCAGACTCAGTTTTTGAGTATTCAAGGAAGAGAGACATTTAGATATGGACTTCCATTGGAATTAGACAATGTAACCTATTCTGTGTCTATAAAGAATGGTGCAAGAGTTGGGACTATGTTGTATGGTTTTGATCAATTTCTTGGTTATGGGCAACTCACTGCTACTAGCCTTTATATGGTACACAAAAGTAAGATAATTTATCCATATTCATGTTGTATCATTTACACCACTATCTATTTTAGGTAATAATCATTTGTCAGTCAATGTAACTAGTCATATTGTACAGTATGTAGCTGGTGACAATATTGTTTTAATGTGTTCTACTAGTGGTTTGCCTGTGTATGCTATACACTGGATGAAGGAGGATTCCATTATATATCCTTCATGTAAACTTTCTATCTCAAGTTGTGGTCCTAATTCAAGTATGCTTAATGTATACAATATTGATCCTTCTGATGCTGGTGTGTATCAATGCATTGCTCATAGCTACTATAGTCATTCAGTGGCTGCGAGTGCACAACTAAGTATGTTAAAATGAATTTTTGTATAAAAATTTTATGCGTGATGTATTTTATCTTATAGGTGTTATTGAGCCTTCACAAGGTATGCCATTTTAATTGTATTGTTAGTAAATGCCACATATCATATTCCCAGTTAATTTTGTGTGAAATTAATTTTTGTGCAGGCTCAAATCCACTATAATTAATCTTATTAACATTAGATCTAACTAAAAATTAAAATTTTGTAAACCACAAAAATTAATTTAAATAACGGAAATTTGAGGCCACAAAATAAACTAACTGTACTCCTTATCAATTACTCATCCTTGCTGTTAGCATAGCTTTTTACCCAAGTGCATTAATATTTTGTGTTAAGTATATTGTATCAACAGATAATTATAAAGTACCTGTTGTTATGCCAGCTATACCTAATCCTACTTGGACAGTAAAAAATAGAAGTCATTGTTTAAGTTTTAACATTAGCAATGCTGTACCAAATGTTACCAGTAATCACATATGGTGGCATCACAAATCATTTGGCGGACAAGAAAAATATTTGGATCCAAGTGACACTTCAAAGTACTCATTTAGCAGTAATAATCATCACATCATGGTGAAAGAACCTCAAATACATGATAGTGGGAATTATACTATGATAGTGAGAAATGAAGCTGGGATTACCAATAACACAATAACTTTTAATGTGTATGGTAAGTGAAAAAATATATATGTTATGTACTCTATTTATTTTCTTCTCTTATATCTTTTTTACTAAGTTGCTGCAACAATATTTGGCATACCTCCTTTCAATCTAAGAGGACAAGATGGTGAAAGTGTTACTTATGCATGTATTGCTGATGGTGTTCCCAGACCAGAAATAACATGGACAAAAGATGGAGTTAGCTTGGAAAATTCAAAGCGAATTTTTATTATGTCAGAAGAAAGACCCTGTTGTGAAGAGAGACTTGAGTTGATGAGCACTCTCACTATTAATGAACTCAACTCAGAAATAGATAATGGTACTTATTCGTGTAGGGCCAATAATGCAGTTCAGCAAGAAGCAGTGTTGATGATTCCTTTTTCCCTTAATGTCTTACGTAAGTAAAATTATCATTTAATTTCTGAATTTTTAGTAAAAATTTAATACTTAAAAAAATTATATGACACTGAAATGTTTTATGGTTCTATTCTCTTTGTTGTATTGCTATTTTAGCTCCAACACAAATTGATCGCTGCACCAATAATCCTTGTGGTCAGTTTGGATCTTGCTCCAACAAATTACACACTTATTATTGTACTTGTCATGGTGGATATACCGGAGACAGATGTCAGTATAGTAAGTGTCTAATTTAATACATTATGAACTTTATTAGGTCCCAGAATTACACTTAATATATATGCAGTATGTAGCTTGTAATAGTAAAGTACTGCTATTATATTAATTTATTTTCCTTTTAGCTGTTCTAGCTTTTGTTGAGCCACAGTTCACAGAGACTCCAAAGGACACAATTGCTAATCTTTATTCTGCAGTTAATTTAACTTGTCGAGCCACTGGCTCCCCTAATCCAGTGATAGTTTGGTATAAAGATGATGATATCATCATTAATAACAATGATGATATCTCAGTGTTAAAAATTCCTGAACTAAGGCTGAGCAATAGAGGATTTTATCACTGTGAAGCAAGAACATGGCACAATGAAAAGATGATTATAAAGACTTCTGACAAAGCACTCGTAAGAATTAAAGGTAAAAGACAAAAATGACATGTGTGAGGGACCTCAACTGCAAAATGATTTATCAAAAATTATTTTTCAATTTCAATCTAGGATGCAACAGTATTTATTTTGAATGTCATGTTGCAATGAATTTTTTGTTTAAAATGAGTTGTACAAAAGTAGGTTCTTTATGATTGTTTCAATTAAATTAATTGAAGTTAGTTATACACAAGGTTTTTGGCTTTCAAATTATGCTTGGTTTTTATTGTGAGGTGTTGGGGTAACTGCAGTAATTGTTTTTGATGATTTTGAGACCTTTTGTGTTGTTGGTGTCAAGAATTTATGTATGAGAAACTATAGCAATTTCTATGGGATATATGCATAGCTTTAGTTGGCTCTATAATTAAATGCAATTTTTATTATATTATTCCTGATTCCCTTATTTTAGTATTTTAAAAAGAAAGATATGTATATGTATGGGAGAAAAATATAAAGAATGGTTAAATGGAGAATTTTTCTCAACCATTTTTCACAAAATTTGATTAAAGGTTATAGCCTTTTGGTTGTTGGGCAGATTTTTGAGCAAGTTTAAATTTTAAAAAATGAAATTTGATCAGAGTTAGCTTAAAGTTGATACTTAACATAGGACATGTATATTATATACATAAAAAAATTATAAAAATTCCATCTTTGTGATTTTTGTCGAAATACCCTGTACTACTGTATAGTACTTGGGCCTAATTTTTGAGCAACTTGGCAATCCACTGACAAGAAGCTGCATGAATAGTTGAGTAACATGCCATGTTTTAATGGGAGACTGTGCTTTTGTAATTACTGGTTTTCCACTTTCATTTATTCCCTCAGTCTGTATCTAAAACTAAACTACACCTATCGCTCTCTTCCTTTCCCCATTGTTATTGTGCATACTGTCTTAGATCTATGCCATAACTTCATTTTATTTTGTTTGTGTAATACAGGTGTAGTTCAGTATGAGACACTCATAAAAGGTATAGAGAGCTCTGAAAATATTTTACTTCTGGTAAGATCAATATTTATTGCGAATTGCAAGTTTACTGGTGCATTTTAGATACGAAGTTCTTTTAGCTCTCAGTATTTTCCTGGAAATACAAAGTTGCTTAATGTAGACATTAGTAATGACTCAAGGTATGTCCATTGTTTTACTAATAATTGTTTATATAAATTGATAAAGAATTATCATTTGGTTCTAATGCTTTATGTTGCATTTTACACTGTACAATAAGAAATTACACTCATATTGTTTAACTTTAGATATTCGATAAGTGTATAAAAATAGCCTAACTGTAATAACCAAATAAAATTTTTAAAAAGTCATGTGAAAAACAAAGTACAATAAATTAGTGAGGAAAGTAATAATATTTAGTCTACAACAAAAGTAGTAGTAACAATATACCCGGTAAATGCACTATCACTGTGAACACTCTCTCAATCTTAGTTCATTAGAAGCACATTACAGGGTCATTGTTACACTACTGACAGATCAAAAGCCAAGTAATATTTTAGCATTATCACTTTATGATCAACTACAAAGCAGTCCTGAGATAAGCATCATACAGATTGAACGATTTGGTAAGCTGCTTAAATAATATTGTTGTGATTATAATAATTTGTAGCATAATCAATAAATATTTTTGTTTTTATAGATGGCTGTATGCCAGACACTACAATCATTCCTCCTCATACAAATGTGACAGACCTTAACGTTACCATCACATGGAATGAAACAGAGCTAGGGTCAGATGTACAAGTACATTGTCCATGTGGAAATGGAAATGCATCCATGGAGTTTAATCTTACGGCAACTAGGACGTGCCAAGGAAATTTTAAAGATGGAGCAATGTGGAAGGAGCCTAATGTATCATCTTGCAACATTAGTGATTTTGCTCGCGAGATTTGTAGACTAACAGAAGTAAGATATTCCAATAGCTGGCTTATTTGCAATAATTTTAATTTCACATTTCATCTACTGCTTCTTTTTTATTCTTTAATTTTCATTATTAATTACATGTATTCTCTACACACATAATTATGTGCATCAAATCTTATTATGACTCTCAAAAGTACTCTATCTACACATACTATTTTTTGTAGTTTCCATTATCAGAAAGAGTTATGGGGCTAGTTAATTTGACAGATGAAAACTCTCACATTGCTGATCGTACTGATGTTACAATAATAACAGAAGTTTTACTAACAACAACTACAGTAGTCAGAGGAAACTTCATAGTGAGTGCTTGGCTTTCTTATGTATTTAATTGTTAGTTTTTTGTAGTTAACGGAATCTTATTTGAATGTTGTGGATTACATTCTTGGGATTAATATGGCTGTCTTACAACAAAGCCAAATATCCTTCAACACATCAGCAAGGTATGAAATTATAAAAAATCATTAATTTTTGTAAAGCCTTATTTTATGCATAACCCTTTTTGAAACAGGATTCTAGCATCTATTGAACCTATAATAGCTGAAATACCTCTTACTAATCTTGATGAACCAGTATTTATTGTTTTTGAAAATTTTGCAACTTCTGTTATTGAAATTGAGACTGAACAATTTGATGGTCTTACTTCTACTTTTGATGCAAACAACAGCAGAATTGAATACACATTTGAGTTCAAAGCATCAACAACAACACTGCATAGCATATCACTTCCTAGTGATCTCCTGAGCTCCAGCATTAACCTAACTAATTCCACAAGGGTTATTAATAATTTATTTTTAAATGAAGGCCTCTTTTTAAGGAGAAAAAATGACTCGTTGAAAGTCAAAAGCTTTATAGTGTCTTCGACTTTTGTGAACACATCAATCAGAAACTTAGAAAATCCACTAAATGTCACATTCCCTTCTAGTAATAAGGTATAATGAATGGAAGAGTGTGTCAATTGTACGCATGTCAATCTTTATTCATATGAATTTAGGATGACTTGGATGAATCTAAAATAATCTGTGTGTTTTGGGATCCTACATTAGATGGTGAGTGTTTTAATGTCACAGATGCTATTAATTTGCTTAATATACAGAAGGGTATGGTGATTGGTCTAGTGAAGGATGCAATCTTACCATTATTAATAGCAAGCTTGTCTGTATATGTGATCACCTTACAAATTTTGCTATTTTACTAGTGAGTAATGCCCGGTGTGCCACTGCCATCATTATAGCTAAGCTATAATTTTTGATTATTTTTGAAGGATGTTTCTAGTAGAACGAACATTAGTGAGAATGAAGGACAATTTGATGTATTTCTTGAAGCAGTCTCTTACATTGGAGTCATTATATCAATAATCTGTATTATTTTAACACTTTTCACTTACATAGCAGCAAAGTAAGATTTAATATACTGCACTGAAAGCAGTGCAAAGTGGCTTTAAAAATTTTTTTATGTCTGTAACTTTAGGAATCTGAGACAAACAATTTCTGGTCAGCTAATAATCAACTTAAGCTTTGCTCTTCTTGGGCTTTATGTATCATTCATTCTAGCAGTACACAGTCGTCATGTTGAGATTATATGTGCAGCCAGTGGTATTATCCTTCAATATTTTTTTCTTGTTACTTTCCTTGCTATGGGTTGTGAGTCAGTTATATTGTACAGGGAACTTGTCATCATTGTAGGAGAGAGAAGAGATGGTGTAGCATTGAAGTCTGCTCTCATTTGTTGGAGTAAGTTTTACTTTTTCGTTCTTAATTTTTATGATATGTTTTTACAGTTTTACCGATTTTTATTGTACTTTTCTGCTTTGCTCCAAATTACAAGAATTACATTCACAGTGCATTGTAAGACTATGATCAATTAATTCATTATCAATCGTCATTATATCTTTTATATTTAGCTGTCGAGCTTTTGGTATTCCATTTTACATTGGAACAGTTGCCCCATTTATTTCTATCTACGTATTCAACTGTTTTATATTCACTATCATCATGGTTTCATTGCTACGTAGAGCCCAGTCCTCATCAGCAGTTAAACTACCAACCCATACTTTTGCAAAACAACAGCTTGGTGTTGCCATTTCTCTCTCTATTCTTTTTGGGATAAGCTGGGGCTTTGGACTTTTTGCTTCTCAACATGTCTACAGTAAAGACACAAAATTTATACGAGACATCTTTGCTGCAGTATTTGTTGTTTTGACATCATTTCATGGATTTGGTCTTTTTGTAATGCATTGTGTCCGCCCAAAAAAAGTTAGAAAAGAAATTCTAACAATGTTTAAATCGAAGAAACTGATCATGTCTACAAATAATGAGCACAAAGAGAATTTTTTCACTTTAATCAGAAATCAAAACTCTTCAACTCCTTACAAAAAGCAGAGGAATAAAACTTCACCACTAAAAAAGAATGATTTTTTAAAAACGAATGAATATGATACAAATTTTAACACTTTTGCTGCTGAGACTACTTTTATGAATTGTGAAGATGAGGAAAATAGTAAAATGCAAGCTGGCAAAGGTGAAGTGCTTGATTTGACTTCCGAACCTTGAAACTCAATTGTCTATTCAATACGGTTTTGATATTGTCAATATAGTTTATAATTGTAGCTTATAGTTGTAGTCTAATTTTTATTTTTTTAAACACAGATTTGAAAGTTATTATATAGGTACTAGGTTATAGGTACTGGTACTGTTTTTGCTCTGAATTTTATTCATTTAGATCAATTTGACGCTCCTCCCTGTAGGGTGGGCCTGGCCGGATTCGAGAATCTTAAAGATGTCGGCCCTTTGTGGTAACTAAATTAAATTTTGTCCTTGTCTTATGCTGTTCTTGTTTCCTTAGATGAGAAGCTCAGGGATGCATTTATACAACTAGTGAGAGATGACGTTACAGCTCAGAGGAAAGAAAATGGCCAAGCTTTTTTTGTTGATGTAGAAGTTTATGACATTTGCTATCCATCCTCTGTGAAGGAAGCTGCCGATGATTCCTCTCTCTCCAAGTTCTTACTTCGTTATCATCCTCCTCCAATAATGTCTCCCTCTGTATTGAAACATTATTTTGATTCTAAAGATTCACGTGCAAGTAAATTAGTAACTCTGCTCAGTATTGGAGGGGAATATGGTTATCATCTTTTGTACATGGCATTGAGAGAGGATGGTAAAAAGATAGCTGTTGAAGAATTGGAAAAAACAGGTATACAAAGTGACTTATACATTACAAGGTTGTTGGGAATAGGCAAAAATAGTTTTAGGGGAACTGTATACATGTACATGTACCTTAAACTTAAGATAACAGTTTGATTTTAGATTGCAGCCCAATACTAGAGTTAGGGTAAAGTGAGTAGATGTGCTCTGGTAGTTGTAAGGAGAGGGGCGGTCCCCCTGTTGATAAAATTCTAATTAAAACACCAGTCTTTTATGCCTTCCTTGACTGATTCTTCTCTACTGTAAACTAGAATGTCCTTTCTGTCCATAGGCCCCCTGTTTCATTACTAAACAAACAATAGTTTTTCCTTTTTGCTGTACATAACAAAGGTTGTTTCATAAACTATTAAAAATCCCCAAATGAGTTTTTCTGATGCACCGTATATGCTTGTTAATTTTATGTTGTGTAGAAGTTTGAGCTGATTCTGATCAAGGTTGGATTTTTAATGAATTTTAGAGTTGTTTCAAAATTAAGCCAAAAACCCTGTACATACATTGTGTAATTTAGTCTACTACTAGTGGCTACAAGAGAATTCTTACATGTTTTATACATGTACAAGTATCTGTGTTGTTTGAAAAGTTGAGCTAAATTCGATTTTTTACTTTGCTCAAAGGTTTGGTGAAAGACCTATAATACGTAGTAGATGCTCAAAGAGATCCTTTTTATTACATTTTCTAATACATGTACACGTTTGAAGTTTTAAAATTGCTCAAATATTGAGCTAAAGTGTAGCAAAGACCCTTTCTCTTAATTCAATGTCCCTAAATGTACAATTGTACATGTATGTGTACTGTGTAAGACACTGTTCATTCTGATTCTACTATGCCTAGTTGTACAGTAGACCTGAGTGGTAGTAGAAATAATGTACATGTCGTTGTAAGTAATTGGACTCGCCACGCTTGCGTAGGCGGGTACTAAGCAGTTGGGTTGTCATTCTGTCATTCTGTCACGAAAATTCCTGTTAATTCCTAGTCAATATCTTTTTTACTGAGCTCTCCTGACTTATAATTCTTTTTAAGATTTGAGAAAAAGATAATTTATTTAGCTCCGTTGTGTTTTCATAGCAATCCGTGGTAGCAAAAGCCGAATATTTTCAAGAATAGACCACTTTTCCTAGCCAAATCTTTGTGTTTCACTCTATTTGGTCAAGATTAGCATTGATAGGTAGAGAAAAGTACATAGATTAAAAAATATGTGGGAATTTTCTAATCTCTTTTTTGTTTGCGAGTTACAGTTGCTCAAAGTTTGTGATTTAGCCTCTTCGAAAAATTTTCAGGCAGCACTGGGGAAAGCAGGAGCAACCAAACTATCTCAGTCTCTTTTAAATATCTAGGCAAATTTTTTGTGCTTACTCCTTCTTTGAATAGAGCTTCAGATGCTAAAATAAATTTCAGCTTTTCTTCTTTCTCCTACCCACGTGCCATGTTTATCTGCACTGCACTGCTGACCACACCTAAAATTTATTTTATGGATCAGTGCAGTAATTGCATTGTTGCACTTTGCACTTTGTCAAAATCTATTATCCTTTTTTTCAAATATCAAGTTGCTTATATATATAATATCATGATGGATGCAGTACAAGTAACACATTATCCCTCAGGTGAATCTCAGCAGGCGAGTCCACGCACCATGGTGCTTCATTTATAATGCAATAGTGACTAAGTGAATAGTATAATGGCTGTATTGGGCATTATTTAGTGTTATTGTGTGTGTTAGTAAGATACCAAGCTAATTGGTCATTATTGAGTTTGGTAGTGATAGTGTATTTTGTATAATAGTGAGTGGGCGTATCAAAGGCACTGCCTATGCTACAAATGTGATGTATCCCTGTGGTTTTATTTGTATCCCTGTGGTTTTGACAGAAATTTTTTTATAAAATAAAATATACAAAGCAACATATTGGACAGCTAAATAAGCTGGAATTCAATTCACTGTCAATGAAGTCTGCGCATTGGCCTGGGAGCTCAGACCGACAGGTACAAAACCGGGGAATAGGGAGGCTCCGGAGTCCAGACGACTTTAGATCGAGGCACAGACCAATAATCCATGCAGGTAGAGTTCACTGCTTTCCTTCCGTGTTCAAATCAACGGTTGTCTTAACCTCAATGGCTAAATAAGATAGCTGGGGAGGTAAGATTGATACACGGGCCCGTTAGCAAGCGCGGGATCTCTGTTTCTGACCTAGATTATACTTTTCCAGATATTATAGCCTAAAAATAGATTAGATATGTCAACCTAAAGCCTAAATTTGTTGATAAAGTACCTTTTTCTGAGCCTCCTGTCCTCCATTGCTTTCATTTTACCACGAGGTGTAGTGCTACTGAGCATGCGCATTGGCGCATGCCTTTAATACACCCACTCATTATCACACAAATATGTTGATAACACCCCCGCTGCGGGATACATCGAATTTGTATGACCTTGCCCTCGGGCCTGCGGCCCTCTGGCTTGGTCATACAAATGCAATGTATCCTTAGCGGGGGTGTTATAACGTTTACTTATCATTCAATGATGAATGGAATTAAAATTATAAATGTATGTTCCCACAAAGCTTGCTAAGTCAGCTAAACAATATGCAGCTGCAAATACTATAATGCATTTGGAGCAAGGTAAAAAATTCATAAAAATCAGTTTCAATCAGATTCAGTTCAAAGTTGATACACAACATAAGGCTTATATATGTATTAGAAAAAAATATAAAATTGGAGAATTCTCTCCTAGCAATTTTTGATAAAATTTGGCCAAAGGCCCTGTCTTTGGCCAGATTTTGGAGTAGCTTTTAAAATTTGTAAAAAATCTAATTTTGATTGGTATCAGATACACAACATTAAGGACATATGTATGTATCCGAAAAAAGTATAAAAATCGCGAATTCTCTTCTTGTGATTTTTTTCAAAATACCCTGTACAGGGTTTTTGGCTTAATTTTTGAGCAACTTGACAATCCACTGACAAGAAGCTGCATGAGTATTATACCAGAATTCTGTGGGAAACCCTGTATGTGGTATAGTATTAAAAATACCACAAACTAAATATCGATATATTGCCAAGGCCTATGTAATTGACCAGATTTGCTTGATTTCAAGTTCAAAAGTAACATACTTACAAGGAGGTTGATAAGTCAATGGCTGGAGGTTAATAGGTTAAGTTTGCCCTGGTATTACTCCAGCACTTTGAAATGCTTGTTGAAGTGGTGCTAAGTAAACCTGCCATAGCCTTATCAACCTTAGGCCTACATTGTACTTGCCCTCATTATGATAAAGTCATAGATGCCTCACCTCCTTTTATAACCTTAACATACTAAAAATAACATGCAGTTAAGTGCAAAAAGTATGTGAAAGCCCATAGGGGTAGGAACGAACTAAAAGTTGGGGGGGGGGGCTAAGGTATTATTTTTACAATTGATCATTAATACAAAGCATGTACTGAATTTAATACTGTCCAAAATATTGGCGTCTATGCTCATTAAATGTAACAAATTCCTTTGCAATGTCCTTGATGTGTAAATCATCTGTAAATTCTTTGTGTGTATGCAAAATAACTACATGGTTAAAACGCTCTTGTGACATTGTGGAGCGCAAGTAGTTTTTAATCTCCTTAACATCGAAAATCTATGCTTAGCTGAAGCTGATGTTAACAGAGTTGTTAAATAAAGAAGTAGAAGCTTGTGTATTCCTGAAAAAACTAATAAAAGTGTATTCTTAGAAGTTAAGCTAGTGTATTAATTGTTTTATAAAACGAATCATCACACAATATGCACACATATAAGGATTACCTAAACTAAAGTTTATAGTGTTGATAATAGTAATACATGTACATCACTTAAAGTTGGAGGGGCTAAGCCCCCCTTCAATGAAAGTTGGGGGGGCTTAAGCCCCTCCTGCCCCCCCCTGTTCCTACCCCTATGTGAAAGCCCTATGTTTTTTTGGTTAAAGTTGATATTAATTATTGTATCTTACATTGTATTGTTAAAAATGATTTTAATCGTGTTGCTCTTTTTGTAGCAAGAAGTCTTCATAAGAAGCCTCCTGACAGTTTGTTTGGCCATGAATCATCTCTTCAGCATCCAGAGCCTGTTAATACGTTAGACGCTACAGTGCATTCATCTTCATCTACGAAGCGAGTGACAGAGCCACTTGGTGAAGATGTATCTATTATGCAAAAATATCAACAAAATGTATCAAGTAAGAGAATTTGTGTGGTGGTATTTATTATTAATGTTTTTATTAACATTAATAGAGTCACTTGATTATATGCCTCAGGATCTTCCTCATCGACCTGATTGTAATTGTACTGGTCATGGTTGCTTCCAAAGAGGGCTCTCTATTCCTGACAATTCAAGTCTGTACAAAGATCCAGTCATTTCTAAACAAGAAATGCTCTCTAAGGAAAGTATGGGGTTTGATGTTCCTAGCTCTGAAACTACGTTAATTACGAGTGAACCAAGCTCTCACGAGTCATCAAATACTGCACTTTGTGTTGATACTGAGACATCAGAGCTTTCTCAGGCAGCGCTAGGAGACAATGTTATCCAATCAAGTGCAGGTGCTTACCAATATCAAACTTTAGCACATACAACAGAACCATCTATAGAACCTAAAAACATCCCTGATACATCCAATTCTCACCATTTTAGTCAATATCAAAATAATTGAATATTATTGCTATCATTATTATTATTGTCATTATTATTATTATTGTCATTATTATTATTTTTATGTTCAGTGTCTTTTAGCTTTGTAAAATATTAAATAAGTATTTTGTGAAACAAAAGGTTGCTTGATTTCTTTTTCAATATCGTTGACTAGTGAGACATAGTTGTCATCAAAGCGATACCAGGCTCCATCTTTAGCCTTGCTATAAGCAATATAGTGGCCATAGCTAGTGGTACGTGCACCAGTGTGAACACAAAACCCACACAAATCATACAAAGTTGGCTGGCTAGCATCTAGAGGAGCTTTTAGTTTAGAGTTGAGTGTAAAAGAAGACAAATCTAGACCAGTGACAGGAAAGACAACTGGTGTTTGATTCTTAAGTGCTTGTTTGCGAGCGTAATCATATGAAAAACGTGCGAGTTGAATGATGAGATGTGATGGCAGATAGCTAAGGCAGGCTAATCTACTGCCAGAAGTTGGAAAATCTGATTCTTTGATGGTGCAAGTGCAACGAAACATGTTATGTGAATGATTCAAACTCTCTATCTGACTAAAAAGTTCAAAGCAGAGCCGGATGTCACTGTTAGTGTTTTGTGGCACAGGTAATGTAAGTATTGTATAATACTCAATATTGGTAGACACTCTTTTACACTGTTGGCATTCACGTGCTTCAAATAGTTGGCCACAACACATCTTGTATATTGATGACATATTCTCTTGCTCAAGAATAGAATAGTCGACTGATGAGAGTTTTATCAGTTTATCACGATAAGTTTCAATATCATCAGATCTCATCTCTAAGGATTGTATAGTATCTTTTTCACTTTTTAGTCGAGCAATCAGACTCTGTTTCTCTTCAGTCATGTCAACTTTAGTTGCTTTTTTGTGCATTTCATGAAGAGCATCCAAAAGCCACAATAAAAATTCACCCGCATCTTGTTGGCTTTGACCATGAATAGTAACGAGATGAGGAGCTAGAGATGAGATAGCGAGCAGAAGCTTGTTAGGTTTGATGCTACTCAGACTCCAATTCTGACACTGTTGAATGACCAACTGCAAAGAAGAAATAAGATTATTGTCAGATTTCTTTTGAGGGGTAGGGAACTGTAGGAGCAGAGACACAAACCCTTCAATCCCGGCTAGACAATGGATAACAGAAACTAAAAAGCAAATATTACCAGTATTGCTAAGACCAGGCGGTTTGGATTGTGATCTAGTAGCAATCAAAGAGGGTACGGAATTCATGTTTGAATATGGCGGAGTATTAAACGGAAGCCCACTAGATGCCACTAGTGTCGTATTATCATGTGTAGACGATGAGAAAGGTAGAGTTGGCAATAAAGTTCTTGTTGGAGATGGATAGTACTTTTGTAAAGTACTTGTATTTGAAGATAAAGCAGACTTTTGGTACATATAGCCCACTCTGCTAACAGGAGACGATCTTGGGGATACCTTCACAGTTAAATATGGAGAACTGGTTGGTTGCAGTCTTCTTTCAGCTTCGTTTTGTACCCTGGTAGGAGTTGAGTCCATTTTCCTGACAGGGTGAGGGTACATGTTGTACATACGTGTACTATGAGTGTCTGAATGATTACCATACTGAGCTACATTAACTGGTCGACGAGTTAAGTCTGTACTTAAATGAAAATACTGTGGTTCCTCAATACCAGTACCCTCACTGCTTCTCTTGGCATATTTCAACGGTTTGCTCACTTTAACTCCTTTTATGGCTTCTTTTCTCTTATCTAGGATCCCTTTGACACAACGTATTGCTATTAAAGGTAAAAAGAGTACTAGCAATAATGGAAAGTGATGAAAAGCCATGACTACTAGACAGAAAATAACAAGTGACATTAGCTGAACCAGTAAGAGAGTACTGAATCGATGTCTGTAATCTGAATATAGGAAACGAATAAGGATCTCACTAGCTATAAGTAATAACAGGTCTAAAGCAAAGTTCTGCCATTGTAGTTCTACGAAAGACATGATGGATCAGTCAGTAATGGTCAGTAAAGTGACTGGTAATATTTTTATAAACCAATTGCAACCTAAGTAAAATCAGAGAATACTAGATTACTATTTTTGTAGACAAATATTTAAACCAACCTGATAATAATTAGCCTCATTAGTGAATACATTCATCATGAAAATTCAAATGCACAGACTAATCTCCATTTACTCCATGGGGTGGAGACTGATTAAAAAATCGTTACTATGGTAACATGCAGATCTAACAGCCCCACCCACAACAATGGGAGCAAACAGATCAAGATTAGTGGAAAGGCTAGTGGAGAAAGATGTCAATAATCAGGTATTAGAATTCTTTTATTCAATAATCATTCTACAATCAGATTCTCCACGATCGAGTCGAAGCGGAGAAGGAGCGACTGCACAACGAAGAACTAGCCAAACTGAGGAGTGAAGTTCATGACCTCAGAGACAACCTTTGCAGACAGGAAATGGAGCTAGCCGAAAGAACAGGAAGATTACAAGATGAACAACAAAAGAATCTGGCTCTGTTATTTTGTTAGTTTAATTAGATTACACATAATAATATAAGTTTGTACATGCATAATGTAGGTGATCTACCACTAACACTTATAAGTGATCCAACTGCTGATTCCAAGACATATTCAAACCTAAGCAAAAGCTATGCAATGGTAACTTTGGCTCAATGGTAAGCAATAGCTAATGGAACAGTTAAATTAAAGCTCTGTTTATAGTGATGTTGTAGGGTTTGCCAATTTGACTTGCCTTTTGAAACCACATGAGGCAGTTGCAATTATTGATAGAATACAAGCTATTATTGATGAAGCTTTTAAAGATGAGAACATATTCATAATGGAACGCTTTACAGATGGATGCATTGCTGCTAGTGGACTAGTTGATCAGCCAGCTAACACTCTAAATAAGGATCCTGTTATTACTAGTCGTATCACAACTCCTTCACAATTGGACAGTCTAGGATATGATGCATACTCTACAACACCATCTTCAATGAGAGACACAAATAAGTCTCCAGCAACAGCTGCTAGCTATGCTGGACTGATTGCAACAGGAACATTAAAGCTAATGAGTTTGTCAGGAGTTGTTTCAGTCCCCTCATTGAAGAACAAGCAACTCCAGCTTCGTGTAGCTATACATTCTGGCCCTTGCTCAGCTGGTATTGTTAATCTACAAACTACAGTTGGTACACAGCATATGGCTCATTACAAACTGTTTGGTCCAGCTTTAAACATGACAAAGAAGTTGTGCACAACTGGTCTTGCTCTGCAGATTCGTGTCAGTAAACAATCCTGGGAGTTACTTAATGACATTGGTGGCTATATTTTCGAGAGATGCCCTGATTTCATGACTTGGAGTGGACAAAAACCAATAGAATCATACTGGCTAATAGGACAAGAGGAACATGACTTTCCATTACCATCTGTGGATCAGGCAATATCACTCTCAGAATATGAAGACATTGCTATCTAATCTTTTTTATAAATTAAAAAATACAACTTTATTATTGTTATAATAGCAGTTTGACATCTTTATAATGAAATCAAGCGTTTATTACCAGAGGAGGAATGAGTGCATCAAGACTAGCTCTTCCATAGTTTTTGGAGTTGGAGTTAGTCCATCATCAATAATAATACTTCATTCTCCCACTAGGATTGTACCTGCTAATTAAAACAAAAAATACAGTATGGTGTGAACTAGTCAAATAAATAGCTAACATCAATTAAAATAGATAAAGCTGAGATCTACATGTACATGTACATGTATTATATGCAAATTGTTTAATTTCAAAAGAAACATACATGTTTTTAAGATGATCAAGTGACACTCAAACTCAAGGCGGTGTCTGGTGGACGACAGAAATATTTGCTCATTTCTATATTTAGAGAAGAAGCAGCTTCATCCACGGCTGGTGCTGATTCATCATCATACGGTTTCTGAAGTAACTGCAACACTTTATTAACCTGTAGAGAAAAGCAATTATTATTATTATGCTATTAACTGGAATAAAAATAATAATAATTTATTGGAACTGTATGTAGTTAAGATGGGTTGGGTGTGGTGTAACTAATTATTATGACATTATCAATTGGTGAGAGTAACTTCATTTAAAAATCTAATTTTCATTAAAATCAGCTCAAAAATAATTTCTATGTACAAGTATCATAAAAACGTCATGTAAATCAGAAAATGTAATTTCTACCATTTTATCAAAACAAAATTATTTTTTGAAATAATGATACAAACTCTGATTAATTATAAAAGCAAATAACCAATTAATCATATGTGACTGCAGATTTGCCACAAAATATACTAAGTGAGCTAACAGCATGCTTCATGACAAGCACTATAAATTGAAGCAATTTCAAAATTCACAAAAAATCCAATTTGACTGGAATCAGCTCAACTTTTCTACACAACAAAAGAACATGTAATGTACACATATCAAAAAATTATAATTCTCTCCTTGTGATTTTTGTCAAGAAACTCTAATTTTTGAGCAACTTGACATTTTATTCCAGAAAGTTTCATAAAAAATGGCATGTCAAATTAGGCAATTTCAGGCTCTGAAGAACATATATTTGTATCAGAAAATGTAATAATTAAGAATCTATCTTTGCCATGTTTGATGAAATTAGACAAAATACCATTACGGGGCATTTTGTTAAATTTTTGAGCAACTTTAAAACCCTACGGACAATAAACTGAGCACTATGCCAAATAATGTAGGAAACCATGCAATGTACACATATGAACATGTAAATGTACATGTGTTTGCTAATGCAATACTAATTTCACTAGTGTCCTGTATTCTATACTATTAATTGTTATTACTACTACATATTACTAGTTTGTGGTTGAAATATGATAAACTATATCTTCAATGATACGGTATAAAATATCCCACAAAGTCATGCATTCACAAAATGGCTGCTCAAAACAAGTAAAAGCTCCAAAACAAAAGTTTAACCAGTTGTTGACACTACATTGAATTAATTTTACTACCTCAGAAAAGTCTCCATCTTCAGCCAATGAAATAGCACTTTGGGCAATATGGTTCCTCAGTACAAACCTAAAAGATTCAGTAACACAGTGCAGTCAAGTCATTGCAAACCTAGGATTAGCATTATTCATAACTTCAACTCTTTTCTCTTGTAGCTACATGCAAAATGATAACAATAGATTAACAAAAAAAATGATGTAAGCTCCTTACTTTATCTATCTCCATATCATCAGTATATTCTCTACCAAGTCGACTCCTGTACAGTGCAAGCCATGTCAGCCATGTTTCTCTATCTGTCTTTCTTTTTTCTTCAACTGTAGTTTTCTAATTACACAATATCTATCACTTTAAAGTATAATAAATAATAGAGACATACTTTTACTTTCTCCATGTTATTAATCTTTGTCAATTCATTTTTAATCATTTCAGGTGATAAACCCAATGACATAAGGATCATAGGAGACTGCTCACCAAGTGAAGCAAACATCATTAATTGACTGAAAAGTAATACAATTAGGCCTAATGTAGATCAGAAAAAACTAACTGGATGGGCATGATGGGTTTAAAGGACTTCACAAGCTCGTCAGGAGTGGCACACTCATCCAACAAAGAATCACATACCATTTCTAAGTGTCTTTAATGATGAAATAAAAAATTGCCATATTTGTAATGTATTACCCTGGATCATTCAAATGACTCAAGACAACTTTGTTCAATTTTCTAAAGCCATTAGTGAAGTCGCACCCAGTTTCATGCAGAGTATCAAGGAACTGCTCAACAAGATCACTAACAAAATAATTTAATGTGATATCTAAATTAAAAAAAAATCTAAACCACACTCACCTATCTTCTGGAAAAGCTTTATTAACAAGGCCTAGCTTTTCTCTAATCTTTGACAAATAAGTTTGTTGAAACTCCATTTCATATCTGCTTAGTAATTCAACAAGTGCTAACAGATAAAGAAGTTTTCTTACAGTTCTAGCCCTTCATCAGCTTTCTCTGTAGACAAACAAGGAGACAGAGCCTCTGACAGCTTCCTCAGGTTCCATTTACATACAGATGGCTGCTTACTGAAGGCATATCTTCCACCATCATCTTCAAAAACAAGACATATTAAACACAATCAAAGCACTGAATAAACTAACCAGATTTATTACAAATATGAGCTGGATCATATCGATCTAAAAACCCAAAAGGTCCATAATCAATAGTCACTCCAACTATACTCATATTGTCCGTATTAAGAACACTTTAAAAAGACAATTAAATCACAATATAATTAGAGGGCAGCTCACCCATGACAAAACCCCACACACTGCCACATGGCAACAAGGCGACCAGTAAGACGGCATATTTCATTAAAGAAACCTGCTGTTCTAGCTTCAATGTCATCCAAATGTGATTTATAAATCTACAAATACATGTTGATATAATGTAAGTACATGTACACACATTACACAGCTACACATACAAATGTACCTCAGGATAAAAGTGTTCCGTTACATAATCCAAGAGAAGATGAAAGATATCATCACGACCAACACTAGGGCCAATCCTACCAGTTGTTGCATCACGAGTTTTAAAGATCTCAAATGAGCCAAACCTGTCAAATATTAAAAAATAATTGTACTGGTTTATTGCTATGATCCAATGAAAATTTATTGGCACAAACCATTTTGTCTTTTTCAGTTAAACAGAAAAATACACAATACACATTGTCTATAACACAGCCAGCCACACACATACTGTAATGTATTGATCCCACATGTACATGTATTATAATAAATGAATTTAGAGCTAAACAGACTCTGTTGTTCTGAATATAGTAACATAGCATGGATCACATAAGGTAACACGTACATGTATTGCATAATATTAGATAACACATAGTGTAACACATGATTAGTGTATGCACGTACAAAATGTTATTTCCTAATTATTCACCTGGGTCAATTAGACAATTACACATTTAATTACACTCCTTCTGTAAAAATAGACTCAATCAGAATTACAATTATGCCATGTTGAAGTATTTAAATTAAAAAATACTACTTTGATATGTTATTGCATGAACCAGAAACATGGCTTGCTTTTAAAAATGACAGTTCAGCTGCATAAAGCACAAAGTGCGCTATGAGCTTAGAAGCAATACATTGTCTATAATTTTAAAATTCATAAAAAAATCCAATTTTGATACATCAAATATGTACACTGTATATACATGTACATATGCATCATAAAAAAATTATAAAACTTTAGAATTCTTTCCTAGCCATTTTTTGACCAAATCCCATGGATCAGGGTTTTATAAAAAGCTCTACTGAACAAGCTAAATAGCACATTTAATGAGATGGCAAGAAGCTGATTACTACTGTATAGCGGGTTTATTTCAAGGATAAAAAATTTCACAGATTTTTGAAAAATTGTGAAATTAAATTCCTTGAAAATCAATTTAATACAGTGCAAAATGGCAGAAAAGTGGCAATTTGCAAAAATTAAGTCCGTGAACCTCTGGATACAGGCCATTTGCAAAAATTATTATCCTTAAAATAAACTCGCTATATAGTATACTAGGAAACCATGAATGTCACACTTCCATCTACATGTGTATGGTGCATGTACATATGATCATGTAATATGAAGTGGCTACTAAAGGAAAGGTACATATGGATTGAGAGCATTTTTAGAGTGTCTCTATTGAGTTGGTAGTCAGTCTTAGTACACTAGGACAATTCAAGTTCAATAAAATGTCAATTACATTTAAATTACAATTACAATCAACTATGTAATTATAATTGAGCCTCTAATTACCATTACAGTTGTAATTGATCTCAGGTCTGCAATACATTATTAACATAAATCAAAAGTATCTATCATATACTTATTAACCTTATAAAGGTTGGAGCTATCCGTGATATAACTGTAGCCTGTTCTTGAATTACATTTCCATTGTAAAATATGTCTCTTGCGACTAGTGACTCAGACGTGATACATGAACCAGCTTTAACACAATAATAATAATGATGATGATGACTGTGATTGATGTACATGTACATGTACGTGTACATTACCTCGTGTAGTTGGAATGCCAAGATAATGCATTGCCTATAGAAGATATCATTAATACTGACAATACACATAAGTGTATCACAAACTTCAGAACAAAGAAACTCTCTGATACTTGAGCGCAACACTTTCCTGCCATCAGCATGCCTTGAGTAAGGAGTCTTACCAGATCCTTTTAGTTGTAGTTCCCAACGTTCTCCATTGCTATTAATCACTTCACCAAGATATCTATAATATAAGCAATAGAGTAAACACAACATGGCTCATAATCTAACAGAGCACATCCATCTCCCAGTTGGCCAGAAAAGTGACCAAACTGATGACCACAGTAGCAGTGAGCTGCTGGTTCAGATCCAGGTATGACTTTATTGCCACTGAAGTATTCAATAAACTCTGGTCTCTGTATCTAGAACAATTAAAAAAAAATTAAGGAGAGAGGAGAGTAAAAATTTGTCGTGATGGACTCTGTAGTTAAATAATTAACAAAAGACTTAGCTGCCAATAGCCGGTTTTAATTTCATGAATAAGCTAATTCGACAACATCTCTCACTTTCAACCTGCAACAAGTGCAGCTAAGTTCAATCAATATGGAGAATGAAAAACTATCAACTATAATACAGTATAACCTCGATTATCCGGACCTCGATTATCCGGATCCTCAATTATCCGGACTCTGAAATCATGACCGGAAGTGACCACGTGGTGCTTTAAATTCACTTAATTAGAGTATATGGTATTATAAAATGGCTGCTTTCTACACAGAGTAGCTTGTTTAGCACTGGAATGCTGCTGATTAATGGCTTTCTACTAGGGCTGAAACGAATAGTGAGATATTCGAATATTCGTTCGTTATAGCAATATTCGAATAGTTTTTTTGCTATTCGAACTATTCGCATAATTTAATATTAATGGTTATTGCAATAATTAACGACCACGCCCACCGCGTGTCACCTGCACAGGCTGCTTTCTTAGTCTTTTTCTTGGTCTGTTTACTTACCAACTTGCTAAATACTGATGCTGTGGCCAGGGAAAGTGGTTCTCAATCTCTAAGAAGCCCTGTTTGGCATCATTTTGAAAAGTTTAACATCAAAAAGGTAGTTGATAATCATTCAGCAAAAACAGTTCAATTATTCGAATATTCGTTCGTTTAACATGCCAATTATTCGAATAGTGAAAATACTATTCGTTTCAGCCTTACTTTCTACTAGTAACAAGGCTTGGATTTAGCCTCCTTATGGCTGATTAAGGCTCTAGCTTTTCTTTGGAGTAAGTATATAAAGGTTTTAAAGGTCATTTCAATTATCCGGACTTTTCACTTATCCGGACCCCTTCAGACCACTTGATGGACAAAGGGGTCCGGATAATCGAGGTTATACTATAGTAGTTTACACTTTGCAGCGGAATTAGTTAATATACAGCAAACAGTTTTTCCCACAAAGCATGCTAGGTGAGCTAAACAGCATGCTTCATGAGCTGAAAAGCACTATAATACATTTGGAACAACTTTTAAAATCCATAAAAGATCCAATTTTGATCAAATTCAGCTCGAATTTTCTACACAACAAACATGTAACAACAAGTATATTAATCAAAACAGGGCTGGGTTTGATTTCAACAGCATGATTGCTGTACAGGGTTTTTGCCAGGTTTTGAGGCATTTTTAAAAATTCATAAAAAATTAATTTTGATCGGAATCAGTTCAAACTTGATATACAACATTAAAACATGTAAAATTCTAAAAATGGAGAATTCTCTATATACAATTTTTGTCAAAATAACCAGTACTACAGTAAAGGGTCTTTGTTTGCCCAATTTTTAAGCAACTTGACTCACTGACAAGAAATTGCAAAATTACATGAGTACTATGCTGTGGGAAGCCCTGATACGCATTGCTATAATACCGTAATTTGCCTTTTTTTCGTTGTGGAAATATTTTCGTATGGTCCTAAAATGACGAAAATATTTCAATCGAAAATTTTTGAGCAACCAAAATTTGTGACCTAATTCATCAAAGAAAGACTAAGGTAAGGCCTGATAAGTAGGTATCTTCTTGCAGCTCTAACCTTGCTCTATCCACTGGTGCTTGCTGTACTTCAATCAGTTGCTTCACTACTGAGTTATAAAATAAAACGGTCCACCATGTGACAAAAGTAGCCATTTAATTTTCCGTTTATTATCCGTAAATTGGTCATTGCTGCATCTCCAGTACTATCCATATACTAGTAATGTCGGGGGAACAGCCAGGTCAAGAATCTCTTATCTCAAGAATTATAAACACTGCTATAGCTGCCTTGTTACCAGTAGGTAAAGGACAAGGTATATGCAAGAGAAGCTAAATTTTCAGACTGTAAAAATTTTCGTACACTATGAGAAGACGAAAATATTTCCACTTGAATTTTTCTGAAACGAAAAATTTTTATACGAAAAAAAGGCAAATTACGGTAATTATAAAAAATGGAGTATCATGGTCTTTGGTCAAAACTTTTAATGTTCCTCAACGCCATACAGTCCAACTCTCTGCATTAGTTTTGCTATTGAAATAATTATTAGGCTTATGTGTACAATAGTACATGTACATAATTATAATCTATGTAGGAATGTAGTTTAAATTGACATCACACTAGCATAACCTAACAAAATAGCAAATCTCACATAGTATAAATGTCACAATGTAGCGTCATTATTCATTCACACACTTGTAATACATCAACTTTTAATTCAATTACTCAATGATACCTCTTTGATGTCTAATCCAAGAAGATTAAGAGCATCAGCTGAAGCTGAAACCAACTGTGGATTCTTGACTGGAGTTGGATTTACCAAAGAGTAACAAGCTCCTAAGACATTGCCAGTATAATAATATAAACTTAAAACTGAAGGAAACATACCAGACACAGATCTGACATAATTTTCCTTCTCTTCATCAACGGGTAAGGATTTCAAGACACGGTTATCAAACTGCAAGGATTCTAGACTCATTAGTGAGCGAGAAGGCTCTAAGCACAACCTTCTTCCAGCAAGAACTCCAGCGACAGTCGAGGAGGTCAAAATACAACTGAATTTGATAGCTCTCTTGGCACAGAACATTTGGGGTTAAAATTTAATAGGCGTGTCTATGAATAAAAACATGAAATTTCATTTACTCTAATATCTATGATAAAAACATAAATTAAAATAATTAAAAATTAATAATCTGTTTATTGTATTGCAGCTCCATAGCTCTTCTTTTCTGCTTCAAAAAGTGCAGATTTATTTTTGCATAATTTGTCTTTGAATGCTAGTAACCTATGCAAAGGTGACATGTAACATTGTGTGAGAGATATAACAAAATTTTACAGAATTAGTGGAATGGTGAGACTCCACGCTCCAGCCATTATCCAGAAAACAATGCCAGCATTAGCATGGGAACTGACTTGTGGATGATAAATCTCATTTGATGCAACAATTGAAGCCATTCCTGCAACCACTTGGCATGACGTTGCAATAGAAAATGCTGAACCTAAAGGGTTTTATTATAAAGAAACTGCATTATTTTTACTTTGGTAATTTAAATAAACTGCCATGAGTAACTATACTCATCAATGATGCATTAATTTAAACAATAGCAGTGATAAATAAACAGCTACCTTGTCTTTCTGGACCAACAACTTCTGCTATGCAGGATCGAATGGTAGGATAAACAAGTATAAGTAACCCCTGAAATATTCCAACTACAAAATGGTACATTTGAAAGACAATAATTACAGAAATTAACTTACGAACAAACATTTCACTAGTAGATTTGGAACTGATATTTGCAATTAAAATATTGGTGACAACAGCAGCAATCGCTCCAATAAGACTAATATAATAAATTGAGAGCCTCAAAAACACTAGAATAGGTAGCAGTACTATAAGAGACACTCCCATGGCAGCTGAATAAATGGCACCATATGTACCAATTCGATCATAGGTCCATTGAAGAGGTTCATTGTGTAGAAAATAATTCATGATACTATAGGAAGCTCCAAGTCCTAATGAAGCCAAACAAATTATGATAGTAGCTGTCCATAATATCAAATAATTCTTACACCCAATGTACGAAGGCATTACGTATAGCTTGATGCCAGTAACAATTTTATTAAATCCTCTATTGCTAAGCTCCTGGTTATGCAGTCTGACTTTTTTTGATAACGACTCTGGCATGAGTATGACAGTTATCATTGCCAATGCTGTGATGGTAATCATTAGCCAAGCAGGAGGCTCAAAATTACAGTTTGTCTTTTGAATCCAGTCATTAGTAGCTATTGATGTAGTGGCTTTTGCAATGGCTATACAAGACTCAACGATCCCAATACGTATAGTGAATGCCTTGGAGTTGTTAGGAGTTACATCATGCACAGTAGCTACGATGACAGTCATGACAGTTGCAAAACCACCAGAAGCACCGAAAAATAAAGAGCACAACAAATAGTAATAGACATTTAGGGAGAAATGAATGATAGCAAACTGGAGGAGGGCAGTTAAGCACAGACCTACAACTGCAGTGAGCATGATTGGCTTCCTACCTACAATATCAGACAATGGGCCCAACACTAATCCAACTAGCAATGAAAATCCCAAGAACGTTAACTCAGAGTACATATTTAGACGATTAACTCTTTCTTGTAACTGAACAAACTCCTCGTCACCGGTGTAGTTAGCAACATAGCTTTGCGTCAAACACTGACGAGTGATGGAGGTGTTTAAAACCCCTAAATCCCCCTCAAGCGCCTCCTTGGAGAGTTGCTGGAAAAAATATTGTTGGTACAGAAGGCGATAAAAGTGTTCCGAGAACTGGTACAGAAGGAATGGTATCTCAATAGGAAAGTATTTGGCATAAGCTTGCCTCTGATCTACTGCTTCTCTTTGCACACTGCCCTCCATATCCCATTTACAGAAGAGGGTGGGTGGGGCTCCAGCTAGCAAAAAAATAATTTATTGTGAAAAGTTTAAAATGATAATATTCATCACATAATAACTTGAGGGTCTGGATAAGAAGCATTTATACACTTGTGAGGTAAAATCTTTGCCCCATTAATGAGTAGCTCATCTTGTATTTCTACATCTTCTCCTAAAACTGAAGTGTTCTCCATTCTAACCTGCAATAATAACAGTAAAAGGAATGGAGTAAACATAATAATATAATTATTCATGTGCTGAATAAAGCTGCTACAACTGGGCATGACAAAGGTTTGGACCAATGCACAACACGTATTATATTACAAGTATAAAGTAGATTGATGCATGAATTTTATTACCCATTTCCCTACAACAGATTTCCATCCTATAATAGACTGCTGTATCCATGCATGAGATTTTATTTTAGCATCAGAAAGGACAGTTGTCTTAGACATGCATACTCCATCCTCAATGACAACACCTGGTCCAATTATCACATACGGGCCAATTTTACAATCCTTGCCTATCTTAGCACTAGGATCCTATGTAGGAAAGAAGGCATCAAAATAATTCAGAGTCTGAGCAGAAAATATAAAATACTGTACATACCAAAGCTACACAAATTATTTTAAGTTTAGCAATAAATGGTAATTTTCAAGGAAAAAAATTTTGGCAAATTTGGCATTCTGATATCCATTTGCAGGCCTTCATCTAGGATTTTATACAAGGGAGGCAGGGTTAAAAATATTTCAAAAAAGGGGGGTCACTAATATTTTCTATTGTGTATGCACAATGCGTGCTCACAACACTCATACAATTTACTGCTGTGGTGATGAAATTTTTCATGTTAATAAGTCAATCAAGGGGGGGAAGTGTCTCCCAAACCTCCGCCCCCCCCTAAATGAAGCCCTGATTTGCCGAAATGCAAACCCACCATTTTGAACTATGCTCAATGTCAAATTGCTCCAAATTTGCCAAGTTTTAAGTTACTGTATAGCAAGAAATTTTTGTGGCCCAAAATTTTCTGGAATTCGTGTTTTTTCAAAAGTCCTGAAAATAAAATCTGCAAAAATCAATTTAATACGGTTTAAGATGGCCGTAAAAAACCACAAAAATTAAAGCCACAAAATTGATTTTTAGACGAATCCACAAAAATTTCTCACTACCCTTCTAAAATTATGACAAAATGTTCTACTGCATAACGTTTATGATTTACAGTATCTTACAATTAGTACAGGGCTTTTGAACTGTGATCCTTCTGCTAACTTATCAGGTGCAGATTTCTTAAGATGATCAAGGTACAGTGAAGTTCCAGTAATGAAATCTTTTGGTTGGCCAATATCCATCCAAAAACCTACAATGAAGTAAAATGTTACTGCTATTATTGTATGGCCATAATATCTTAAGGCCACTTATTTTTAAGCAGACAAATATTTGCAATTTGTTAATGGTATTGATTTAGTTTTTCAATTTTGCTCTTTTTCAATTAATAAAGATTAATAAACCTAATTTATTAATAAATGTGGGTACTAATTTTTGCAATTTTAAAGGGATACTGGCGCAGTTTACGGAAGAGCTAGTACACGGAAAGTTTATAAACAAAAAAATGGCTGCGGGTTTATATCTTGTAATATAGCAACAGTTTTTGCTCTGATTCTTGCTTCTGGAGCTCTGATACTTCAACAAATGATGCCTTATGTTTATCTCCACCAAACTCAGAGGTAAGCACTTAACTGAATTTTTCTTCATCAAGTTTGCCATCCGTAACAGGCTAGTGTCTTTTTGACGGGTGAGTTTGACCGTGTAGCTGTGTTTGCTGGAGTCCATATCTTTCTGAGCTCTTCTCTGGCCTTTACCTGACATCTTACCTCAGCAGGACCTTCTCTCTGTTCTTCTGCATGTCAATATAAACGCTCAAAAAGACTTCTGCACAAGTTCTGCCATTTTTCTTTGACGAAATATGATTTTTGGTCCCCAAAATCATATTTCGTCATCAATTTTACGAAAAGTGCGCAGATATCCGTACACGGCGACAGTATCCCTTTAAAGCCACTTGTAAAAAAATTAAAAAATTAGTACTCGCAAATAATAGTGGCTTTAAAACTTCGTTGGTAAGGTCACTGAAGTGATTATAGACCCCAACCAAGAACTTACACCATGCAATAGTATTGTGAAAGGTATGACTGTACTTTCTGCATAGATTCTTATAACTCAAGCTAAAAAGCTACAGCTACTTCTAAAGTATCACAATAGATACAGCAAAAGGAGAAGAAGGCATTTGCATGTGTATTTTCACAATGGAACTGTAGGTCAACTATTTACAGCAAGAAAATGAGGGCTCAATTAAATGCAAATGGACTTAATTTTAGGTAGAAATTCCTAAAGCTCTAAAACAAAAGCTTGAAACTAAAATGTAAAATATGATGCACAAACCTTCCAGGCAGAATGCATACAACTGTTCTGATGATGCCATTTTAGGAAAGACTTCTTTCTCAATTGATGTAGGTTGAAGCTAAAGATGCATAAATAATCAGAGCACATAAAAGTGACTATAATCACCTGTATTCTCTTTAGTATGTCTGTGTTGAATATGTACATACCAGCATTTATCTTGTTTGAAACAAAAACTTTTGGCTTTTCCATAAAACGATGGATTTGTCCAGAGTTTTCATCATAGACTACTACACCATACTTTGACGGTTCTTCCACTTTTGTAACCTAAAAGCACAAAGTACCACCTGACAGTCAAGTGTAATATGTTAGAGTTTTAACATAAATAAAGGGTTTACTTGTCAGTACTATGGTTTATTTCATTCTTTCTGGCTTCATGTATATTAACGATACCATATAGTGGGCAATTTTTGATGGTAGAACATTTGGAATGAAAGGAAAAAGGACTTCAGAATAAAAATTCGTTGGTTTTATTTTCGATAAAATGAAAACGGTTAATCTGATGGCTTCATTAGTATCACTAATAGCTGCAGAACTGATAACATCAGAAAGAGGTCTGTAGAGGTTCTTTAGAAAAGTGAACAGCCAATTTGTCATGTGCTATGCTCATGGTCACATCTATCTTCAAAATCAATTTTCATCAAGAATTAATTTTGTTTAGAATTATTAGCAATGAAAATAAGCACCTATCAAAATTCCCTGTGTATGGTATCAGCCAATAACATGGTAATAAATTAAAATTATGAGTTACAGTTGCTTTTGTAATGGGTCAGGGGTGTATCTAGAAATAAGGAAAGGAGAGTGTCAATGGCGCACGAAGCGTACCACAATTTTGACCACACCCTTTTTTGGCGGGGAAAACGGTGTTTTCGTTCATTTTCGTGGATCACAGGTGGGGTCAAGATAATTTCAACCAAACTGGTACTTCTGACTTCTGATCGCTCCTTAAAGCACTGGAAACTGCTGAAATCATGATCAGGGGGGGGGGCTAGATACCTTTGTTAAGAGGCTTGGTAGTGATGCAAAAGTCCAGGATTTGAGTAATTTTTTCTGAGCCCAGCCATGAGGGGGGTGCTCAAGCCCCCTCAGCCCCTCCCCTTGGATATGCTAGTGTGGGTGAATGGTCATTGCCATGTGTCAAGACATAGCAATCATACCCACACTGCTGGTTGATGCCAACACATTGAGGTCAAAGACTCACAGTGTTTGCATAGAACAAAATAAAATTAACCACAAAATAATCATGATCAAACAGGTGTTAGACATACATGCAACCAGGCCTTGGGAAAGTTTTGAAATTAGTTACAGTATTATGCAATATGCCTGATTAAAATTATCGACACTGCAGTCTAAAATTCATAATCTTACTTACAATAATTGTGCCTTCTTTTTTATGAGATTTATGAAATCGAAGAAGATCTTCAAAAGGATAATTGCAAATGACATCACTGTTTAAAACAAAGAATGGTTCATCATCAGCACATAAATATTCCCGTGCAAGAGCCAATGGTCCAGCTACAGGAACAAAACCAATAATTGGAAAAAATGAATATTGCTTACCAGTTCCAAGGGGTTGTTCTTCATGTGAGAGTGATATTCTGATCCCCAGCTAAAATTGTAAAAGCATTATGATAATTTAATTTCAAACATAGCAACAAAATTAATAATTTAAAAATATCGTGCCCCGTGAAGTAATTTTGTCCTAACATATTCATTAACAGTTAATAATGCAAATGCAGTGTGCTAATACATATCACAATGCAATTATAAAGTCATTGCTGAGGAGGCATAAAGTACTGTAAGTAAGGGAGAACTTGAAAAACACTTAGATAAACATTAATCAATCAAAGTATACTGAGATATACAAAATACAGTTAGGATATGGGTGTTTCGTAAAAAGGTTAAAATTAAACTTCATGTTATTGTTTTGAACCATAAAATCAATGTAATTTAATACACCTCAAAATTAAGACACATGTGATAGTTATACTAGGATTACTAGCCAGTGCATAACATCCATATTGTATGGCTTTAAAGTTCCGTCAGGCAAAATTTTATCGCAATCCTTTTTTATTGTAAAAAATTTTGTCATTTAGCTATACAGTACATAACAATGGCTAATTTTAAAAATCATATCATTGTAATTGTTATTGTGATATGCAAATTGAGTGTATGTACACTTAAGACAAAATTGAGAGAACTAAAAAGCTCAATTTTGGGGATCTATACTTGAACTTTACAGCTACGTCACAACAACAGCACAAAATTCATGCCTATTTAACAATTGATTTGGCAAATATAATGACTCACTTTCTTAATTATAAATAGTTGTGTTAAGGAACAAATGAATGACTGGATTAAACAATAATGAATGTAAATGCTTGATATTTTACTTCATTGGCCTAGAGTAGGCTCAACATCTTTCAAATGCTCAAAAATGTAACAGGTATGTTACTTAAGTGAACAAAAAGCTCAATTTTAAGATCTATTTGAACCGTATTGTTGCCTACATTGTTGTGTTACAACAGTGACTATTGTTAGAACAACAGCACAAATTATAGTCTCGCCCCCATTTAATTTGACCAGTGACATTATGTGCAATCACTGCAATGTGTAGTAAATCACTTACTCTCTCTTCTTGAGCTTTCATTTCCTTTTCTAACATTTCTGCTCTATAACTGACAGCTAAAACAATATGTTTCACACCAGCCTACAACATGGTGGGGGGAACATAATGATTCTAAATGTTCACACAGACCTTAACCAGTGCTTCCACTTGGTGTAACAGTATTGGTTTATTAGCAAATTCTACCAATGGCTTTGGTACTGAGAGAGTTAGGGGACGCAATCTCGTTCCATAACCACCTACCAAGATGAGGGCTTTCATTGTGAGAAACCAGAAAAACCACGTGAAAAACTCCGCCCACTTGATTAAAATTAACGTTATAAAATTAATTTTAAAATCGTGGTCAGAGCTAGCCTAGGCTAATAGAAACTAACTATGCAAGTAGAACTATGCTTTCTAACAATTATTTTCTGTCACAGTAAGCTGCCAAACTGTACATTCATATCTATGGGTGCTACCATAGATATCTATGGTGCTGCATAGCTTGCGTGCGCGTAGCTGCAGCGCAGGGGTGTGGCACTTTAAGGAAGTGTCGGCGGCAACATGAAAGGACTTGTTTTCTTGTTTGTTGCACGTGTTTTATGAATAATAAGGTAATTATGGAGCAACTGTCAGCAACGCAATACGAGGGCTAGCTCTGAAGAAGAGATATTGAAGTAAAGGTCTCGTATTAACTGATTAAGGGACAGATCCACCCAATGGAAACAAGTGGTCGAGGCAGTAGACAGACTGGCGCCATTGAAACCCCCGTTGTTAGTACTGTACTAACAAGTGCTAGCACTAGTGAAGGTGGTAAGAATGTTTTATTTTATTGATTTTTATGATTATAAGATACCAACACTGCACCGCAGTGCAATGTATAATTTTAAGAATAATTATTAGTGATAAATACATGATTAAATTATTGTTTATAGTTGGGCTTAGTTTGTAATAATTATTCTATTTCAGCTTTATAATGCTGCAAGTCAGCATGTAGTATATTGTTGTCTGGTATATTGTATATTTACTTGCAACTTTTTTGGATTTGAGAAGAAATTTGTAGAGACATAGGCAGTAGACATATCCCTTCAAGGGAAGGGGGTGAGTGAGTGTTAGTGTTAATTGGGTTTGAATAGTCCTTTGAGTGGAGTAGTGATATGCACCAGTCCAGAATTAAAGTGTTGATTAAGTTTGAGACAATTTCTTTTAGAATCACCTGGGCCCTCTTCATGTGGCTCTGTCACAAGGAAAGATATTTTATCTCCCAAAAAGACGAGAACTCAGTTTTCTCCTAAACAGCTTGTTTATCTAGAAGAGTGCTTTTTAAAGAATAGATTTCCTAGTGCAAAAGAGAGAGAAAGTATAGCAGAAGAGCTTGACTTGACGACACAACACATTCAAGTAATGGAATAAGTTAATTTGTTGCAATAAGTGCATGTATACTTTTTAAAGGTTTGGTTTCAAAACCGAAGAGCGAAGCATAGGAGGAAAAGCAAGCGGAAACAAGAGATTGAAGCAAATGCTTCAGCTATAAAAGTACCTTCACCACCAGCATTTTGGCCATCAAATCTCTCATTTGATTCTAACTTGTCAAAAGGTACAACTAAAATTACACCTCTGTATTATCTATTAGTTTTTATAGATAATTCAATTAAGAAAAGTAACATCAATGGAAATCCACCCAGTGAATCTACATCCTTTTCTTCAAAGCAAGTATCACTTGCATCATTTTCAACAACTGTAACTACTGGTGCATCACCTATTGTTGTCACATCCCGCCTTAATTTGCCAAGTCTGGATCATAGTTCACTTGATAAGAACATGATGGTAGAAGAGTCCTCATCATCGATTTTAGCTCAGTCTCCTGTACATTTACAAGAGTTATTACATGACCTACCAGATCTGATGAGTAGTTTTGGGGATGAATCATCTGCAATTACTTCGTCGCAGGTTCCTCCTGTGGTGCAACAAAATTTACCACAGGCTTCACACCACAAACATTATGGAGTTCCAGATGAACCTTTATTACATATGCCAAATCAAGGACAACCCTCTGTTATTGGACCTTTACCTAATTGTGGGTATCCTTCCTCTTACATTCAAGCGGCACCGTCCACAATTCATCCTCATTTTCCTGGTGCTAATCCTTTACATCAGTCTCTCTCAGTTTCAGATGCATATGTGCCATATGGACACTATCCTGCTCATCATACTGTACCAACTCCTGTAGCTACATCACCTACAATGACATCTTTGTCACAAGGACATACAACATCCCCTTCAATGACACAGTATCACTTTGGTAGTACACATTATTATAAATAATAAGTTTTACAAAATTTATTGGGTATTGTTGACCACCATAATTATTTTGTATAAAAGGTATCATTTCAATTACAATTCACAAGCTGTAAACACCACAATTATAAATTGTTGCATGGATTTTGTCTAGACTAGTACATAAGTAAAAATCATAACAAATGGGAGAGCATGTTCAGTCTCATGTTTGTACAATGTAATCTTTTTCCAGTGCCATTGCAAGCTTTTCATTGCCAATTCTTCTCACAGCATCGATTAGTGTCTCCCATGTAAAATCTCCATTATCTTTCCAGTACTCTAAGGTCTCAAATAAATACTGGGAGTATGGATTACGATCATCAATAATATCCAACTCTATTTTGGGTATTCCAAGCATCAGCCCAAAATGAATCCAGTTTGGTATTACTTCTTTAAGTATTGTTTGCAAATCAGTTGCATCAACAGTAACTATATTAAAAAACAAAATTTATGAAAAGCATACTGTATAGCGCTAACCTTCAAGGAACAAAACTTATGCAGATTAGCATGCAAACCACAAAAATTAATACTACGGGCATGGTGCCAACATTGCAAATTCACGAAAGTTATTATTTGCACAACAATTTCATTTTCATAAATCTGAAAGAGTTTTGCTCAGCAAAAGGAAAGTGTTGTATTAAACTACACTACATAATATCAAGAGTGGATAATTATTTATCTGTTTTTGATAATATGGATTATACATGTAGATTCATCGAAAACACAACCTAAACAGTAGTGGATATATGAATGTGACGGTGAAATCATTAATTATCAGCATAACATTTATATAACAACTTCATGCATTAAATGGTACATGGTATGTATTGGCTCAATGCCAGTCTAAACATGTAGGGCTCTTTCTATTGTCTACAATCAAAATGTAAGTCTTCATTGCAAAATATTAAAACAATTATGTGTATAATGCTAGCCCTGCTTTTCCCTTTTAGACTAACCATAGATCACATAAAACAATCATTATTCTGTACTATGTTCAAATAGGTGTTAGATGTACATCAAAAAATCTGAACACAAAGTAAATTATGATAATATCAAACCATTATTTGTGGTAATGTAAACAAACTGTAGATGCATGGTTGACTCATTAATAAATTCAATTTTAAAAAGGAGCATTAATGACAACAGTGATAGAAGTGAATAATGACCAAGACTTGCTAGCACCTCAATAATTATGCACCTTAATAATTAGTCACATACATAAAATTCAATTATGCAAAACTAGCCCTTTTTAAAGAATGACAAAATGCCCAGTTGCTATGAAGCTAGAAGTACCAAGTTGGGAAACATTGCTATTGCTCTACAAATAAAGCTTGCATGAAAGGTACACAATACCTGTACATTCATTTTATACAAGGACGCAAATATAAGTTACAACACAAATTAATTTATTTAAAATTATGCTCTATAAGTTCATGGCTCAATCAAATTAGTATGGACTATAGGGGCATGCTACATGTAAGTGAGCTAAAGAGCATGCTTCATGAGCTGACAAGCACTACAAAATAGTACATGTACATGGCTTTTAAAACAACAGTACCAATTTTAAAAATCATAAAATCAAGTTTGATCAGAACCTGCTCAAACTTAAGCACAACATAGGAAGAATATGTACTACATGTATGTATCAAAAAATAAAAAATTCTCTACTAGTCATTTTTGGCAAAATTTGGCCACAGACCCCTACAAGGACTTTGGCTTAATTTTTAGCAACTTAAAAAATTTTAAATCCAATTTTGATCGGCATCAGGTCAAATTTACCACACAATGTAAAGACATGCATATATCAAAACTATAAAAATGAAGAATTCTCTCTTAGTAATTTTTGGCAAAATATGACCAAACACCGTGTACTATTATAGTATAGGGTTTTCGCCTGATTTCAGAGCAACTTAAAAATTCATAAAAATAAAACCCGCTCAAACTTGCTACACAACATAAGAACATGTACATGTATTTGAATAAAAAAATGAATTCTCTCCTAGCCATTTTTGGCAGAAAACAGGGTTTTTGGCCCGATTTTGGAGCAACTTTAAAAATTCATAAAAAATACTTTTTATTAGAAGGAGCTTAAAAATTACATACAGCACACAAACACATTACATTTTAACAATTATAAAAAATGAAAGCAATTTTTTTAAAAACTTCTAGCAATTAAAAAAATAGTAAGCATATCGTATTTATCAAATTTTGGAACAAATTAAAAATCTGTTGACATGAGCACTATGCCAAAATCCTGTGGGAAACCCTGGTAAAAACATTTTCAGTCTATTTTTATATTTTCAGAAAATAAGAGAAAATAGTTCAACTTGCCCTATCATACCGTATAACGCTTTAATTTGGTGGAGTTTTATTGTGGCGATTGGCGGTTTAGAAGCAGAATCACCAATATTAAAATTGCCAATCATTAATGCGCATGCTCAGTAATGCACGTGTACACAAAAATTGCCAAATTAAAAACCGCCAATTACAATTTTACAGTAAAATCGCCAAAATAAAGCGCTATACGGTATGGCATTTTGACTGAAGCCATTATATCAATTTATCATAATTATTCATCATTTACATTTTAAAAATAGCTTTCAGGAACAGGGTATATTAAAAGGACATATTTATAGGTTGAAATAATAATTTCTTACCATTGCCTTCCCCATATTTGTCTTTAATGGAGCAAGCTAATCTTCTGTTTCCTATAGCTTCCAATGCCGTTGATATGTTTGACCATGTTTGATCAGTTGAAATCTCAAGCCACTTTGTAAGCATCAATGTAAACTTATCATCAGTACTCCTGGAATGATATCTGCTAGACTCAATGGATCTAATAAAAATAGTAAAAATTTCATTCAAGATTCACAGTTCACTCACTATGTCTAACCTTAGCTTAGTCATAGGTACTCCTAGTTGTATTCCGAACATCATCCAGTCTGGTACAATATCATTTAGTTTCGTCTTCAATTTAATGACACTTATAGAAACTGCAATTAACAAGCACAAAATAAAGAGAAAAACTTGATTGTACATTACTTTCAGTTTTCGTCATGGTGTCTGCCATTTTAAAAGGTGTGGCTATTAATAAGCTATAACTGGCCTGTTGCTGTTGCGCTACCAAAAATGAGTTCCACAGAAGAAAAGTCTCATACTCCAAGTATATATGTAAATGCTTTAACTGTAAGTGTAAGCTATCATTTTTACTAGTTACTAAGAAGCAGCTAAAGGAACTGAAAAAGTTGCTTAAGCCTGAGTCACACCGTTGGTTTCAGTTGGGATTTCAAATGAGGATAAAAATGGATGAACTTAAAAAGATAGAGAAAGCAGGAGGTAGACGACCACCTGATGTTTGCTTTCTGGGAGTGATAGAATTGTTTTTGCAGAATAAAGAGGAGGACAGAAAGTGGGAGGTACATTGATTATGTATTCTAAATAATGCCCTGTCATGGATAAATAGTCATGCAAAGTATTGAACAAGGGTAGTGGTCAGCATAATGATTTTTAGCGACTCTGTAAAAGCAAAAATTAGGTGGGCTTTTGAGACGAATAATGCTTTCAAGTTGATGCAAATTTGCCCAAATTATAGACAAATAGGGTGCTAATTTCTGCAAGTAATTATTGCATTACGATATCCACCCACACTCATGATTTGGACGACAAGATACAGTGTAGCTACATGCGGAAACAAGGAACAAGAGGCCTTCGTGTTTTCCAGAGCTTGCCTGAGTGGCAATAAATGCCAGTAGCGGTAAAGAATAGAGCCCAGAATGTCTCCTGAGAAAAAGCTTCATTGCACTTGAAGCGACTTGTCCACAAAAGCTGCTTTTGTCCTCCTATCCATTGGTTTTGCCGTCCAGCAGAAGAATTTTGGAATTTTTTCATTAAAGAATGCGGATAGGATACGGAAGATTACGAATAATGTCTCATATACGGTATCTATAATTGCTTCTAGAAGTTAGTGCCCTATAGGGTCTATAAAAAGTTGACATTTTTGCTTTATGTCAACTGTAAACCTTCCTTTAGGCAAGAAAGAGACATTACTGTGATTCAAAGGGCAACTTTTTAGCCACAAAGGCAATAGAAAGATTAGTCCTGCTGTGTTATTGACAAATAAAAGTCTTTGACAATAAACATAAAATTGCATGCAAACATTTACTTACAAAATGCAGCACACTTACTTTACCTTCATTTGCACTTTTTATACCGTACAGCTCCAAATTTTCCTCCAATTTGTTAGATGAAATTTTAACCGACAAAATTTTTGTTTTATGTGGGTATATACACATGTAGTATGTGGATTAATAACAGAAATGATGAAAATTTTATTGATAAAAATCAATTTTTAACAAGAAATTAAAATTTTGACGAAATTTTTGACTGACGAAAATGTGTTTGTTGTCCTATTAAAAATTCTAAAACACTGAATTATTGTGCCATTTTGTAGTTATGTAGTTTTAAAATGCAAAATTGAGTTGTGTTAAAAGTATTACATGTATGTGTAAAGCATATATCACATTAAGGTTGATGTATTGTCAATTACTGAAGCATGAAGATGTAACTGATAATTTTTATAGTGTAGAATCAATTTTATTATTAATTACTTTTTATGCATTATTTTAGTCTATTTTTGATGCTTTGGAAGGCATTAATAATAACAGATTGAAGAGAAGTTTGGAAAGAGAATACAAACCAGGTGATGTAGGTAAGAGTGGCATACTCTGTGTAAGTCTCATATACATGCATATCCCTCCCTTTCTCTCTCTTGTTATAGTGTCACAGGATATGGATGCCCCTAGTTTAGTTAATAAGCTGGTTGAGGCTACACATCAGTGGTATATTTTTGGAGAATATTTAGACATACCAACTTTCAAATTGAAAGAACTTCGAGATGAGACAAGTACTGACGTGTCTTTTAGTAACATGATGGATAGGTGGTACGATAGTGGTGATGCCACCATTGAAGTTGTTATTGAAGCATTAGAGAATCTTCATAATAGAGTCCTTGCAAAGAAAGTCCGTGATAATTTCTTGGTTCAATTTGAAGGTGTGAATAGTTTGTTGCTTTTAAATAATGAATGCCTTTTACCTACTTTTTAGAACAAGCTAAGAAACAAGCAGTTACATGGCTGACAGGTGTTGATGAAAAGATTTTATCTGGTATGTAATAATTTGTTTATAATATTACGGTATGCTGTCTATCTGAGAATTTTTACTGTGCTGTGCATTTAATTTTACTGGATTAGAATTTTTGCAAAAAATTAGATCACCCATATAATTAATTACATGCCACATTCAGTAATGCATGACACAGTCTTATTTAGTAAAAATTAAATCACAGCACAAATTAAAAACAAAAACTTTCTGCCACACGAATTTCCTTACTTACGGTATCTAAATATTGAATATATTTTTAGAGGTGGATGATGTGGCAGATATTGTTGAAGCTGTGTTTCATGTCAATAATTGGGAAGATCTTGGTCTTGCACTCAGAATAAAGCCACCAGACTTAGAAGCTATTAAGAATGATAATCGTAATACTTCTTCTTGTCGCCGTGAGATGATTAAAAAATGGTTGACGATGGGAATTGGATCGTGGAAGGCTCTGTGTATTGCCCTGGCTAAGGAGCATGTGGGTCATATCAACTTGGCCAAAAGAATAGCTGAAAGTCATCGTGGAAACGTAAGAGTACCAGAAAATTTGAAGCAGCCTACTCAGGCATCTGATGATCATCCTGGAAAGTTCTTGACTGGAATAAGTGGAAACCCTTCTATTCAGACAAAAGTAGGTGTGGATTCCATTACTCAAAATCAAGTACCTGAACGTTCTGAAGCATATTCAAAACCAGAGCAGGCCACATTAGAAGGGAATACTGAAACTGGTGCCTTTTCTACAGCCACTCAATTATTTCAAGACCCAATAGAAGAACAACAATAAAGTTTTAATGATCATAATAAATGTTTTGCTAGTTAATTGTGTAAAGTTTCTATCTATGAAAGTTTTATGGGTGGGTCACTATGGTATGACAACGAGTTACTTTTCTTCCAAATTTAGCGATTTCAGAATGAATTAATGATGTTATTTTCATCTATAGTTTCATTGATGTTATTTTGTTTAAAATCATTCACTGGCATAGCCACTCCTTCAAGATGGCGAGACTTGAAGGTGAGACTAGGATTTAGGGGGCTGGCTTATTTACGTGTTAAACTGTTGATAGATATTAGAGACGAACTGTATCGCCAGTTGAGCCCTGTAGCTGCTGATTGGAAAGTATTTGGAGTTCAGTTAGGACTGGAACTGGCGGAGCTCAAGAAATTGGAGGAGACATCAAATAAAACATCACAAGCTTGTTTCCAGGAAATGCTGAGCTACTGGATGGAAAATGATGGACCACATAAGTGGAAAGTAAGTGCTCTGGGTCTTGCCATGTTTGTCTATTATTGTTTTTTTTGCTTTTATATTTGGGGAGTTTGAACAAGGAAGTGTCAATACTGCCTTGGATTTGCAGTATTATGTATAGCCAATTTTGAGCAGTTAGGATGTAGTCAGGTGGAGCCTGATGACTGTTAAGGGTCAGGCTCCGTCTGACTAGTTAAGAAACATTAAAGATAGAAGCAGTCACTGAACAAATATAGGTATTAATAAATAGACAAGTAGATCTAGCTATTTCATTGGTGAAAAGAAGATTGTATAGTTTCTGAATCTTTTTTGCTCCCAAAGAACTCTTTCTTGTGACCAATTTTTTATTCATTTTCACTGTAAATCAAGTTTTGAGTGATTCAAAGTTGTTTTAAAATTTTGCCTAATGAGGAATTGTGAAACTTTTTAATTATTATTACCAAGAGTGGATAATTACTGTATATAATTAAACTAGTCTCGTGACCCCAGGACCAAGAAATTTTTTGAAATATATATTTAAAGAAGTGTAATATAGGTTTTTTATTACACATACATTTTGCCTAATATTAGTTGTTAATGTACAGTGATAGAGTACAAAAATTTCTTATAATATTTTTTCTTAATAGCCCTCAATGATTATGGTGTAATTATTAGGTTTATTAGAAATTTTAGGTTATTTTTTGAACTGACCTGAACTTGTAGAAGTAGATGTTTTAAATGGTAGTGGTCACTTTATTTTTTACAGGAAATTTTTGAATCACTTGGGTGTATACATGAAACTGGCCTTGCTAAAAAGCTGCGTGGTTGTTTTGCAGCAGAAGCTCAAGGTATTATAATTATAATGTTTGTTTTAGCATTTATGCATAATTTTAAAGTTGAATTAGATCTTGTTGATTTGACCAGAGAACTGTCTAAAGTAGAATACTGTTGGTCACGTTTTGGAACATTTTTAAGAGTTCCTAGACACAAGCTGAAATCAATAGAAGGGAAAAAGTCAAATGAAGAATACTTGCACGATGTTATTGATATGTGGTGTGACAAGTGTGAATGTGATTACATTAATCTAGATAGACTGGAAGACGTTTATTCTGCTCTGGAGCATATTTCTCAGAGTAGGCGAGCAAGGGAGCTAAAAGCTTACTTTACTGCTGGTTTGTTATGTAGATATATAGTAATGTAGATAATCATCATTGTAGGTCGTAATCAACCTCCGAGACGTTTGGTGGCAACTGATGATAATAACACAGGTGTGTAATGAAACTGTGTAAATGTAAGTCACAACACTTACTTGGCTTTTAAATGTAGATAATACTATTAACGAAGAAGATGAACTGAGTAGAAGATTAGAAGATGTAAATTTAAATAATGGTTAGTTGATTAAAGTCTAGCATCATCATCATTAACTATTCTTTTCAGAAGAAATGCCACTTCCCGTAGAGGAAACATGTGAGGGAAAAACTGAAACTAGTGCCTTTGCTAAGACTAGTGACATTTATCAAGAACCAATAGACGAATCATAATTTTAATTATCAATATTTATGTTTTGTAACTTTTGTTATAATAGGTAATTTTATACTGTATATCAATTATCAAAACATAGATGGGTGGTTACTATGGTATGACAATGAATTATGCTTCCCTTCCAAATTTGGTGATTGCTGAGCCAGCTCCAGACCTAAAATGTCTACTTATGTGCCTCCAAGTGAGTAAGATGAAGTCTATTGCTAGATAGCTACTGACATTTCTTAGAGAGTCTGCAGGAAACAATAGATACATCACCAGATGAGTTATTAAAGCTGAGTATCCTTACTAAAGGTTTAGATCTATAATAATGGGAGCCAATTGATCACAAAATTTTTACCTGTAGATGATCACAACTCAATAATGGACCTCATTAATAAAATTGCTGTTGACTATGATAAGCTTGCAGGACAGTTCTGCATTCCTTCATATAAAGTGAGGGAGATCAAACATAATAACAGAGATGAAGCTTGGACTTGCCTCAATGCAGTTCTTGGTGAATGGTTAAAATGGAATTTTGACAAGAAAGCTGAGGAATTGAATGTAAAACCAAACAAAAGGTGGTTGGTCCAAGCAGTGAAGACCATAGATGCTGAGATTGGGGAAGACATTGAGCAAAGTAGGTAGAATACACACAGCTATATGACATTATTTAACCATCACAGATTTCAAAATTATAGCTGAGTTAGGCACTGCTGGAGTAGGTAAGAACCTGTTTATATAATCATAATATCTACAGTGCATATCACCTATTATGTTTAGTTAACAATCCCCCAAAAGAAACATCAAAAAAGGAGACATTGAAAAGTTAAAGGAACTTTTTAAATACTTTTATAATAAATTTACTTGCTGAGTTATGCAGTTAATTTTAGAAATGAAATTCATTGACTACAAAACAATCATGATAAATTCTAAGAGGTAGTGCCTATCTCCATTTTCTCCATTAGTTCTAAAAATAGTTGTAATAATGAAAATGATTATGTATCTAACGACCCATATACCTGTTAACAATTTATCCTCCTCTTCCTTAACACCACTCTGCATTATAGAATGTAATAATCATTATTACTATTATTTTGACTCACAATATCAAATGCTTTACTCCACTCATGTACAATCTCTGCTGATATGTGTGCTGGCAGTGTCTGCTCTTCTGGTGGATGAGTAAAGTATTTTATTGCCCCACTATAGCAAAATTATGCAATGAAAAAATAATGGGATAAGTGATTAACATACGAATTCCAGTCATGCAATATTTTCTTAGCAGCAGCATCAATATCAGGAACACCACCTATACATGTACGCATGTACAATGCAAAAAGCCATAATGTAAATACATACATATGTGGAATTAATATTAAGTGAATACATTACTATAATATCGAAGGCACCACCTGTACTTAGATGCCATCTGTCGTTTCAGTTGTAGTAGGGCTGTGGTTTTAATTTTACTACTCATTATGTAACATTACTAATGTAAATAAGTAATGACCTTGCTCTTAGGATTATGACCTTTTATATAACTATTACATTCACATTAAAGGTACAATAACAGTACAACAAACAGTGTTACAAATGAAGTACAAGGAGTCTCATTATTAATAGAATCAAGAGAAGCTATTAGATTAAATGTTTCCAACTTGCATTAAAAACTCATGTATCTACCTTTTTTTAATTTGCCATATCTCCTGGCTAAATGAGACAAGAACTCTTCAGTGGTTGAATAATCAGGAATCGTGTATTGAAGAATTAGTGTATTACTGTCACAGCGTCTTAGAATAGCCTCGACTGGTGAAATAACATCCGACATACTATCAACCTGGATAATTACAGTTCAGCATTACTAAACACAGCATAGGTCCAAGTAGCATGAAGGAATTAACATTATTTTTGAAAAATGTACATCTAAAATATTAACAGTTTACATGTTACCGTATAGCTTGAAATTTTCGTGAAATGTAAATTTCGTGATTTTCGTGGTTATGGGCTGCCCACGAAATTTAAACCCACAAAATCATTGAAGTGCCATCCCCTTACAGGCTATGTAAACTGTCAACCACGAAAATAAAACCACGAATTGCCCCACTAGGAGCAAACCACAAAAATATCAACCCACGAAAATATCAAGCTATACGGTATTTGATTGATTAAAACCCGGGGATGTATGTAGTTTAAAAATTAAATATACCCTGTCCCATACGCCTATGCGTGGCAAGGGTAATAGTACTATACTTGCCCCAATTAACATATTCTCCTACTCTATATGGCTTCCTCAATAAAAACTTTCTATTGAGTGCACCTACTGGTCAGGAAATAATTATTTTTGGGAGGTGTGTTGTAATTAGAAAGCTGCATTACAGTAAAATGGCTCACTTTGATGCAATTCCTTAATGACACAGAGAGATCACTAGAAGAAGAATCAGTCATTACAATTCCAGGACAATCTAACAATTTAATGTGTCTGTCCAACTGAATTTCCTGCAATGACCTACATACATTATACATGCATATAAAATCACACCACTGTTCTAACCAACCTAGTAATTCCAGGGACAGATCCTACAGTGCAAACCCTGTCTCTCTTTAAGCTATTAATAACACTACTCTTACCAACATTAGGTAAACCTATAGTTGAGAGGAGTAGCACTGAAATTAAAATAGGTATCAAACATACCAACAACTCCAACAGTGATAGATGTCTGTATACCAGTGCTACAACAATAGTTACCTAATAGCTTCATGAGAAGCTCAGACCCAAGACAAACTGAAGATTTTTCAAGAGAGTGTGATGATCCACCAAGCAGTTGTAAATGCTTACAAGACTATTATGATTGATAGAATCAGTGGATAAAAATGATACAGCTAACTCACTAAGTTGTGTTTCTGAGTTTGTGTGCTGGCTTTAAAAGGAACTGTAGGAAACTCATTCCGTAAGTACTTCAACCACTTCAATATATTTTCACGAGGAACTAAGTCTATTAAGAGAAATAATTGCTAATGCTAAAAAGGGTATCCTAGACATTTAAAATAGCCAACTGCCTCTAAGGTTTTCCATAAAAGGCATGCTAAGTAAACAGCAGGTTTATAAGCTAACAAAAACTACAATACAGTACATGGCACTTGTAATTATTGGAATCAGCTCAAAATTTCTATGCCACAAAGGTACATGTATATGCATCAAAAACGTGATAAAAATAGAGAGTTCTCTCATCATTTTTGATAAAATTTGGTCAAAGTCAATCTACTATAGTACAGGCTGTGTGCCCTAATTTTTAAGCAACTTCACAAGTTGTTCATACTAGGCAGAAATAAACTAATTCTAGTTGAAACTTTTTGAGTTTGGAAATCAAAATTAATGCTATCAAAACTTTTTTCAATTACTACGCTTTCTCCAACTCTAACCAGAGTTATTCTAAGCATTAAAAAATTTTTGAAACCATAGGCCAAGTGCTTTAATTTGGTTAATGGCAATTAAAATTACCAACATTACTAATACTGCAAATCACTTGATGTGAATGCTTGGTAATGCACACATATTAAAAAAGTACAAAATGCATTATAGCAAAACTGTAGTGCTACATAGTTCTATTTTTTTCAATAACAATATGCATTAGGCAATAAAACCTTTTAATTCCAAACAAAAAGGCTAATTCATACCATTATTGTATTATAAGAAATTGTGCCTAACAGGGTAAGATTAGTATCAAGGAATTAAATTTGTGCAACTAATAAAAGCTAGTAATGACTACACTCTGAAAGTGTTTTAAATCATACATAGTAATTATAAATTGACTCTTACCAATTTTATTGAGAAGAAGAATTAACTTCTTATTACTACCAGAAGCCAAAACAGCTTGTTCCATCTGTGCATAAAATTACTAAAGTTACAACAATGACTCAATGACTGTACTTCAAAGCAACGAGAACCTAAGGGATCTCGAGCATCAAGAACTTCAAGCACAACATCAGCAGCTTCTACAACCTAACAGAGCAATACTCGACTTGAGAGACTGATGCTATCTTACCTTGCGAAACTCTTTATAAAATGCTTTAAGTGATGGATCTATTAAAATCAGTCAAAATTACAAATTGTGTTTAAGTTACTAACCTGATTTTGACTGGGAATTAGACTGAGCCCAGGTTTTTGCAAGTTCCTAAAGGAAGGAATGAAAATTTCAAAGAATCAATGATTTTAATATGTTTTACGACAGTCAAAATGAAAATTAATATAACAAAAATTCAGGTGTAGTAGTTCAAGCAATTGATAAGCATCAATTGGAGAAGAAATGCTGCCATTATTTTGTCAGTGCATTAAGACTTAAGAGGATTGAAGGATCAATTGGAATATAAGATCGCCAGGCCATGAAAAACTCAAAACACAGTTGTGAAAATCCCCTAGCAGGCTAACAGCAAGATCTGCATTACTCCCAATCTCAAGTCTGGTGCTAATTAGACCGCTGTACATAACTATTGCACACTTTCCTTACTTTCATGTACTTCTAAGGTTCTAAAGAAACTTATCTATGATAAGACTGTAGATCATATTCATCCATCTCTTTCTAACTCTGAATTTGGTTTCATCTCTGGTCAATCCACACTTCAGCAGTTACTTGTATATTTAAGTATTATCTCTGTGAATAATGATCATTAGCTTAGCCTCCAATCTGATGCAATATATTTAGATAATTGCAAGGCTTTTGCCACCATCTCCCATGATATTCTTCTTTTAGACCTTAACTCAATTGGCATTAGAGGTTATGGTATCAGTTGGTTATGGTTTAAAGAGTATTTATCTTGTCCAGAAGGGCATGGACAGTGAGGGACAATGTAGGAGCACTCAAGATAACTACACCAGGGAGCACTCAAGTATGGTGTGCCATTCGTTCCAAAATTAAGAAGAACGCCTATGGATAAGAGAGGGACTTGTGGTGATGTGCAAAGTGCATTGCTTCATAAAAAGCATAAATTTTGTGATAAATTTTTGGATCAATTTTTTTACTTTAAGTGACCAATTTTTGGTTCTAAATTATTACATACAACAATACTTTTAAAATCCAGGCGATTACTTAGTCTCGCGTAGCCAGACTCTAATTTACCGAATAAGAGTCTGGTGCTAGTCTTATAAACTCATGTTATCAATGTTTATTTTTGCGTGGGCATCAAAATACATTTCACCCACACATTTGCTTGTGGCGCGGCGGTTAGAGTAGTGAGAGTAAAATTATGGCTGCTGCTATAGCTGAGAAAGTTGATGCTGTAGTTGTCAAACTTGGCTTTCAGCTACATGACAAACAGAAGGAGGCCATTCTTAGCTACATATCTGGCAAAGATACTTTTGTAGCTTTGCCAACTGGCTATGGCAAGAGTCTTATTTATGGCTGCTTGCCTCTTGTGTAGGACTCTATCAGAGGCTTGCCCCCAGGTACAAGCATAGCTTTGGTTGTCTGCCCACTGATAGCACTGATGAAGGACCAGACTGAGAGATTCAGACAACTGGGTATCGCTGCTGCATATGTTTGGGAGCCTCAGATATCATTGGAAAGATTTGCAACTGGTGAATTTCAGTTGATCTTCATTAGCCCAGAGTGTCTAAACAAAGGAAGAATATGGAGGAGCGTGCTTAAGTCTGACCTTTACCAAGAGCGGTTAGTGGCCTTTATTGTTGATGAAGTACACTTAATAAAGAACTGGTAAGTCATACTATTAGCAGACACGGTGTCATTATGCATGATGTATGCTGTATAGGGGAGAGGAATACAGACCAGAATTCTCAAAACTAGGAGAGGTAAGGAGCCTGCTTCCAAAGAATACTCAAGTTATGGCTTTAACTGCAACAGCAACCAGTCATTTGAGGGAGCATGTAATGAAGATAATGAGCATGAAGGATGTTGCATTAGTTGAAGTGTCACCTAGTAAAGATAATTTATCAATTGAAGAGTTATTTCTGCCAATAATGAATGAACTGAAAAATAAACGGCTAGGAATGGAGAGAATTATTATTCTTTGTTGTCGCCCAATCGATTGTGCCACACTATGGAGAGCATTTTTCTGCTACCTGAAGGATCAAATGACAGAACCACCTGGGCATCCTCTTAGAAAGAGTTACGTCTTGTTGACTATTACACGGGATGTACACAAGAGTCTGTACGAAATGGCCTCCTTAGGTAATTTTCAAAGCAATCCTGTTTAAGGATACTCATTGCAACCATTGCTTTTGGCCTTGGTATTGATTGTTCTGATATTAGGCGCGTAATACATTATGATGTGCCAGAAGACGTACGTGCAACAAGTCACAATGTGTAATGCTATTTGGAACTGGATTATACAGAAGATTCTGCAATGAACACATAATAGCATATGGCAAGTTACAGAAAGAATGTCGTAATAACTTTTTATATTCTACCGTAATTTGCCTTTTTTTCGTACAAAAATTTTTCGTTTCAGAAAAATTCAAGTGGAAATATTTTCGTCTTCTCATAGTGTACGAAAATTTTTACAGTCTGAAAATTTAGCTTCTCTTGCACATACCTTGTCCTTTACCTACTGGTAACAAGGCCGCTATAGTAGTGTTTATAATTCTTGAGATAAGAGATTCTTGACCTGGCTGTTCCCCCCGACATTACTAGTATACGGATAGTACTGGAGATTCAGCAATGACCAATTTACGGATAATAAACGGAAACATTAAATGGCTACTTTTGTCACATGGTGGACCGTTTTATTTTATAACTCAGTAGTGAAGCAACTGATTGAAGTACAGCAAGCACCAGTGGATAGAGCAAGGTTAGAGCTGCAAGAAGATACCTACTTATCAGGCCGTACTTCAGTCTTTCTTTGATGAATTAGGTCACAAATTTTGGTTGCTCAAAAATTTTCGATTGAAATATTTTCGTCAATTTAGGACCATACGAAAATATTTCCACAACGAAAAAAAGGCAAATTACGGTATATGTTTTCCCCATATATACCTAATAATAGTATTATAGGCACCTGCTTGTGTTGTGATGTTTGTTTTCGAGTTTGTACATGCCTTAAAAGTAAATCTTTATTATAATTTATTACTGCATACATGTATATATACTGTTAATAATAATTTGTATAATAATAATAGTCTTGTAGGTATTGTGTGTATTGCTAATAAAAGGTTGTTTTGAGGTTGCCTTTTAACTCCTTTTCAATGTTGGAGTACCTCTGGAGCAACATATGGCACTTCTAGCACAGGTAAATGCAAGGAGTGCACTCTAAAATAGGCACAGTACGTGATTCAACCCCAGATTCCAGCATGGCTTGATCCAATAGTTGCACCAGTGCAGGGAGCACAGATTGGCAAGAATATAAATGAATTAAGCGCCTATCTCGTTTAGTAGCAAGGCCACAGCAAAGACAAAGATCATTGGGAGCTGCCATTGCTGAAAATGTGGGTGGAATGCTTGGTAGTTATAGCGACTGCAATTTGATTAGGTCTCCAAATTTTGGCAGCTGAAACATGAATGAATATTAAGGCTGAAACCAGACTCTATTCCGCCTACCCAAATGACAAAAAGGGGTGGAGTCTGGCTGCGCGAAACTAGCAATTACTATAATACTGAGTTGATCAACGAGAAATCGAGTCAATGCATTCTGCCTGTAGATTTTTATCAACTTGATCGGCTGGCTTTGCTTCAAGGGCGTGGATATTGACCTAATGCGCTTGCGCAGTTTTAGGTTTAAACTTTGAACTTTGGAGCCACGTGATGAAGTATCAACACAAGGTATTTTAATGGTATTATTATTATTTTAACTGTCATTGTTGTTACTTATTTTAGATCTCAAAAATTTTCTGCAGTTTGTTACAGGATCAAAAACCCCAATAGGTACTACGTACTATAGGCATCACATTTGTTTTCGGTGGGACTGAAGCTGTTTCTGCAGCAACGTGTGGGAGATGCTTAGTGCTCCCTATATCTATAAGCGATCGAGACCTCTTTGTATGTGCAATGCACACTATTGTTCCAGACACTTCATTCACTAATATGCCTTGACATTCACTATGACTTGATGTTATCCTTAACCAATTTTTGTTTACTTGCCAATATGTTCATTGACTCTATTCTCTTCAGTAGAAATTAGCCCTGATCTTAATTCCTTTCTCATTTACTCTGTCATTGCATAATCTTGTTCAAAATTGTTCATTTTATCATTATTTTAATTTTGTTCTAATAAAATGGTGCCTTGTTACCTTTAGGAGAGGAGTCACAGGTAATTTTGAATTTATCAATTAGCCACACCTACGGTTTTTACGATTCAATGTGGCAAAAGTATCTATGGCCAAATGTAACAAAAATCAGCTCAATTCACTTATTAATCAACTGAATAGTTTTAATTCTATCGTGGCTAAAACAGGTAGATTTATATCAATTAGTAATTTAAACTTAATTTTAAGCAGAGTTGAATTGATCTCAATCTTCATCCAATCAAATCAATTTGTTAAAAATAGACTCAATTAAATCAATTATTGATATTGACTCGATTGACTCCAATATCCATTGATCATAATAATCTTGACTCAATTTAATATGAAATTGAATAGATTTGACTTTGCTAAAAATGATTTTGAACTTTCCACCAGTTAATTGTCACTATTCACCATGATAAATAATTTTGAAACAAATGGCCCACCATACTTAAGATACTACACCAGGGAGCAGTCAAGTTATAGCAGTTGATGCCCTTGCCAGTGCCCTTGCTAATGCTGTCAAGCAGTCATTAATCTCATCAAGTTTAGGAATTGAACCACCGACAAATAGTCAAGGTGCCAACAGACCAGTCACTGAATAACAGCTTTATGACTGTACTTGCAATAATCAGAAAATAACTGACGAGTGAACTAAAAATTATTTTCAAAGAATTTTTTGGGAGCAGCAGGTAATTTTTATTTCAATTAATAATTACTGTGTATTACAGATAGTTTTCTGTACTAAATAAATTTAGCTGCATATGGGGTTAAAACATGATCTGGATTCTCTTTCTAACTGGAGTGTAAATAATCTTTATATTAATCTATCTAAGACTACACTTCTCAGTTTCACTTCTTCCAAGTCTCCTATCAAGTTCAGTAGTAATAAAGATCTGAACATAAGCATAAAACAAATAGGGTTGATATAGACCCTTTGCACTAGGTGCCAGTCGTGTGACAGAGGGCTGGGCAATTGGAATTTTACCAAGTTAGTGAAGTTATATGCGGATTTTCCATTAACCTCAATAGCTGCTGTAAAAAATGGAAAGCAAAAAGTGGCAACAACAACCGGCAGTCAACAAGCACATGCAGCATTATAGCTCAAATATCAATTAAGTTACATTAAAGCATCAATGTTTTATCAGGTCTTCAACTTCTCATCCAGCTACAGCTTCATGTGCTAAAAGTGAGATCACAAAGGCAAAAACAAACTTTCCTCTCTCCAAAGGCCTGCTGTGCTAAACTCTTCTAAAAGGATAGAAATTTGTGGTCTACATGATCCATCCATTAATACTTAAAAATCCAACTCAGTGCATCAGTTATCGAAGCTTTTTGGTTCTGCTTAATTAAAAGCAATGATACCAAGTATAGTTCCGGTTTCGAGGTCACTAGAGTATACATAACTAATCCATACAAATCTTGTGGATTAGTAGATTCAGACACATCAGGAATCTTGTAAGTCACGGTCGAGCAAAAGAGAACTAACTCCATTTTATTCTCACCAACATCCCACCTTTCCAAAGTTTTTGCTCAAAAGGCCAATATCTGCCAGTAAGAGGAAGACCAGCTCCAAAAAGATTCTGTTGTTATAACTAGATCCAGTTTTAAAGATCGATGACAATAATGAAAGCAAGGGAGCATTTACAATGCCCCCACATTGAGATGAATTAGCAACTTTTGATCAACAGAATTCTCATTTGTCTTCTGAGAAAATAGCAAAGTTTACTCAGAGAATGAGGAAGGTTACATGTCAGATTAAGATATAAATTGTGGTTGTCATTGCAAAAAACAAATTCTCAACGTCATCCAGAACTAGCAAAGCTTGCATGTTAATTCTTACATGTTCCAGCAGCCAGTGCACCTGTAGAGAGGCTTTTTTTCATTGTAGGAAAAATTATAAGGCCAGAGAGGTATATGATATAAATTTGATAAGTCATGGCGCACTTGGTTGTGGCTATATATCAGTGCTTCTCTGCCAAAAAGAGGTTGCCTTGACCCACTATACTCAGGATGGATGAAGTGACCTGGGTTGAGATGAGACAGGCAGGTGTATGGTAAGCCAAGCATTCAATAGGTCTATATGAACAAACTGTTGAATTTTGGTGATGATGATGGTGAATAATAATAATAATAATAATCCCCTCTTCAAACTTAGGGCTCCCCTTCATTGAATCTGAATTTCGCCTCTGCCTTAGTTACTGGCTTGACCTCCCCCTCTCCAGTGATACTGTCTCATGCCAAGTTTGCTCATGTCCATCTGATTCATTATGGTGACCACTCTCTAGCCTGTGGAGGTAACAATGACCGGATGCTAAGAATAATGCTATTAGAGACATCATCTTAACTGCAGCTCAGTCTGCTGCTCTTTCTCCCCATCAAGAAGTCCTGTCTCTGATACCAGATTCTCTCAGTCGTCCGGCTGACATTTATCTCTCCCACTGGACTCAAGGTCGACCAGCTTCCTTGGATGTCACCATCATCTCCCTCTCCAGCAATAAACACTGACTCAAGCTGCCTCCAAACATGGTTCTGCTCTTCTGGTTGCTGAAGCACGTAAGAGGTAGGCCCTGTGAAATTATGCTAGCATAATTTTGAGAATAATAGGGAATTCATAGAATCAAGAATAATTCCAGAATAATAGGCAATATTTATGAAAACTTTAAAAAAATTATAAATTGAAAAAGTATAGTCAAAACGGTCAGCTGGTTTTTCCTTGGTGCTTTTGGTGCAACCCTCCTCAGCTGCAGCTGAGCATGTGTTTTCAATATTAAACAATTCTTTCTCGCCACAGCAGTTCTCTGCACTTGAAGATTACATTTAACTTTCCATAATGTTACAATATAATGACAATTAATAATTGAAATCAGTATTTTTGTTACATTAATTAGTTTTATATTAATGAATAATAATAGAATAATAGGCATGTTTGAAAAGGATAATGGGCAATACATAGAAGAATCTGAGAATAGAATAATAGGCAAAATTAAAAGCATAATTTCACAAGGCCTAGTAAGAGGACTCTCCACCACAAGAACTGCTGCGCTGCAGGTGTCACCTTCCTTTCCCTAGCGGTCAAAACTTTAGGAGGTTGGAGTTGTGATGCCTCCTTGACCATAACTGCCATCAGTCGCCACCTGCCTAACAAGCTTGGTCTCTCACCCAACTTGGTCTCCTTCCATCTGCTCCAGAAACTCTCTGTCACCCTCTGGTGGTTGAATGCCAGTATGCAGCTTAGCCGTTTTGATGCCCCTCCACCCCAGGTGGATGGCCTTCAGTGACCAGTTTAGTCTGTTTATTTGAATCCTTTTTCCCCCTTTTTTGTTTTCATTCTTTGTTTGTGCTATTGATGTTTGTCTTTGATGTTTAGGGCTTTCCCCTCCCTCTTTTATTGTTCTTATAATAATAATAATAATGACTCCTCATCTGTTTCAGAGGCTATCAGTTGCTCTGTGGCGATTCAATGCTCACATGATCTTAAGCAGGTCTCCCTCCCTTCCAACAGAGGTGGATGGCCTTGTTTAGTCTGGCCCATACTACCATTAACTATCTACTTTCTATATTAATAATGATGATATAATAATAATAATATATCTGCTCTCTTGGTTACCAATTTGCCTCAAAAGCGGTCTCTCTCCATTTAAGATACTTTGTCAACTCCTCCAGAGGCTGTCAGTCACTATCTGGCATTTCAATGCTTAGATGTGGCTGCCACGTTTTCCTACTCTTCCTCCCCCAGTGGATAGAGTAGTTTAGGCTTTAATTTTTATTTTATGTACATCTTAGTGTATGCTTTTGTTTCTTCCATTACATAGCCAGTGGCGGATCTAGAAAATGGAAAGGGGAGATTCCAATGGCGCACGAAGCGCGCCGATTTTTTGGCCACACCCCTTTTTACGCGGCCATGTGACGTGATTTTCACGTAAATGGCATATTATTGATATCATCAATAATATGGTTAAACCATAAACATTACTATTATTATATCAGCGTAGCTAATTGGCTTAATCATCTCCCAACATGAAGGAAAAGGCCATTCTCCTAGGATGTAACTATGCAAAGTCATCTACAGCCAATTTCTTTTAGAAAAGTAGCTTGTAATTGAAGTAGTTGACCGTAGTTGACTTCATTGAGGACCATCAACCAGAAACACGTGTGCTGCTATAATAGCTAGGCAGTGCATGCTGTAATTAAAACAAGACCCAACCCACATGTTTTTTAACCTGTAAGCAACTGAAGCAAGGAAACATTTGGCTGCTTGACTAAGAAGAAGACTATAGATCTATACTAGAATAGGCTAGCTATTTTATTTGAACTCTCTCAGATGTCTCTGTCACTATAATTTGCAAAGATTAGAGGTGATAACTGTGTATATTTTCACATAAATATCATTTTAAAAGCATTAAAATATTTTCATTTCTCCAAGGGGGGGGGTTCCATGGAACCCATGGAACCCCCCTAGATCTGCCACTGATAGCTATAATAATAATGATCCATTGGTTGCCATCTTGCTTCTCATCGAGGTCTTGACTATTTAGAGGTTACTTCCCATCTTTTTCAGAGACTTTAGTTTCTTTGTGGCGCTGTAATGCTCATTCGTGGGCCCGTGGCTCACGCGGTCTCCATCTCTCCCTTTTACAGTGGATGGATGCCTTTAACCATTTGTCTTTTTTGTCTAGTTTTTGTTTTTGGTTTAACTTTGTTTATTTTGTTCGTTCTTTCCTTTCTCTTATAATAATAACAATAAAAAATAAAAATAATGCCAAGGCATGGCTGATAGCTGCATGTGTTGTATTGCTAAAGTAAAAAAGAGAAATGTTGCTCATGCTTAGAGACAGACAATGTGCCTTATCTTTCGAGGTTCTTTAAGATGCCAACGAAGAGTTTCATATTCTGTTTGAGAAAGCCAGAGCTACACTCATTGACTGTTAGCTTAGACACACGCTTCCTTCAAAATCAACATACAGCGAAGAGAGAAATGCAGATTATGCAATAATTAAAAATTGTAGCTCTGTATGAAGAAAAGGTACCATTGGTTATTGATAAATACAAAAGAGCAGGTTGGTTACTTTTGAAAGTATTTTAACTTAATCCAATTTGAATGGAAATGGTTAGTTGTCTTGCTTCCTTTGGAACTACTCACTGATGCTATAATAACACCTCCAGTCACTGGCTTTACCAAATTCCTAAAGTAGATGACCCAAAGACGTAGCCTCCAGTGGAATTTGGCAAGATTTATGCTCACTTAATTGACATTGCAGGGTTATTTACAAAAGAAAACTAAAATCTAACAAAAGCATGAAAGCATACAACTAGGGAATGCTATACGACAACACTGACTTTATCAACTTTGAATTCAAATAACAACTTTCTCCACAAACAGTGGCTGTTTTTACATGATACTTTTCACAAAAAGCTTGTATTTTCAATAAAGTAATGCCACTTTCAAGCTTGAGAAAGACCAGTGCAAAATCAAAGCTAGAAAACACTTTAAAAAGTACGTATGCCATTAAAGCCATACAAATTAGGGAATCACGTGGGTATTCTTTCTTCATGGCAAGAGTATCCTGACACTTTACATTCGACTCGTCTGGCAGATATTTAACTCCCAAAGCCGCCTTTCCTACGCTCCAGACCTAAACCTATACTGGCTATAGTGTCTTTGAGATCTTTTCCCTTGCTCTCCTATATTCTCAGTTATAGACTTCCCTTATTACTTCTCTGCTCAGACCTAAATGGTCATACCTATATGTTTACAAAAAACTCAACTGCCACATGTCAGTTATGTGCTACAGATTCTACCAAATCCTCTTTCCACTTTCTAATTGAATGCAGCTCCTATGCCTCCATAAACAAAACTATGGCTACTACTTTTCCAACTAAGCATAATGACAACACATATATTTTCTGAATGGGACAAACTTGAGGGACAGAACACAGGACAAGACACACTAAGTTTTCCATCTCTGCAGCGACATTACAGACAATGTAGAAGAAATACAGTGACACAGGACAGATTCAACATTGATGCTATTAGATGTAAAATATATACTTTTCATGAATGGAAGGAATACTTGACTGTCACAAAATTATATTAAAAACTTTATGTGACAATGGACAACGAACAATGCTACCATTAAATTACAAATACAAAGGTTGACAATAGATGAATCTACTACAAGCAGCCACATATCATCAAGCAAAGAGGTCCTGTCATGCAAGATAAGGCAAAGCCAAATCAATATTCTTCCTTGATGAAACCTGGGCCAATGCCCATGATGGCAAAGAATTGGCCTGGGTAGAAGACAATACTGTAACAGGGGGTACTTGGGGGGAGTCAGACGCTGATCAAAATGCTCCCTTATTTTAAAAGCAAAACATGAGATAAGTTGGATCCCCAATACCATTTTCATCTCCCAATCCAAGAAAGACACAAGCAATTACCATGAGAAAACAGGAGAACATTTCGAGGAGTAATTTTGTGAGAAGCTGCTCTAAAATATTCCTCCTAATAGTTTCATTGCCATGGACAATGCCTCATATCATTAAAGGACTGAAGAAGAGTTGCCAAAATCTAAATAAGTTAAAATGTACGAGTGGCTTGTGTATTATAATGTTACATTCAGTCTACATATGACTAAGAAAGAACTTTTGTCAATCATACAAAATTCTGTGAAGTACATGGGCCTCAACAGTACATTGTTGATAAAATGGCTCATGAAGCTGGTCATAAGGTTGTTTGTCTGCCTGTGGCACAATGTATACTCAATCCGATTGAATTAGTATTGGCACAAAATAAGGGCCACATAAAGGCAAACACTATGCTTGATGAGGTGAAGATATTGCATGAAAGGGAAGTGATGGGCTGACTTAGTTAAACAAGTCAGAGATAAAGTTGAAGACCACCACTGGGATATTGTTGACAGACTTGAATTACAGGAGCAGTTTCGTTTACCCAGTGAGTTTGTTATTCATCTCAGTGGTGAGTCCAGTGATGAATCTGATGATGCCCTTAGCAAAGGGATACTTCTGTATAATATTGTGGTATCAAGGCTAATTGTGTGCTGCTTGTTTTAAAATTATAGTGTACAACAACATTCTTAAAATCTAGGCGATCACTATAATTCCAACTTGATTCAGGAGAAATCAAGTAAATTCATTTGTCAGAGAAATGGATAGGGATAGCACCCTAAATGTCACTAGAAGAGATTGTGTAAAGGGCAATCCTTTTTAAGGGTGTACTAGCTGTCATCTCAAAGTTTTGGAGCAGTTCAAATTCATAGTCTTCTCAATGAAAGAGTAATGGGCTCAAGAGTGTCAACAGAATAACCTTTCTGCTGGCATCGCACTTGCAGTCTCAAAGGATGGCGTGTCTGGAGGGTCCACCATTGTGAAAGTTAAAAGACATCAACTGGCTTTATGAAAATCTTGATGACAAATCTTTAGATGAAGTAGCAAAAAAAAGTTGTCAAAAAAGCCAACAGTGCTACAAGTACTATGGCAGAGGAAGCAACTGATGAGGACATTCTAGGCTTCCAGTCAATTCGAGTTTGAACTACTTCATTAAGATGACTCTACCAGCTGGAGTAGAATTGTGTGAAATCTTAATTCATGCGAAAGGTAATATAATTGTTCATATTTATTGCAGTAGAATTAATTTACTGTAAATTCATGTTATGTTTACTCCCTTATAGAAACAAAAAAGGGCAATTAAATATCATGGAATAGCTGTAGTGATACGTCTCCCGGTTATTTCAACAATAACAGTACATTTGATGCATGCTCCCGTAAGTATTACCGTATAGCGTGAAATTTTGGAGGGAATTAAATTTGGCGAATTTGGCGTTTTGATAGCCATTCGCCAAAATTAAATCCGCCATTTTGAGCCATTATACGCATGCTCAATGCATGTGGCCACCCATTCGCCAAATTAAAATCCGCCAATCACCAAAATTTAGCAATTCGCCAAATTTTAGTCCCTCCAAAATTTCCCGCTATACGGTATACTAACTTTTGCTAAGTATTACACAATTTACTTTTTACTGATGTTTTTATTTTAGATTTGAACCATCAAAAACTCTGAACTATATATTATGTGGCATTATAGTAGTCATCATCATATTTTTGGGCTTTTAAAAGGCCAAGAAATATGCAAAAGCAAATTCCCCAGGCTCAAGAATATAAAAGAGAATCATAATCCAAAAAAGTAAATACAATTAACAGTTTCTTCTATGTCTCAATTTTTATGCCAATTATTGTAAATTACACTCACTCCTTCATTTCTTATAGCCAGCAGTACAGCTATTGAAAAAGAACTAGGTGGAAATATTAGCGGTCCTGGAAACAGACTGGTCACAGCAGCTACTGTTTTTATATTGAACAATGTCATATCTCTAGAGTGCTTCAGTTAAGTTACATCCTAACTTCTACCGGACACAGCTGGAAAAAACTGCATATCTCTTGAATAAAGTATTACTTCAATTAAGTAAAGTAGTTTAGGCATTAATTTTTTATGTACATCTTAGTGTACGCTTTTGTTTTTTCCGTTGCATAGTTATAATAATAATAATGATCCATTGGTCCAATAATAATGATGAATAATAATGATCCAATAATCCAATCCAATAATAATGATTTTACTTCTCGTCGAGGTCTTGACAATTTGGAGGTTACTTCTCATCTTTTTCAGAGACTTTCAGTTTCTTTTTGGTGCTGTAATGCTCATTTGTGGCTGATGCGGTCTCAATCTCTCCCTCCTACAGTGGGTGAATGCCCTTAACTATTTGTCTTGTTTTTTGTTTTTTGTTTAGCTTTTTGTTTGCTTCGCTGGTTTTTGCTTTCTCTTATAATAGTAACAATTGTAAAATGATAATGCCAAGGCATGGCTCATAGCTGCACGTGTTGTATTGCTAAAGTAATAAGAGAAGTGTTGCTCATGCTTACAGAGAGACAATGACTCTTATCTTTCAAGGTTCTGTCAGATGCAAACAAAGAGTTTCATATTCTGTGTGAGAAAGCCAGAGCTGCCTTTAGTAAAGGCGGATTTACAATATTACGCTAGTCCTGACGTTACGTTGACGCTGGAATAGAATCTGGTTCTATTCCAGCGGAAAGCATGCGTCAAAAGGTCAAATCGCCCACGTTTTTGATTAAAAATTGACGGTACGCTGGCCTAATGTCATATTGTAAATCAGCCTTAACTCATTGACTATTAGCTTAGACACACGCTTCCTTCAAAATCAACATACAGTGAAGAGAGAAATGCAGATTATGTAATAAATGAATTGTAGCTTTGTATGAAGAAAAAGGCAACATTGGTTATTGATAAATATAAAAGAGCAGGTTGGTTACTTTTGAAAGTATTTTGACTTAATCCACTTTGAATAGAAATGGTCAGTTGTCTTGCTTCCTTTGGAACTACTCACTGATGCTATAATAACACCTCTAGTCACTGGCTTTACTAAATTCCTAAAGTAGATGACCCAAAGATGTAGAAAGCAGTGGGAATGCCACTACAGTGGTCGGAGGTCAACTCATCACTCATGGCGGCTACTGTTCTGGGAGGGGCGTCACCTACACCAATCAGGGCATGCTCCAGGTGCTTCTCTTGGGATCACGAGAAAGAGGAGTCTCCAGTAGAATTTGGCAAGATTTATGCTCACTTAATTGACTCTGCAGGGTTATTTACAAAAAAAACTAAAATCTAACAAAAGCATAAAAGCATACAACTAAGGAATGCTATAGGACCACACTGACTTTATCAACTTTAAATTCAAATAACTTTCTCTACAAACAGTGGCTTTTTTCATGATACTTTTCACAAAGGGCTTGTTATTTTAATAAAGTAATGCCTTTTTCCAGCTTGAAAAAGACCAGTGCAAAATCAAAGCCAGAAGACACTTAACAAGGGCGTATGTCATTAAAGCCACACAAGTTAGGGAATCCCGTGGGTATTTTTTCTTCATTGCAAGAGTATCCTGACACCTTGCAATCAATTGGTCTGGAAGGTATTTCATGGCTAAAGCCACCTTCCCTATGCTCTAGACCTAAACTGGCTATAGTGTCTTTGAGATCTTTTCACTGGCTCTCCTATATTCTCAGTTATAGACTTCACCTATTACTTCTCTGCTCAGACCTAAGATTAATGGTCATTATGTCTATTAAAAACTCAACTGCCAAATGTCAGCTATGTGCTACAGATTCTACCAAATCCTCCATAAACTTTCTCATTGACTGCAGCTCCTACGCCTCCATAAATACAACTATGGTTACTACTTTTCCTACTGTAGAACTAAGCATAATGACAATACATAACATATCTTCTAAAATGGGACAAACTCGAGGGACAGAACACAGGGCAAGACGTACTAAGTTTTTCAACTCTGCAGCAACATTACAGACGATGTAGAAATACAGTGACATAGGACAGATTCGACATTGACGCTATTAGATGCAAGATACACACTTTTCATGAATGGAAGGAATACTTGACTAGTAAAAATTATATTGAAAACTTTATGTGACAATGGACAACAAGCAATGCTACCATTACTATTAAAGGACTTAGGCTAAAAATACAAAAAGGTTGACAATAGACGACTCTACTATGAGCAGCCCATATCATCAAACAGAGAGGTCCCATCATGCAAGATAAGGTAAACCAAATCAATAATAAACCAGTAGTCTTCCTTGATGAAACCTGGGCCAATGCCCATGATGGCAAAGAATTTGCCTGGGTAGAAGACAATACTGTAACAGTGGGTATTTTTTGGTGAATGAGACGCCAATCAGAACGTTCTATTATTCTTAAAGCAAAACGTGAGATGGGTTAGATCCTAAATACCACTTGCATCTTCAAGCACAAGCAATTACAATGAGAAAACTAAGGAACATTTTGAGGAGTAATTTTGTGAAAAGCTGCTCAAAATAATCCTCCTAATAAATTCATTGTTATGGACAATGCCTCATATCATTAAAGGATTGAAGAAGAGTAGCCATAATCTAAACAAGTGAAAAAGGTATCAGTGGCTTGTGTGTTATAATGTTACATTCAGTCCACATATGACTAAGAAAGAACTCTTGTCAATCATACAAAATTCTGTGAAGAACATGGGCCTTAACAGTACATTGTTGATAAAATGGCTCATGAAGCTGGTCATGAGGTTGTTTGTCTGCCTGTGGCACACTGTACACTCAATCCAATTGAATTAGTATTGGCACAGAATAAGGGCCACATAAAGGCAAACACCATGCTTGATGAGGTGAAGATCTTGCATGGAAGGGAAGCGATGGGCTAACTTAGTTAAACAAGTCAGAGACAAAGTTGAAGACCACCACTGGGATGATGACAGACTTTAATTACAGGAGCAGTTTCGCTTACCCAGTGAGCTTGCTATTCATCTCAGTGGTGAGTCCAGTGATGAATCTGATGATGCCCTTAGCAAAGGGATATTTCTGCATAATAATTGTGGTAGTTAATTATGTGCTGTTTCTTTTAAAACTATAGTGTACAACAACATTCTTAAAATTCAGGCAATCACTATAATTCCAACTTGATTCAGGAGAAATTGAGTAAATTCATTTGTCAGAGAAATAGATAGGGAAAGCACCCTAAATGTCACTAGAAGAGATACGAATTGTGTAACAAGAAATCCTTTTTTAAGGGTGTACTAGCTGTCATCTCAAAGTTTTGGAGCAGTTCAAATTCATAGTCTTCTCAATGAAAAAGAGCAATGGGCTCAAGAGCGTCAACAGAATAACCTTTCTGCTGACATCACACTTGCAGTCTCAAAGGATGGTGTGTCTGGAGGGTCCATCATTGTGCAAGTTAAAAGCCATCAACTGGCTTTACGGAAATCTTGACGACAAATTTTTAGACAAAATAGAAAAAAAAGTTGTCAAAAAAGCCTACAGTGCTACAAGTATTATTGTAGAGGAAGCAACTGATGAGGACATTCTAGGCTTCCAGTTAATTTGAGTTCATACCACTTCATTAACATAATGACTTTACCAGCTGGAGTGGAATTGTGTGAAATCCTATTTTATGCCAAAGGTAAGTATTCATATTCATTGTATTAAAATTAATTTACTGTAAAGTCATGTTATGTTTACTCCTTATCACTCCTTATAAAACCAGAAATGGAGCAAGCAAATATCTACAATAATAATACTCACATTTATTCTAGCAACAGTACAGTTGCTGCATTGCATGCTCCCGTAAATAATATAATAATTTTTGCTAAGTATTACACAATTTACTTTTTAACTGATGTTTTTATTTTAGATTTGAACCATCAAAAAACTGTAAACTATCTTCTGTCCGGAATCATATTTGTCCGAGTCATATTCTTGGGCCTGGGGTGCCTTTTAAAAGGTTGAGAAATGTACAAGAGCAAATTCCCCAGGCTCAAGAATAAAGAGAATCATAATCCAAAAAAGTAGATACAATTAATAGACTCTTCTATGTCTCAATTCTTATGACAATTATTGTAAATTACACTCATTCCTTCATTTCTTATATCCAGCAGTACAGCTATTGAAAAAGAATTATGTTTAAATGTTAGTGGTCATGGAAGCGGAACTGATCATAGCAGCAACAGTTTTTGTATTGAACGATGTCATATCTCTAGAGTGATTCAGTTACATCCTAACTTCTACCGGACAATTGCAGCTCAAAAAAGCTGCACATCTCTTGAATAAAGTGTTACTTTAATGAAGTAGCCCAACCAATGACAGCTACCTGAAAAGGTTTAAAGGGTAACTGCACCCCAAAATTTTTTTACCTGAAATAAGTTGGTAATGAAGAGAGAATAATAGGAAAAATAGCTAAAATTATTAAAAAGTACTGTTTCTGTACTAAACCTTGGGTCAAAACTTGTAATTTTTTACCTTACAGCCATCTTGTCAAATCACTTCCGGTGGTGGGCGTGGTCACGCAATGACGTAGATGGGGGAACATTAGCAAGTGTCTGCATTAAAATATTAGCAACTTTAAGGCTGGATTTCTAAGTTCTGTGTGCAATAAAGCAGCTAAGAGGTATTTTTCAATTATTAGAAGCTATACAGAGCTAAATTATGCAGTCAAAATTTAAACTTGTCATTTAGCAGTTTTTCCAAATAGATAGATTTTGTTACCAGTATAACTGCTTGTAGTTAGCTCTTGATTAGTTCTATATGGTCCACTTCATTAAAATTGCTTTATTGCATGCAGAACTTAGAAATCCAGCCTTAAAGTTGCTAATATTTCAATGCAGAAACTTGCTAATGTTCCCCCATCTACGTCATCGAGTGACCACGCCCACCACCGGAAGTGTTTTTACAAGATGGCTGCAAGGCAAGTTTTGACCCAAGATTTAGTACAGAATTGGTACTTTTTAATAATTTTAGCTATTTTCCCTATGATTCTTTCTTTATTACCAACATATTTCAGGGAAAAAATTTTTTGGGTGCAGTTACCCTTTAATGACTCATTAGAAACTCTTGACCACCCAGAAGT